TGAGACCATAAAGGGATTTCTTCAGAGCACAAACAAATCCCTGTTTTACCTGTACGCCATCAGGTGGAAGCATATAAAGTGATTCATCTAGAGATCCGTACAGAAAAGCTGTATTAATATCATGGTGACTAATGTGTAGATTTTCCTCTGCAGCTAGCTTAAGCATAAGCCTAATGCTTTCATATCTCACTGTGGGTGAATAGGTCTCGTGATAGTCTTCACCTGGTACCTGTGCAAAACCTCTGGCTACCAATCTGGCTTTGTGTCTGACTATCTTGCCATTTTGATCTGTCTTCGCTTTGAAGACCCATTTGCTTCCAAGCAGTTTCATTCCTGGAACTACTGGAACTAGCTCCCATGTTTTGTTCCTTTCTAAGGAATCAAGCTCAGCCTTCATGGCATTTAACCATGGCTCAGCTTCCTTTGAATCCAAACCCTGGATTTCTTGGAAACTTGAAGGTTCAAATACCTTCTTGGAGCTTTTAACAGCTGTTACTGCTATCTTAGCAAACTCATCAGCAAATCTCTTTGGAGGTTTGCCTTTTGTGGCTCTCTGTGACCTTCGAATTAGCCTTAAGTCTTCAACACTCTCCTCTTCCTTCTTAGGAGAAAAACGACCTATTGTGAACAATGGTTCCTCCAATTCTTGATCAGAGCTTTCAGAGGGTCGCATAGAGGCTTTCGCACTCTCGAAATCCTCTGAATCACCCGATTCAGTTTCAGATTCAGACTCAGAACCTTCATCAGTGGGTGTGGGTTGGTGTGGTGGCTTGACTATCCTCAGTCTCATCACCGTCATCAGGATAACATTGGAAAATTCCCACATTCTCCCCCACTTTGCATTGTACTCAACACTTCTCGTGAGCTTAATTGTCTTAGAGTCAGTCATCATTATTCTGTAAGACCCTTTCTGATAACCTAGAAAGATACCATGCAATCCACGCTTGTCTAACTTGGAGTTTTGTGGTGAGCGAACCCACATGTCAGAACCAAAAATCTTCATGTGTTTGATGTATGGCTTCTTGCCAAACATCTTCTCATAGAAGTACAACCAATCGCTGAAGATAATCTGCGATTGTAACTGTAAACAAAACACGAGAGAGATTCGGCCCAATAACTCTCTGGAAGATTGGCATCATGCAGCAAGGTTTTTAAACCTTGAAGCAATGTCTGATTTGCCCGTTCCGCAAGTCCATTCTGCCATGGCGAGCGAGGACTAGACAAATCGTGTTGAATTCCTTTCTCAGTCAGAAAAGCTTCAAACTGCTGAGAAGTGAATTCCCCCCCGCGATCACTGAAAGAGTCTTTATCTTCTTACCATGCACATTTTCCAACCAAGCACAGAATTCCTTGAACCTAGGAAAAGCCTCCGATTTCTGCTTGAGATTGTACACAAAAATATATCTAGAAAATGCATCAATGAGAACCATGAAGTATCTATTTCCACCCAAAGAGGGCGCAAGTGGACCAACCAAATCAGCATGAACAACCTGGTATGGTTCTGTAGCTTTCCTACTAGACACCTTACCTTTCGCAGCCATTTTCACCTTGTTTGCTGCGCATGCTTTGCACTTCATGTGGTACCTGCAGGGTTTAATAGTCATACCTTCAACCAAGGCAGGCATTTTAGATACTGCCTCAAAATGCAAATGACCAAATTTGCGATGAAAATCGTGAATACATTCTGCATGCAAACTTTTGTTAGAACCTGCAATGCAACAAGTGTCATCCTGCACCACATCATCATAATACAAAACAAACAAATGATCAACATATTCTGCATGCAATACATAATCATTTTTCTTTGTGATGATGCACTTCTTGTTCTTGAAGGAAACGTCAATGTTCCGCTCATTCAGCTGTCCAACGCTGAGCAGATTATGTTTGGCGTCTGGCACGTAAAGCACATTCTGTATCGATAAGTCCAAACTGTGAAGAACAACAGTTCCGTAGCCTTTACTGGGAATAGTGTGGTCATCCGCCTGGTGAATCGCACCTTCCTGCGGTGTAAAAGACACAAACAGTTTCTTATCGTTGCACATGTGGTGGGTGGCCGCTGAATCAACAACGAAGAAAGATCTAGACGTCTTCTGGACCTCTGCAACCTTTGGAGTGAAGCGTGAAACCATAGCCTTGTGCTGCGTTGTCCTAGACACCGGACCTTTGCCTTTGCCTCGGCCTTTTCCGCGCGATGAGCTTTCGCTGCGCTGCTCTGTCTTGGCCCTGGGATGTCTGCATTCCCTCTTCATATGGCCTAGACGTCCACACGAGTAGCATTTGACTGCCTTCAAAGCTTTGGCGCCATCTGGTGGTTCCACTGCACTATGGGATGACGTCTGTGAAGACTCCCCTTGCCCATGCAGCTAGCACCCGGCGATCTGCTTCATTTAAAATCACGGCAGTAACAAAGTCCACTGTCAGCTGAGCAGTTGGTTGCACAGCAATCTGGGTTGCAACAGACTCCCAACCTGAACCCAAAGATTGTAGTATCATGAAAGAATACACAGCCTCTGGAAAGTTGAGTCCTCTCTGTTGCAGCTCATGTCTCAGATTTTGCAACTCCATCAAATGTAAACGTACATCTCCACCTTCAGCAAGAGCCATATTATGCAGCTTGTTAAAATAAAACATAGTGGATCCAGCTTCTGTCCTTAAGTGAGCCTCTCTCAGAGCGTCCCAAATTTCTCTGGCTGAGGTCTTATCACGCAATAGACAGAGCTCTTCTGGGGATACTATCAATGTAAGAGTTCCCCTTGCTTTGGAATCCTTAGCTTCCCATGCATCTGTAACTGGAACTGGGGGGGTTTCTGTAATCACCTCAAACAAACCCTCTTTCTGCAGAATTGCCTCTGCATACTGAACCCAGTCGCTGTAATTTATCTTGTTGAGCTTAGGAATCCCACAAGCATCCTGAAGGGCCATCATGACTCTGGCATTAGCCTTCAGCGTCATATGCTGCTTTAGATCTTGCTGCGTCACTGCTGCAGCTGCCTCATTACAAAGGCACACTTAAAAGTTACTTCGATTTCCCCAGCATAGTGACTTGTGCCTGGGAGCCTTTTGCCTATTCCCAGCAAAACCGGCTTTAAAAGTTCAAAGTCCAGCCATAAAGCCATTAACTTGAAGCTGGCAGGCTGCCCGGAGCAGTAGCACATACCTCATCAATCACTTCTACGCGCAGAGCAGATTCCTTTCCGATCCGTCCTCCCTCTGCATTCCGATCCTTTGCCGGCACTCCGATTCGACCTCTGGAGTCCATAACCACGTGTTGATTTAAAGCAGAGTCTGTCGTGCCCAGCGGAAGGATGAGGAAAATGTGTTACATACTCTATATTGCTTTATTTACAGTTCAAAGCTGGTATATTACAGAAAGACATCTTGCCTCTGCAGGAGCAGAAAAATGCATCCTCTCTCCTCTCTCAGCTCGGAGAGAATCACACAGTGAAAAACAGGAAACCAGTGTACGTCACATCCAGTCTCCCTTTCCCGTGAGAAACTCCAACAGTACAGACTATGGAATGTAAAACAATGTCTTGTGACTGCAGTTGCTGCTCAGTGAGGGAAATCAGAAACCAACACTTCTGTCCATTATTTTGGGTATCCTGGTGTCTTGCTGTCTTAGGATTTACATTTCATTCATTTATTGTCCATCAACCTGACAACCAGACCTTTAGAAAGTCCTTAGCTTACCATTCCAATGGCTCCCAACGCCTGGGAAGAAGACTCAAGGGAAGAAGAGTCGGTTACATAAATCTTCTATTTCTAAACGTTTTAAGCAATAGTTTGAAAGATAATTGGGTGGAAGTCGGGGTTGCGAAGTCCACGTAGCCTAGAAATTATTAGAGCACTGAGACATAGCTTCCATCAGAGAAAGTAAGATGAAGGTATAACAAAGGGACGTATGTTTCATTCACTGTTAGGTTATATGATTTCTATCATATGCTAAATGGGTTAACTAATTTTACAACAGAAACACCAGTTCAGTCTCGACTTGAGAGGTTGCATAACGTGGGGGCAGATACAGAAGGCAGATCCAGAACCCCAAAGAGAAACAAGGATGCAGCAGCTGATCTAGAACACTCTTTCCCTCCAAGCCCTATTAATGGATCCTTCTCTAGGAGGACTTGGGGGAGCCACAGACCCTTGGGAAGGAGAGAGTAGCAAAGGATGCCCCAGAGCCCCTCTGGAGTAGTTACTGACAGCACCACAAACAGAATCACCCACCAAAGGCCATGTTTCTCTTTCTCCACCACCTTCTCTTCCCCCAGGGTTGCTTTTATTCATCTAGAGGAGCGGGGGAGGGAGTCTCTTTCACACCCCTCTGGACACCCCAGGAACCCTGCTTTCTTCATTCCTCTATTCCTGCTGCCACTGGAAATAATGTTTTATCTGAACATTGTGCGCTTCAGAGAACCAAGTAAGAGGAAGGGTTGTAACACAATTAGTGTATGTATTATAAAAACTACAAAAGGGGTTTATGCACATAAGAAGTTGGCCTCACTCTTTCTGTGTCTTATTTGTTCATTTAGTATAATTACAACAATAGGTGTTATACGGTTGCTCGTATACTACTAATATAACGAACCCTGCTTCCAAAGCATCACAACTTTCACCCTGTAATTTCCACAATGCTCTATTAGCAATCCTGAAACATCAACATTTCCAACTCTCTCTACCAAAGACTGAACTTCAGCCGACTCAAAGAGCATCAACACTGACCACCAGCATTGCAGGTTCACGCTCTCTGCAAACAGTTCATGACATATGATATTGCATTTACTATTGTGAGACATCACCTTCATTACTTGAATACATGGGTACAAATTTACATGCAGACACCAGAACTTCGCATGTACTCTATGCATCTAACGGCTGATGTATATTAAGATCTGCACTCCAACTGAAGCTCCTTCCACACTGACTGAAGCTCTTTCCAGATTCCATATATTTAAATGATTTCTCACTATCAGTAAAGCTCTTTGCACACAAAATCCTCACATTTAAATGCTTTCCCCCCTGCTGTGAATGTTCTCTGGTGTCTTTAAAATGTCCGCTTTGACCAAGTCTCTTTCCACACTCCTTACAATTCGATGGTTATTCTCTGGTGTGAGTTCGCTGATGTCTCTTAAGGTTTCCACTTTGACTGAAGCTTTTTCCACATTCCATACATTTAAATGGTTTCTCCTTTGTGTGAGTCTGTAGATGGCTTCTAAGGATTCCACCAATACGGAAGCTCTTTCCACACTCCATACATTTAAATGGTTTCTCCTTTGTGTTCTTTGGTGGCTTTTATAATTTCCACTTTGACTGAAGCTCTTTCCACAGTCTATACAGTTATATGGGTTCTCCCCTGTGTGAATTCTTTGGTGCAGTCTAAGGTTTTTGGTTGAAGTGAAGCTCTTTCCACACTCCATACATTTATAAGGTTTCTCCCCTGTGTGAGTTCGCTGATGTATTCTAAAGGTTACACTATGACGAAAACTCTTTCCACACTCCATACATTTAAATGGTTTCTCCCCTGTGTGTGTTCTTTGGTGGCTTTTATAATTTCCAATTTGAGTGAAGCTCTTTCCACACTCTTTACAGTTATATGGGTTCTCCCCTGTGTGAGTTCTTTGGTGCAGTCTAAGAACACTTTGACTGAAGCTCTTTCCACACTCCATACATTTAAATGGTTTCTCCCCTGTGTGAGTTTTCTGATGTGTTCTGAGGTATCCACTTTGACTGAAGCTCTTCCCACATTCCATACATTTAAATGGTTTCTCCCCTGTGTGAGTTTGCTGATGTGTTCTGAGGTATCCACTTTGACTGAAGCTCTTCCCACATTCCATACATTTAAATGGTTTCTCCCCTGTGTGTGTTTTCTGATGTGTTCTGAGGTTTGCACTTTGACTGAAGTTCTTTCCACATTCCATACATTTAAATGGTTTCATCCCTGTGTGAGTTCGCTGATGTATTGTAAGGGCGTCCCTACGACCAAAGCTCTTTCTACATTCCATACATTTAAATGGTTTCTTTCCCGTGTGAATTTGCTGATGTGTTCTAAGGTTCCCACTTTGACTGAAGCTCTTTCCACACTCAACACATTTAAATGGTTTCTCACCCTGGGGCATTTGTTGATGTTTCCTATGAGTTTTGCTCCAGTTCAAGCTCTTTTTGCACTGCATAGCTTTAGATGGTTTATCTTCTGTTGAGTTCATTATTGTAAACTCAGTGTGCACACAGACAGAAGAACATTATGCACATTTTAACTTTGTCTTCATTATTCTCAATGAAATTGAAGGTGTCTCCTCAGAATTTGGATCGCCTTCTCCTTTGGGGGGAAAGAAAACCATTTTAGGGTTTCACAGAAGAGGGAAAAGGAACTTAACACAAAGTGAGCCTAATTAACACCACCGTCTTTTTATTTAAAAGCATCTCCTAGATTCTCTCCTCTCTTCTCTATGTCTCCCTGAGGAAGTATGGCCAGGGAATGGACCACCTGATCTCATGCCCGTCTTGTGATATAGAACTATCCTTGTGGAAATTATCTGTCCAGGACTCTCTCACTTTTCTTTCTCCTTTTGGGTGGGTGGCTAAGCAAATATGTGTGACACTGAAAAAGCTGAATTCTAATGGGAAGACTTTCAGAGGAAAATATCCTTTGGAATAATATACCAATTGCATGTAAGCTGTCAATTGGATTACAAAAGTGGATTATGCATTTCCTAAATCTGGCCAAAAGACTGATACTGATAAATTAGAGGAATAAATATATGTTTCACCTTAATTAATTAATATAATATATCATTATTCAAACCCCATCCATAAGGCTGGGCAGCTCCCAGCAGAATATTAAAGACACGCTAAAACATCAAACATCGACTTCCAGTTGGTCCACAGAGCTGAGAAGAGATGGGACTCAGCCCTTAGGGGAGAGTTCAGCTCTTTGCGAAAGAAAGGGGGAGTCTGCAAGAGCGCCACAGCCCCCCCAAACCCTCAAAAGGATTATTTTGAGGCCACCAGCACCATAAGGACGTCTCTCCGGCGCCGAAAACGCTCCCCTTGGAGAGCAGAAAGTGCAGCGAGATCAAGACGCCAGCACGGGATGCCATTAAGTACTCGGAGGATTGAAGCCTTGAGTCTATCCAGCACAGTGGCTGATTTTCGAACAAAAAGAAACCTGAATCTGGCAAAATGTTGGGAAATTCTAATTGAGAAAGATTCGGAAGACAGAAGGGATAAAAAAGGAGGCCAGCCCCGACTGTGATTGATTTACACTGCATGAATTACCTGCAAAACGGAGTAAGATTCTAATCTCCTACAGCGAATAAAAATAAATATACTTTTTAGTTCTGAAGGTTTGGTTTACTGAAAGGGAGGTGGAAATCCCTAGAAAATAAACTTATTTGAAACCCTTTGGGAGTTGAAGGAGCCCGCTGGAGAAGGAGCTTCCGGCTTTTACTTTCAATTTTAATTTAAACTGTGCAATTTGTAAAAAATATGTTTATGGAGCTATTTTTGCGAGTTAAATTACCAGACCAGCAGAGACAAATATAAAAAGACTGCTAAAGTCTGGTACTGTAAGAAATTTGAGGAGATATTTACAGGAAGAGACTTGGGGACACCCTCCCCCTTTTGGTTAATGAGCATGATGGATTTATTTTCTCTCTCTCTTTTAACTTCACCTTTTTCATTGTTAAGACATTATAATTGTAGTGAATGCCTTCCTCTTTTCCTTTCTCCTGGAATATAATGCAGGGGAAGTTGGATTAAGCCACCAAGAGGCGGAAGAATTTGTTTTGTTTTGTTTTGTTGGTACTTGGTTTTGATTTCTTCTTTTTCTTGGGACGGGGACAAAGTGGAAAGTGCGAAAAATCTGTGGAAGTGGTGGAAGATGTTTTCTCCTGCTTTCTCTTTGTTTTTGTACAAATAATTATTGGATTATTGCAGCATTTACCCTTTGTCCCCCTCTCAGCTATATACATTTGATATAGAACTGGTTGGAGGCAAAAGGGCCACCTAGTGGTGAAAGAGGGAATAACAGTTTAAGAATGACATCATCACAGAAAAAAGGAGGGGAGGGGCAACATTAGGAGAGACCCAGAGAGGGTCAAAGCAAGAAATGGAAGGGAAAGGGGATGTTGCAAAAATGTTTGCAGAACTGAAGAAAGATATTAAAGATATTAAACAAAGTGAGACAAATATGGAAAGTAGATGGGAGCAGATGGACAAAAAATTAGATTTAACTGTGAATGAGATGAAAGCCCAGATAAAAGATGTGAGCAAGAGAACACAAAATTTAGAGGAAAGATTGAAACCTATGCAACGAAAAGTAAGGAATTTAAAAAAGGAGGATGAGAAAAATAAAAGTGCAGTGTCAGAGCTGAATAAGGAACAGGAGGAATTGGGGGATGCAACTGTGGTGCAGGAATTGAAGCAAAGAGAGATAAATTTGAGAATCAGATCTCTCCCAGAAACAGCAGGACAGAATATTTTAGAAGAATTAATTATTGAAATTGCACAATGGCTAGGAATTGGAAAAGATGAATTTGCCAATACAGTATTGAATGCATTTAGGATAAAAGTTAAATCAAAAAAAGGAAAAGTTTCCAGGAGATTGTTTGATGATATTTAAAGATAAGTAGATGAGAAATTTAATTTTGCTAAAAAAATAAGAGAAAAGAAGTTCTATATTGATAGAGCAATGATAATCATATTTAAGGAAATTCCAGTTCGTCAGCTGAAATGAAGTGATGGATATAAACCTCTGACACAAGTGCTGAGAAAAAACAATATTGATTTTAAATGGGAGTATCTGGAAGGAGTCTCATTCTACTACAAGGAAAAGTTAAACTGAAAAAGATGAAGTAAAAAAATTCCTCCAGAGGTACAGGGAACTGGATAAAGAGGAAGAAGGGGCAGCAGCAGCAGCAGCAGCCAGAACAGATACCATAGACCAAGAAGTAGAAGTAGAAGTAGAAGATATTAAATTAGAAGAAGAAGAGGAGGAGGAGGAAGGATAAGTTTAAAAGACTCTAGTTCACAAATAGTAGCAAAAACAAAACGGCATGAACACTTATGACATGGAGTGTTAATGGTTTGAATAACAAAACTAAAAGAAATAAAGTTGAAAAGATTCTATTAAAAAGAACTTAGATATTATTTGTTTTTGAGAGACTCATGTTGCAAGAAAACATAGAAGAATTTTGGTAAAAAAGAAATTAGGAAGTGAATTTATTTCATCAGACAGGAGTAAAAAGAGGGGTGGTGTTGTATATAAAAAATAAATATGAAGCAAGACAAATCTTTGTGGATCAAAAAATAATTATGGGGGACCTGAATGGGGTAATTTCATTGGAAATTGATAGAATGAGAAATGGGAATAGAATAGAAAGAAGGTAAACTACCCAAAACTTTCTTCTCTATGGTAGAAAGCTGCAATTTGATTGATGTGTGGAGATTAAAACACCCGTTGGAGAAACAATATACAGTGGTACCTCGGGTTAAGAACTTACATTCGTTCTTGAGGTCCGTTCTTAACCTGACACTGTTCTTAACCTGAGATACCACTTTAGCTAATAGGGTCTCCCGCTGATGCTGTGAGATTTCTGTTCTTATCCTGAAGCAAAGTTCTTAACCTGAGGTACTATTTCTGCTGTTTACCAGCTCCATCTGGTATGCAGGCTGAGACCCTATCTTCCCCTCGGACTGCTTCGCCAGAGTGGTGCATGCTCTGGTTATCTCTCGCTTGGAGTACTGCAATGCGCTCTATGTGGGGCTACCTTTGAAGGTGACCCAGATACTACAACTAATCCAGAATGCGGCAGCTAGACTGGTAACTGGGAGTGGCCGCCAAGACCACATAACATCGGTCTTGAAAGACCTACATTAGCTCCCAGTACGTTTCCGAGCACAATTCAAAGTAACCTTTATAGCCCTAAACAGCCTCAGTCCAGTATATCTGAAGGAGCATCTCCACCCCCATCATTCTATCCGGACACTGAGGTCCAGCACCAAGGGCCTTCTGGCGGTTGCCTCACTGCGAGAAGCCAAGTTACAGGTAACCAGGCAGAGGGCCTTCTCGGTAGTGGCACCCATCCTGACAAACACCCTCCCACAAGATGTCAAAGAGAAAAACAACTACCAGACTTTTAGAAGACATCTGAAGGCAGCCCTGTTTGGGGAAGCTTTTAATGTTTGATGCATTACCGTATTTTAATATTTTGTTGGAAGCCGCCCAGAGTGCCTGAGGAAGCCCAGCCAGATGGGTGGGGTAAATAAGTAATAAATAAAAAAATAAAAAAATAAAAGATGATGATAAAAATTTCAGCTAGACCCTACTGGCACCATTGGAGGAAGTAATGAACAATATTTTGAAAAAAGGAGAAACACCAGAGACTTGGAAAGAAGCATATATTACACTGATACCCAAACCAGACTCAGACTTATGACAGGTTAAAAACTACAGGCCAATTTCTTTGTTGAACAGTGATTATAAACTATTTGCAAATATTAAGGTTTTCTTCCTGGCTGCCAGATGAAGGACAATATAAGGAATATTGTGAATATTATTGAATACTTGACGGCCAGGAATGAAAAGCAGGCAGCCATAATATTTGTGGATGCTGAGAAGGCCTTAAATTCTAGGGAATTTAAGATTAAAAACTTCGAAAGGATGCAAATGGGTCAATTGTTTATGAGAAGTTTAAAAGCAATATATTCCAGTCAAAAGGCAAAAATTATTGAAAATAATGTATTAACAGAAAATATTGAAATTACAAAAGGGACAAGACAAGGGTGTCCACTATCACCATTGTTATTCATATCGGTTCTGGAATTCTCCTGAATAATATAAGGTTAGCAGAAGGAATTAAAGGAATATCAGTCAGAAGGAAAGAATATAAAGTAAAAGCCTTTATGGATGACTTGGTAATAACAATTGAACCAATAACAAGTCCGAAGGAAGTACTAGAAAAAATTGAACAGTTTAGACAAGTAGCAGGCTTTAAAGTAAATAAAAATAAAAAGTTTGTTAAAAATATGGACAAAAAGAGTGGATCAGTTGCAATAATAAACAGAAACAGGGGTGGTAAAGAAAGAATATTGTTAACCCACCAAAATATAAATTTCTATCAATAAAACCACAACCAGGTATGGAATAAGATTAAGAGAGATTTGGAAGTGTGGGGAAGGATGAAATTGTCACTTTGGGGAAGGATATCGGTTATAAAAATGAATGTGCTACCAAAAATGTTATTTTTGATTCAGTCAATTGATGGAGTACACAGAATTAGCTAAGATGACCGGGAGAATCCGAGAACAGCGGGACCAAAAATTCCTGAAGGACTGGAGTAAATTTGTGAATTATTTGAAGGGCAATGGTGTTCAATTGAATACGCTTGGAGGATAACAAGAAGTCTTGTGAAAAATGGAGATAAGAAATATTGTTAATAAGAGTTAAAAGTTAGGATCTTAAGATTTTGATTATATAAACAGTAGTAAAGAGACAAATTGTAAACAGAAGAGAGATAGGATGAAATCATTAGAAGGGAATGATGGATGTCACTGGCTAAAAGTAGCCAAGATGTGTAAGAGATGATAAGATGGATGTTTTGTTTGGAAAGTTTATGTTAAAAATCTTTAATAATAATAATAATAATAATAATAATAAAAACATCAAACATCAAAAACTTCCCTAAATAGGGCTGCCTTCAGATGAATTGACAATATGAGAACACTCACAATGGTTGAATGGATATAGACGTAGACTTTGTTTGGATAAACAAGGGCTCTGGTGCCTGTTTATGGACTCTGTGCTTATTTGCAACCATTCAGATGTAATTGGCCAGTACTTGAAGTCTGGAATGTCATGTGGATTTATAGCTCTTCTTCGTGCTTTGCTTTCCTATGCTCTGAATGCTGCTGTTTGTGTGAACTCTGTGGAGAGGCCAGTTTGGCGAAATGATATTGGACCCAAGTAGTCAGTGAATTATGAGCAGAATACCATAATTCCTTAATATCCTACAGATCTGGAAGGGCTCTTTCTATGTTCCTACACGCTGAAAGGAAACACACAAAGATACAGTCTCACAGAAAAGTGGAAGTACAGACCTCTCAATTTCTCCAGGACATGTCTCCGCGATTTTCTTTTTCAATGCAGCTGACGTCAGACTGGTGTATCAGACTCTGTCCTAACTGGAATAAACAAAACAGAAGTGTTATTGATGGCCTATGTGATTGTTAAAAGTATTCAAAAATATTCATCTTTAGAAGCAGAGCTAACAAAGTATCTAGTGGCCCATTAAAGGCTAATAAAGATAAGATGGGCTTTGGTTTTGGGGGGCACCAGTCCGATGATGTAGACAAGAAAGCTCGAAATTCCAGGATTCCTATAAACTATAATCCCACCAATTTACCTTGTTTCAGTTTGTAGGATTGACAAGTTGACAAACAATAAAAAAATTCCTTCCAGTGGCTCCTTAGAAACCAACTAAGTTTGTTATTGGTATGAGCTTTTGTGTGCTACTGGAAGCATTTTTTAAATTTTGTTTCAACTATGGCAGCCCAACACGGCTACCTACCTGTATCTAGAATTTGACAGACCTTACTTGTAAAACAAGTGGTACCTTGGTTTGCAAACAGTCTGGTTTTCATATGTTTTGGATTACAAACACTTCAAACCCGAAAGTGCGTGTCCCGGTTTGCAATTTTTGGGGGGATTACAACCATTTTATTTTATTTTTGGAATACGAATAAAAACTTTCGAGATGGCCAAGACGACCCTCTTGCTAGCTCCATTTGTGCTTAAGCAGGTAACTGTATAGCAAGAACAACAGAACAGGAATAATAAGGAAGACAACTTCTTAGGATAAAGGAACTCAGTGGTCCCACAGTTACTTTGGAGAACTTCCTAAAGGTCCCTGTAAGGTAGTCCAGGTAAAGAAGAGAAGAAAACCCAGGTAAGGATGGAAATGAAAGAGAAGGGAGAAGGAGGGGAAGGAGACAAAGGAGGATTCTGGACATTTGGGTGGGGGAGTCCCAACCCCCAGGACAACCCTTGTTTCTCTGAATCTGATGGTCTCCCCCTCCACAGAGAGTGAAAAGGCCGCAGGAAGAGAAGAGAGGAAAGCGGAGACAGGAGACAAAGGAGGAGAAAGGGAAGAAGAAAGGAAGATCCCTTCCGAAATGGCGTTCCTGACTTATCTCTTCTGCCCTCCCTGGAGCTCTCATGCAGCTGACCTGGCCAGGGGGTTGCTTTCCCACCAGGTCTGCCCTCTTGAAATTTGGACCTCCTGCCAGCACAGAGGTGGGCCAGGACCACCCACACGGGACCCCCCTCCTGCAATAAACTCGAAGCCTGAGCGAGGGAGGAAGTTTCCGGTAACTTAAGGGAGGGGGTTCATCCCAGGATCTTCCTGCCTTTTCTCTCCAGTGGCTGGACTTGGTAGAAAGAAGCATCCTGGAAAGAACTGGGTGGGGAAATGGGACCCCCCCCTTTCTTCAAGGATCCCTCCCTGTCCCTCTCTCCAAGGCAGATTTCTTGCCAGGAAGGCAAAAGCCAGGGCAGCCCCTCCGGAGATTCCCCCGCCAGCGCCCAAGATGGAGACATCTCTTCCAAAAGGCGACGGGTCTCTCCCTCACTCTCTCCCCCCCGCCCACAGGATTCCCCCCTCCCCCGCCACGAATGCTTCCATTGATCCCCCAGCCTCCAAGCTTCCTCTGCCCTCCTCCCTCCGTCCCTGAGACGCCCCTGCGCCCAGAAACCCCCTTGGCCCCGCTCACCCCTCGCCCCCAATTGCGCGTGGCGCGGATGCTTCCAAGGAGAAGGCGCCACGGAATCCCGGCAGGGGCTTCCTCTGTAGAAAGGACCCCTGCACCCCCGCCCCTGTGCATGTCCCATAGTGTTTTTATGGGGGGGGGGGTGATTTTTTGTGGGGGAGGGGCTCCAAAGGAGATCGAGCCATGCAAGTCCTGCAGGTCTTGGGTCCCCACTTCGCAGCGGGATTGCATGGATCCAGACCCTCCTGGTGGGCCCCAGTAAAGGCGCTTTTGGGGACGGTGGGGAGATATGGAGGGGTCTTTGTCCTTTCCTCCCCCCTCCCCAATCACTGCATCTTTACCCCTTTGTCCTCTCTTCTGCCCCTCCGCCTCCCTTGCTCGCTCTTCCGATGTCTTTTCCTGCAACAGAAAGAGCAGGGCGGGAGGAGTTAGTCCAGCGACGCCCCCCCCCCTTTCTCAAGCCCCTCCCGGTGCTCCTTTTTCCCGCCTGCCAGGAAAAGTCCGGCCCATAGAGCTATGGGGCAGAGCAGCCCCTGCCGGTGCTCGGATGGGAACCGGCACTGAGGATTTCCCCAGGGGTTGTATGGGAGGCCTCTCTATCTCTCTCCTCTCTATGATGGGGGGGGGGGCAGTTCTTCCCTGCTCAGTTCCTCTGGGATCCTGCATCTCAGCCCGCAAGGCCCCTTTTCTGCGCTTACACCAAGCTTGCAAGGCGGTTCTTTGGCCACTGCTTCCCTGCCTCTGCTTTACAGGAAGAGCAGCAAACTCTGCCCATGCCCAGAGAATACTGTATGAACTCCCACCACGCCTTTACCGTACCAGTTTTAGTTTGCCTAGTCCCACATTAGAGTTTCCAGCATTGCAGGGGGTTGGTCTAGATGACCCTTGGAGGTCCCTTGCAACTCTGCATTTGTATGATTAACCACCAGTCAATAATGCAGGGCTCTTTTGCCTCCCGTAGATCACAATCCCGCAGCTTTGAAAGGAAGAGCCTCATGCTGTACCCACTGAGCTCTCCCACCTTCCGCCCCTATGGGATCTGGGTCCTAGCCGAGCGGTTGCCGCGTCCTGAATCTGGTGAGATCCCACAGCGGGATCCAGATCCTTTCCGGTGCCTCGCCCACTTTCTCTGTTGTTGTTATTTAGTTGTTTAGTCGTGTCCGACTCTTCATGATCCCATGGACCAGAGCACGCCAGGCACTTCTGTCTTCCACTGCCTCCCGCAGTTTGGTCACACTCATGCTGGTAGCTTCGAAGACACTATCCAACCATCTCGTCCTCTGCCGTCCCCTTCTCCTTGTGCTCTCAATCCTTCCCAACATCAGGGTCTTTTCCAGGGAGTCTTCTCTTCTCAGGAGGTGGCCAAAGTATTGGAGCCTCAGCTTCACGATCTGTCCTTCCAGTGCGCACTCAGGGCTGATTTCCTTAATAATGGATATGTTTGATCTTTTTTTTTTTTAATGATATTTATTCCAAGTTTAAAGTTACAAAAAAAGAAAAGGAAAAAACAGTACAAAATACAAAGAAAAAATTAACCATAGCCATAACAGAGCAAAAAGTAAAAAGAAAAAAAGGACAATAAAGTAGGATAAAAAAAGCAGAACAAAAGATATAAAAAAGCATTGAATTAAAATAGAACAAAAGCCAATTAAACCTTTACATAACTTTTTCCCTTTACTTATTTCCTTGACCTCCTCTCACCTCCCAATTTTGTATTCTAGTTCAGATCGTTTTTTTCAGCAAATCCTTCCAACCTTATTTTCATTTACGTATTTTAATTTAAAATATTATAATTAAACATCCTCTGTTTCATCAATTTCATCAGCTCATTTTTACTTAATCCTTTATCTCATATCTACCAAAACTGCCTAATTTTCTTTTTCCAACATCTTTCTAACTGTCTTTAATATTACAATGCTTTTGAAGATATATTTTAAATTTTTTCCAATCTTCTTCCACCGACCCTTCTCCCTGGTCTCGGATTCTGCCAGTCATCTCAGCCAATTCCATATAGTCCATCACTTTCGTCTGCCATTCTTCTCGGGTGGGTAATTCTTGTGTCTTCCAGTACTTTCCGATGAGTATTCTTGCTGCTGTTGTATCCTACATAAAAAAGGTTCTATCCTCCCTTCGCACCGATTGGCCGACCATGCCCAGAAGGAAGGCCTCTGGTTTCTTCTGAAAGGTATACTTAAATACCTTTTTCATTTCATTATAAATCATCTCCCAGAAGGCCTTGATCCTTGGGCATGTCCACCAAAGGTGAAAAAATGTGCCCTCAATCTCTTTACATTTCCAACATTTATTATCGGGCAAATGATAAATTTTTGCCAGCTTGACTGGGGTTAAGTACCACCCGTAAATCATTTTCATTATATTTTCTCTTAAGGCATTACATGCCGTAAACTTAATACCTGTGGTCCATAACTGTTCCCAGTCAGCAAACATAATATTATGTCCAACGTCTTGTGCCCATTTAATCATGACAGATTTAACCGTTTCATCCTGAGTATTCCATTTCAACAGCAAGTTATACATTCTTGACAAATTCTTGGTTTTAGGATCTAACAATTCTGTTTCCAATTTTGATTTTTCCACCTGAAAACCAATTTTCTTATCTAAATTATAAGCCTCTCTTATTTGATAGTAATGAAGCCAGTCTCGTACTTTAGTTTTTAAATTGTCAAAGCTCTGCAGCTTTAATCTATCTCCATCTTGTTCTAAAATTTCACAATATTTTGGCCAATTTGTCTCCATATTAATTTTTTTCAGAGCCTTGGCCTCCATTGGTGACAGCCACCTTGGTGTTTTACTTTCCAGCAAATCCTTATATCTCACCCAGACATTAAACAATGCTTTCCTAACAATATGGTTCTTAAAGGCTTTGTGTGCTTTGACCTTGTCGTACCACAAGTATGCATGCCATCCAAAAACATTGTTAAAACCTTCTAGATCCAAAATGTCCGTGTTTTCAAGAAGCAGCCAATCTTTCAGCCAGCAAAATGCGACTGATTCATAGTAGAGTTTAAGGTCTGGCAGGGCAAATCCACCTCTCTCTTTAGCATCAGTTAAAATCTTAAATTTTATTCTAGGTTTCTTGCCCTGCCAGACAAATCTCGAAATATCTCTCTGCCATTTCTTGAAACAGTCCATCTTGTCCAAAATTTGCAATGTTTGAAACAAAAACAACATCCTAGGCAATACATTCATCTTTATCACAGCGATTCGGCCCAGCAATGATAACTTCAATTTTGACCATATTTCCAAATCCTTTTTCACTTCCATCCAACATTTTTCATAGTTATCTTTAAATAAATTCACATTTTTAGCAGTCATATGAGCCCCTAGATACTTCACTTTCTTAACCAATATTAATCCTGTCTCCTTCTGAAACCTCTTTCTCCATCTCTGTGAGATTTTTCTCTAACACCTTAGTTTTCAACTTATTCAACTTAAATCCTGCTACTTGACCAAATTCTTGAATTAATTGCAATACTCTTTTAGTACTGGATTCTGGCTCCTGTAATGTCAAAACCAAATCATCAGCAAAAGCTTTCAATTTATACTGTTTAGCTCCGAGTTGTATACCTTTAACCAATTGGTCTTTCCTGATCATGTTAAGCAAAACCTCCAGGACCGATATAAAAAGCAATGGGGAGATTGGGCAGCCCTGTCTTGTTCCTTTCTCAATCTTAAACTCTTCTGTAACTACGTTATTCACAATTAGCTTAGCTTTTTGTTCTGAGTAAATTGCACCTATACCGTTTTCAAAACCTTGGCCTACCCCCATTCCCTGTAGATTTTTCTTCATAAAGCTCCAAGAAATGTTATCAAAGGCTTTCTCCGCATCCACAAATATTAAAACTGCTTTAGTGTTAATATTAACTTGTAGTTTTTCTAAAATATTATGTTCCTCGTATTATCTGACAAATGCCTCCCCGGGAGAAAGCCCGCTTGGTCCTTATGAATTTCTTCCACTAGTACCTTTTTTAATCTTTTAGCCATGATTTCCGCAAAAATTTTATAATCCACATTAAGTAAAGTTATGGGACGGTAGTTCTTAAGCTGTGTCTTTTCCGATTCTGTTTTCGGTATAAGTGTAATATATGCTTCTTTCCACGACTCGGGTGCCTCCCCCCCCCAATATTTCATTGCAAACTTCCTTCAAAGGCTGTATTAACCATTCTTTCAGGGATTTATAATACTTTGCAGTCAAACCATCTGGCCCTGGAGATTTGCCCAATTTCATGTTCTGAATGGCTCCTTCCACCTCTTGGTCAGTTATTTTACAAGGATACGTTTGATCTTCTTGCAGTCCATGGGACTCTCAAGAGTCTCCTCCAGCACCATAATTCAAAAGCATCAATTCTTCGGCGATCAGCCTTCTTTGTGGTCCAGCTCTCACTTCCATACATCACTACTGGGAAACCACTTTCTCTACGGGCAGAAATTCCCGAGCAGCGAGGAAACGTAAGGTTTAAGGGGAGAGAGAGCCTGGCTGCCTAGAGCAGCCCTGAAAAGGCCCCTCTCTCCATCACCCTGTCTCGTCTCCTATACTCTTTCCGCTTGTCTTGGGAGGCCTCTGGGGTGGCGAGTCCTTTGGGTGAAGGGGAGGCTCTGGGGCGACTGGGGGTGCAGAGAAGGGTGTTGGGGGGCTGAGAGATGAATGGGAGGATCCCCTGGGTGGGTGGGTGGAAAGGAAACCATGGGACCCAAGGCCTTTGAGGTCCCTGCAATGCCCCCCCATGAACCCAGGGTGGGGGGAGAGCGGGCTCTTTGGGGGGCTCAGAAATGGGTGTCCCTTGAGAAGGGGGGAGGACTCCAAGTGGGGAAAGAGGGTGGGCACCTATATTTGGCAGATGCTTTCTTTGCGACCCCTGCATTGCGGAGGGGTTGGACTAGATGACCCTGGGGGTCCCTTCGAGCTCCACCGTTTTATGGTTCTGGTGGGTAGAGGACAGACTGAATTAGTATCACCAGAAAACATTTAAAAAAGCGTCTCCTTGTGTGACGTGAACTGTGGGTTCTCACATATGGAAATGTCCAAAATTCAGCATTCGATTGACGTTGGAGAGAGACTGAGTTGAGAAATAAGACCAAGGGTAGATATTGATATAGGAAGGTATTAGATAAAATGTAAAGAAATATACAATAATACAAGTACATTAATTTGTAAAAAAGGAATATACAACGGGATAGACAGGATGTCCAAAGTGTTAGTATATATATATGATTTTGGAATAGTTTTTTGTCCTTGTGATTTCCCCCCCCCCTTTAAGGATATAAACTTTGTATACATGCTAAAAATTACAGTATAATAAGCCTTGTGATGTAATATGATGTTTACCGATGTAACAAAAGAACTTTAATAAATAAATAAAACTGGACTCACCTGCTAACTGCACTCTATTAAACAGTGTGCACATCTCACTGTATACAAACTACAAAAATCTATACAATTTACCACAGTTTATCTTGTAGTGAGTGAATATCGTCCCAGGCAGAAGCTGAACAAACAACAAGGAGAGTTTTATTAATAAAAATAAGTTGTTGAAAGAAAGTGGGTCAGGAAATGTGTTCTCCTGGGTAGAAGTCAACTTATTTACTTAAACTATAAGATGTTTCAGGCTTACACACAGGATTACAGTCACAGCTTCTCTTAAACTCAATTCACTTAAAAAAAGGTTATACTTCAGTTTCTGATACTTAGTTGGGACAAGGTGGTTCAGTTAAATAATACAGCACATCTTACTTCCCCGATCAATACCCTGGTTCATGAGCGAGGGCACTTTTCCCCAGCTCCCCCTCTCTAAGCAACCCCACTGCTGAGGTAATTCCAAAATGGCGTAACAGACCCAGGGGATCCCCTCCCCCCTTGTGACTGGCTTAGGCGTCCTTTCTCCCTAGAAGAACTGTCCCATCTGGACTGGAAAGAGACCCAGGGGAGCCTGAATTCCCCAGGATCTGCTTCTCCTGCCTCAAGAGTCAGCCATCCCAGGACACCCCTGTTTGTAAACCTTCCCCAGACCCTCAACCAGGTCTCCCTCTCCAGGCTGGGAGGGTTTTCCCTCTCTCAGGGAGGGTATTCAACTCAACTAGAACCAGTTCTCCCTCAGGAAAATCCTATCCTCCTCCCTAACTCCCACCTCAAAACAATCCCTCTTCATCTTCTCTCATATCAAACTCTCTCCCTCAGTAACGGCTCCTTTTATTTTCCCTCCAAAAGTGCTGTTGTCCAATCAGAGAGAGGTTCCATCCCTCTGGTGGAATTTCAGGGGGACTGAATGACCAGACTCTGGTCCGGCTCTGCCGTCCGTCCGTCACACTTCTGCCTGAGAACAACCAGTACAGGTCAGTAGTAGGAAATTTCTGTCCCTCATCACAACCACCAGACCTACTAAAGGTTAATACTTTGTAAGGAAAACATCAGGAATCTGGAATCTCCATGTATCTACACCACCTTGGGTTTCACAATATGGCAGTTCTAAGAGCAGAGGTGGGGAAAGCAAGAGTTTGCCTGTGAGAGGAAGAGTTTTGGGCTCCTTGTGAAAGGGGATTCTAGGAACCACCTTAGACAAGGCCTTTCCCAGGATGGAAAGGAAGCAAGGGAAATCTGACACTCCCTTATTCCTTTTGAAATAGTTTATTCCAGGCTTTACGATACGGGGTAAGAATTTCCTTCCAAACCACCCCTCAATGACTCATGGCCAGGGGAAGGAATAACACCTCAAAGAAAAACACAGCCAAGAGAGAGGAAAATTCAACATCCAGAAGGGACCCAATTTATTGAGAGATAAGTTATTGCAAAAGCTCCAGTGACTCAAAACCAGAGGTTCATTTTAGTACAATTTTGAGAGTGATTTTTGAGAAAGGAACAGGCATTAGCTCATAGAAGTTATACTTGTAAGGGAAAGTCACAGGTCAGGGAGCTAAAACTGTTCTTCTGTCCATTATTTTGGGTATCCTGGTGTCTTGCTGTCTTAGGATTTACATTTCACTCATTTATTGTCCGTCTCCCTCACAACCATCTCCCTTTAGAAAGTCCTTAGCTTACCATTCCAATAGCTCCCAACACCTGGGAAGAAGACTCAAGGGAAGAAGAGTCGGTCACATAAATTTTCTATTTCTAAACTTTTTAAGCAATAGTTTGAAAGATAATTGGGTGGAAGTTGGGGTTGAGAAGTCCACGTAGCCTATAAATTATTAGAGCACTGAGACATAGCTTCCATCAGAGAAAGTAAGATGAAGGTATAACAAAGGTACATATGTTTCATTCACTGTTAGGTTATACAAATTCTATTATATGCTAAATGGGTTAACTAATTTTACAACAGAAACACCAGTTCAGTCTCGACTTGAGAGGTTGCAAAACGTGGGGGCAGATCCAGAAGGCAGATCCAGCCCCCCCCCCAAGAGAAACTGCAGCAGCTGATCTAGAACACTCTTTCCCTCCAAGCCGTATTAATGGATCCTTCTCTAGGAGGACTTGGAGGAGCCACAGACCCTTGGGAAGGAGAGAGGAGCAAAGGATGCCCCAGAGCCCCTCTGGAGAAGTTATTGACAGCACCCAAAACAGAATCACCCACCAAAGGCCATGTTTCTCTTTCTCCACCACCTTCTCTTCCCCCAGGGTTGCTTTTATTCATCTAGAGGAGCGGGGGAGGGAGTCTCTTTCACACCCCCTCTGGACACCCGAGGAACCGTGCTTTCTTCATTCCTCTATTCCTGCTGCCACTGGAATTAATTTTTTTATCTGAACATTGTGCCCATCAGAGAACCAAGGAAGAGGAAGGGTTGTAACACAATTAGTGTATGTATTATAAAAACTACAAAAGGGGTTTATGCACATAAGATGGCCTCACTCTGTGTCTTATTTGTTCATTTAGTATAATTACAACAACAGGTGTTATACGGTTGTTCGTATACTACTAATTTAACGAACCCTGCTTCCAAAGCATCACAACTTTCACCCTGTAATTTCCACAATGCTCTATTAGCAACCCCAAAACACCAACATTTCCAACTCTCTCTACCAAAGACCGAACTTCAGCCAACTCAAAGAGCATCAACACTGACCACCAGCATTGCAGGTTCACGCTCTCAGCAAACTGCAAACAGTTCATGACATATGATATTGCATTTACTATTGTGAGACATCACCTTCATTACTTGAATACATGGGTACAAATTTACATGCAGACACCAGAACTGTTGGTTTCTATTTCCCTCACTGAGCAGCAAATGCATGTCACAAGACAGTGTTTACATTCCACAGTTCAAGTTACTGTTGGATTCCCACGGAAAAGGGAGACTGGATGTGACGTACACTGGTTTCCTGTTTCTTTGTTCTGTCGTTTCTTTGTTGAGAGTTGCTCTCTGCTCTCACAGAGGCAAGATGTACGTTTGTGTGTTCTCGGTATAGAAATAAAAATTACCATGTAGCGCAATACCTGCTTATCCTTTCGTTGTGGACTAAGAGATTGCACTCTGCTGTATCAGCTCCAGATGGGCCGGAGCTGATCAAGCATAACATTTTTTGTTCCGGGCCCAGAAGTCGGAATCAGAATGATGAATGGCGACCGGCAGAGGAACGGAACGGAGATATCTGCTCTCCGTGTCAAGAAGATTGATGAGAGGTATGTGCTCTTGCTACAGGAAGCCTGCCAGTTCCTAATTAATGGCTTTAAGGCTGGACTTTGAACTTTTAAGCCAAAGCAGCCGTTTGCTGCGGCAGAGGCTCGGCAGAGGCTTGAAAACGAAAGTGCATTTGGAAGCAGCTGTACACAGACGCAGCTTGCTTTAAAGCAGCAGAGATGGCTAATGCAAGGCTAGCAGACACTTTTGGAATTCCAAAGCTCAATAAAAAGAATTTCGTGGAATGGGTGTTGTATGCAGAGGCTCTGCTATGAAAAGAGGGTCTGTTCAATGTTATTACAGATGCCCCCCCAGCTCCGGTGTCGGATGAATGGGCAGCTAAGGATTCCAAAGCAAGGGGAACTCTTACGCTGTTTGTATCCCCAGAAGAGCTATGTCTTTTGCGTGATAAGACCTCAGCCAAAGAGATGTGGGACACTTTAAGAGACGCTCATTTGAGAACAGAGGCTGGTGCTTCTTTGTTCTACTATGCCAAGTTGCATGATATGGCACTTGCTGGAGGTGCAGATGTGCATGGAGATGCAGAATCTGAGACATGAGCTGCAACAGAGAGGAATCACCTTTCCAGAGGCTGTGTATTCCTTCATGATACTAAATTCTTTGGGTTCAAGTTGGGAATCCATTGCCACTCAGACTGCTGTTTTGCCAACTGCTCAGCTCATGGTAGTGCATGTTACTGCTGTTGTTCAGAACGAAGCAGACCACCGTAGTGCTAGCTGCATCAGTAAGGGAGAGTCTTCACAGATGTCATCCCAGAACGCAGTGGAACCACTAGATGGCGCCAAAGCTTTGAAGGCAGTGAAATGCTACTCGTGTGGACGTCTAGGCCACATGAAAAGGGAATGCAAGTATCCCAACAAGGCCAAGACAGAGCAGCGCAGTGAAAGCTCAATGCATGGAAAAGGCAAAGGCAAAGGTCCGGTGTCCAGGACAACGCAGCACAAAGCGATGGTCTCACGCTTCACTCCAAAGGTTGTAAAGGTCCAGAAGACGTCTAGATCATTCTTCGTTGTTGATTCAGGAGCCACGAGACACATTTGCAACAACAAAAGACTGTTTGTGTCTTTTACACCGCAGGAAGGTGCGATTCACCAGGTGGATGACCACACGATCTCCAGTCAAGGCTATGTAACTGTTGTTCTTCACAGTTTGGACTTGTCGATACATGACGTTCTCTACGTTCCAGATGCGCAGCTGAATGAACGGAACATTGACGTTTCCTTCAAGAACAAGAAGTGCACCATCACAAAGAAAAACGATTATGTATTGCTTGCTGAATATGTTGATCGTTTGTTTGTACTGTATTTTGATGATGTTGTGCAGGATGAAACTTGTTGCATTGCAGGTTCTAACAAAAGTTTGCATGCAGGATGTATTCATGATTTTCACAGAAAATTTGGTCATTTACACTTTGAGGCATTTTCCAAAATGCCTGCCTTGGTTGAAGGTATGACTATTAAACCCTGCAGGTACCACATGAAGTGTAAGGCATGCGCAGCAAACAAGGTAAAAATGGCTGCAAAAGGTAAGATGTCTAGTAGGCAAGCTACAGAACCATACCAGGTAATGCATGCTGATTTAGTTGGTCCACTATTGCCCTCTTTGGGTGGAAACAGGTACTTCATGGTTCTCATTGACTCATTTTCCAGGTATATTTATGTGTTCAATCTCAAGCAGAAATCAGAGGCATTTCCAAGGCTCCAGAGGTTTTTCACAGGTACCAGGAGAAGACTATCACGAGACCTACTCACCCACCGTGAGGTATGAGAGCATTAGGCTTATGCTCAAGCTTGCTGCAGAAGAGAATCTTCACATTTCTCACCACGACGTGAATACAGCATTTTTGTACGGATCTCTAGGTGAATCACTTTATATGCTTCCACCTGATGGCGTACAGGTAAAACAGGGATTTGTTTGTTCTCTGAAGAAATCACTTTATGGTCTCAAACAGAGTGCACGATGTTGGCATACTAAACTCACAGAAGTATTGTTTTCTCTAGGTTTTCAGCAAGGGAAAGCTGATCCATGTGTATTTGTCAAAGAGGAAGGGCAAAAGAAGCTGTATTGTTTATTTTATGTTGATGATATACTTTTCTTTTGGGAAGATGTTAAAATGTACAATAATGCCCTAGCTCAACTGAAAGAGCACTTTGACATGAAAGATCTTGGTGAGGTAACCAACTACCTATCTGTGGAAATAGAGAGAGATCCGGATGGTAACATTCTAGTACACCAGTCACGGAAAATTGCTGATGTGTTAAGCAGACTAAACCTGATGGATGCTAACCCTGTAGACACACCGATGACAACAGGTTATTAGATAGATGACACTGAAGGAGCATTTTCTGACACTACACTGTACAGAAGTGTGCTAGGCAAACTAAACTTCATTGCCAGATGTTCAAGACCTGACATTGCTGTTAGCTGTAATTTGCTAAGCAGACAAGTCAACAATCCTACTGTTAAGGATTGGAAAGCTCTGAAACGCATAGCTCGCTATTTGAAAGGCACTATGCATTACAGACAGGTTTAACAATCAGAAGTCTGGTGGTCTTGAGATATTTGCAGATGCAAGTTTTGGAAGTGACACTACAGACAGGAAAAGTACGTCTGGAGTTTGCTACATGTACAATCGGTCTATTTGATTGGTCATGCAAGAAGCAGACAACAGTTAGTTTAAGCACTTGTGAAGCTGAACTGAATGCACTGTCTTATTCACTTAAGGATTGTGAATGGTTGTTACAATTGTGCAAAGACATGAAAATTCCTGTCAAATGTCCAATCCAGGTTTACCAGGACAACAAAGCATGTTTGGCTTTGCTGAATTCTGAAGGTTGTAAGCAAAGCACGAAGCACTTACAATTGAAGTTGCAACATGCTAGGGAATGTGTACAGAAGGGACTCGTAACGGTGTCCTATATGCCAGGTAATGAAATTCCTGCTGATGTATTGTCCAAGATTGTTCCAAGGGATCAACACTGTACCTATGTACAAAAGTTGGGTTTGTACTGATATTGTACGAACACGCTGCCCAGTGATGTTCACAGAAAGGGGGAGGATGTTGGTTTCTATTTCCCTCACTGAGCAGCAAATGCATGTCACAAGACAGTGTTTACATTCCACAGTTCAAGTTACTGTTGGATTCCCACAGGAAAGGGAGACTGGATGTGACATACACTGGTTTCCTGTTTCTTTGTTCTGTTTCTTTGTTGAGAGTTGTTACCGGAAAATCCGAGGGCTCCCTTGGACAAAAACAAAGACACCAACCAGAGCAAATTGGAAGCAAATCAGCAACCTGTAGGCTTGGTCTTTATTGAAGAAAAGACTGTCACGACAGGACTCCCACCGCCCACGAGGTGAAGCAAGATGGAAGCCCAGAACAAAAGAAGACCCCAACTTTTATTAGCTCCTAATCCCCTAAGTTACACCCCTGGAAATACATCATATTTACATCATGACTACATTAAGAACAGGAGTCAGGGGAGGGGTCGCACAGGTAATCCGAGTATCCCGACACCTGGCGGGAGCCCCTCCCTTCCTCCCCATAAGTCTTTTTCAGAAAACAAAGGGAAAGGCGCAGTTTCCTGCCCCCGAGGGGAATCCGGTCACAATCCCTTTGTCATAGTCCTTGTTGAATACACTAGTGTATGCAGTTCATTGTGTCTTTGATAGTCCTTCGTCTGAGCCCATCAAGATGACTATCAAGGTTGCTGTGTCAACTGGGGAAGGGCTGCAGAGTACGTGCCTGCTCGGTCAAGGGATTATGGCTGACTGGCATCAAACCACCCCCCTTTGACAGTCCTTGTGATATGGAGTAGAATAAAAGTGGTCCGGTGAAAATCCGATATATGGTTGATTTATGGTGAATTTATGAAGAATACTGTTGTTGAAGTTCAAAGCACTTTCACTTTTCAGGAAACGGTTGCAACATTTTGATTAAATCAGTCACGGTCAATTGAACTCGGAAACTTTGTATTAGGAGGCTGTCAAAGACAGAGAAGCGAGAGCCTGCTGCCTGCAGTACCAGCGTGGCCGCCATAAGAGGCGCTGTTCGGTAACGCTGATTGGCTGAAACGGCAGCCGACTGACCCGGAGTTCAGGCGGCCGGTCTACTCATGATAAAGATAGGGCGAAGTGGGACGTTGTAAGAAAATAAAGGAGTTCTATGGGAAATCAGCGCTTCCTTATTTACGGAAGGCTATCGTTCGTTGGGGTGATGCCCCTTCTAGAGGGGCATCACCCAGTTCGGGGAGGTGGGAGGTGTGTGTGGTGCTTGTGCATTACGATGTAATGAAGGGGGGGGTCTCCGGTGACAGTGTTGCTCTCTGCTCTCACAGAGGCAAGATGTACGTTTGTGTGTTCTCGGTATAGAAATAAAAATTAGCATGTAGCACAATACCTGCTTATCCTTTTGTTGCGGACTAAGAGATTACACTCTGCTGTATCAGCTCCAGATGGGCCGGAGCTGATCAAACATAACAAGAACTTCGAATATACTCTATGCATCTAATGGCTGATGTATATTAAGATCTGCACTCCAACTGAAGCTCCTTCCACACTGACTGAAGCTCTTTCCACATTCCATATATTTAAATGATTTCTTGCTGGTGTATGGCTGTTGATGTTTTCTATGTGCTCCACAATCAGTAAAGCTCTTTGCACACACAATCCTCACATTTAAATGCTTCCCCCCCGGTGTGAATGTTCTCTGGTGTCTTTAGCATGTCTGCTTTGACCGAGGCTCATTCCACACTCCTTACATTTAAATGGTTATTCTCTGGTGTGAGTTCGCCGATGTCTCTTAAAGTTTCCACTTTGACTAAAGCTTTTCCACATTCCATACATTTAAATGGTTTCTCCTTTGTGTGAGTCTGTAGATGGCTTCTAAGGGTTCCACCATTACGGAAGCTCTTTCCACACTCCATACATTTAAATGGTTTCTCCCCTGTGTGAGTTCTTTGGTGGCTTTTATAATTTCCACTTTGACTGAAGCTCTTTCCACACTCTATACAGTTATATGGGTTCTCCCCTGTGTGAGTTCTTTGGTGCAGTCTAAGGTTTTCGGTTGAAGTGAAGCTCTTTCCACACTCCATACATTTATATGGTTTCTCCCCTGTGTGAGTTCGCTGATGTATTCTAAAGGTTACACTATGACGAAAACTCTTTCCACATTCCATACATTTAAATGGCTTCTCCCCTGTGTGAGTTCTTTGGTGGCTTTTATAATTTCCACTTTGACTGAAGCTCTTTCCACACTCTTTACAGTTATATGGGTTCTCCCCTGTGTGAGTTCTTTGGTGCAGCCTAAGGTATCCACTTTGACTGAAGCTCTTTCCACACTCCATACATTTAAATGATTTCTCCCCTGTGTGAGTTTTCTGATGTGTTCTGAGGTATCCACTTTGACTGAAGCTCTTCCCACATTCCATACATTTAAATGGTTTCTTCCCTGTGTGAGTTTGCTGATGTATTTGAAGGGCCCCACTTTGATGGAAGCTCTTTCCACACTCCATACAGTGGAATGGTTTCTCCCCTGTGTGTGTTTTCTGATGTTTACTAAGGTTTGCACTTTGACTGCAGTTCTTTCCACATTCCATACATTTAAATGGTTTCATCCCTGTGTGAGTTCGCTGATGTATTGTAAGGGCGTCCCTACGACCAAAGCTCTTTCCACATTCCATACATTTAAATGGTTTTTCTCCAGTGTGAATTCGCTGATGTGTCCTAAGCTGTCCACTTTGACTGAAGCTCTTTCCACACTCAATACATTTAAATGGTTTCTCTCCCGTGTGAATTCGCTGATGTGTTCTAAGGTCCCCACTTTGACTGAAGCTCTTTCCACACTCAATACATTTAAATGGTTTCTCCCTTGTGTGAATTCTTTGATGGATTCTAAGTGCTCCACGCTGACTGAAGCTCTTTCCACACTCCATGCATTTAATTGGTTTCTCTCCCTTGGGAGTTTGTTGATGTTTCCTATGAGTTTTGCTCCAGTTCAAGCTCTTTTTGCACTGCATAGCTTTAGATGGTTTCTCTTCTGTTGAGTTCATGATGGTAAACTCAGTGTGCACACTGACAGAAGAACATTATGTACATTTTAACTTTGCCTTCATTATTCTCAATGAAATTGAAGATGTCTCCTCAGAATTTGGATCGCCTTCTCCTTTGGGGGGAAAGAAAACCATTTTAGGGTTTCACAGAAGAGGGAAAAGGAACTTAACACAAAGTGAGCCTAATTAACACCACCGTCTTTTTTTTAAAAAAGCATCTCCTAGATTCCCCCTCTCTTCTCTATGTCTCCCTGAGGAAGTATGGCCAGGGAATGGACCACCTGATCTCATGCCCGTCTTGTGATATACAACTATCCTTGTGGAAATTATCTGTCCAGGACTCTCTCACTTTCCTTTCTCCTTTTGGGTGGGTGGCTAAGCAAATATGTGTGACACTGAAAAAGCTGAATTCTAATGGGAAGACTTTCAGAGGAAAATATCCTTTGGAATAATATACCAATTTCATGTAAACTGTCAATTGGATTACAGAAGCGGATTATGCATTTCCTAAATGTGGCCAAAAGACTGATACTGATAAATTAGAGGAATAAAGATATGTCCCCCATTAATTAATTAATTAATTAATTAATATTATTATTAATAATAATAATAATAATTTATATTATTCAAACCCCGGCCATCCGGCTGGGTTTCCCCAGTCCTCTGGGCAGCACCAAACAAAATATTAAAAACATGATAAAACAGCAAACATTGATTTCCGGTTGGTCCACAGAGCTGAGAAGAGACGGGACTCAGCCCTTAGGGGAGAGTTCAGCTCCTTGCGAGACAAAGGGGGAGTCTGCAAGGGTGCCGCAGCCCCCTCAAAACACTCAAAAAAGGATTATTTTGAGGCCAGCTGCGCCATAAGGATGGGATGCAGGCAAGGCAGTCATGAGAGGATTCTTTATTCAACAGAATAGAATATATAGAAGATTCAGAGAAAAGAAAAAGATGGAAATTTTAAATGAGATAACGGAAAATGAAAAAAGCTAGCTAAAAAGCCAAATGATATCACGATTAATCAAAATATTAAGATATTACAAAGTCAATTTTCAACAATTGTGAATCAGGAAGTAGAATGGAAAATTAAAATGATGAAACAAAAGAACTTTGAATAGGCAAATAAACCAGGAAAATGGCTAGCATGGCAGATAAACAAAAGAAAATCTCAAAAGACAATTAATAAAATGAAAATTGGAGAGAAAGAACTAGAGAATCCGAAAGAAATAAGAAAATGATTTGTAAACTTCTACCGACAATTGTATAAAAAAGGTGGAAAAGAGAACATAGTCAAAATAGAAGAATTTTTAAAGAAGAATGGATTGCAACAAATCCCACAGAAAAGGACAGACTGAATGAATTAATAGAAGGGAAAGAAATTTCGAGAGCAAGAAAAGACTTAAAATCAGGAAAAGCACTAGGACTGGATGAATACTTGACGGCCATGAATGAAAAGCAGGCAGCCATAATATTTGTGGAAGCTGAGAAGGCCTTTGATAATATATTTGGGAATTTATGATTAAAAACTTAGAAATGATGGAAATGGGTCAATTGTTTATGAGCAGTTTAAAAGCAGTATATTCAAGTCAAAAGGCAAAACCTATTGTGGATAATGTATTAACAGAAAATATTGAAATTACAAAAGGGACAAGACAAGGGTGTCCACTATCACCGTTGTTATTCATATCGCTTCTGGAATTCTCCTGAATTAAAGGCTAGCAGAAGGAATTAAAGGAATATCAGTCAGAAGGAAAGAATATAAAGTAAAAGCCTTTATGGATGACTTAGTAATAACAATTGAACCAATAACAAGTTCGAAGGAAGTACTAGAAAAAGTGAATAGTTTAGACAAGTAAATAAAAATAAAAAGTTTGTTAAAAATTTGAACAAAAAGATGGTGGACCATTTGCAACAACAAACAGAAATAGGGGTGGTAAAGAAAGTGAAATACCTAAGAATATTGTTAACCCCCCAAAATATAAATTGATATCAAGACAACCACAACCAGGTATGGAATAAGATTAAGAGAGATTTGGAAGTGTGGGGAAGGATGAAATTATCACTTTGGGGAAGGATATCAGTTATAAAAATGATTTTGTGCTATCAAAAATGTTATTTTTCTTTCAGTCAATTGATGGAGTACAGAGTATTAGCTAAGATGACCGGGAGAATTGGAGAACAGCGGGACCAAAAATTCCTGAAGGACTGGAGTAAATTTGTGAATTATTTGTAGGACAATGGTATTCAGTTGAATACGCTTGTAGGATAACAAGAAGTCTTGTGAAAAATGGAGATAAGAAATATTGTTAATCAAGGTTAAAAGATAGGATGTTAACATTTTGATTATATAAACAGTAGTAAAGACACAAAATGTAAACAGAAGAGAGAGATAGGGTGAAATCATTAGAAGGGAATGATGTAAGTCACTGGCTAAAAATAGCCAAGATGTGTAAGAGATGATAAGATGGATGTTTTGTTTGGAAAGTTTATGTTAAAAATCATTAATAATAATAATAATAATAATAACATCAAACATCGAAAAATTCCCTAAACAGAGCTGCCTTCAGATCGATTGATGATATGACAACACAACGCTTGAATGGATTGCTTATAGACGTAGACTTTGTTCGGATAAACAGAATGACATGTGGAATAAGTTCATAGAGAATATAGTAGATCTCTAATAAACATATGTACAGTATGAGAATATTTAATATTATGGTATTATTTGAACTTTTTTCTCTTCTCTCTCTTTTATCTGTTCTCACTTTATTTTCTATAACTGAAATTATTTCAGTCAGTTAGTTCCCAACAACCAGCATTCTTCTCCTTCCACCTTCAGAGGTATTATTCATCTGAATCCCAGGAGATGGGAATCACGGCTGGGAAGGGAGCTTTTGCCCTCAGGCCCTGCTGGTGAGTTTCTCCTTGGCTGGTGTCATGGTACTGCCAGAGAATGAAGGGGAGGAGCAGAGACAGGTAGGAAGGGGGCAGGAAGTAGAGACTGAGGAAAGAAGGGAAAGCCAGGAGGTGGAACGGCTCACAGATGTTGAACCAGAGCCTCAACACCGTACCGGAAGTTCTGGCACAGACAGTGAAACAATGCCTATTCCGTCTGCCAAAGAAAGGAGAGTGTTAAAGAGGAGGGAACGGAAGCATCACGGGAAACTTCCCCGCCTTTTCTGTTGGAGAGGGGCGGGCATAAGTCACTCCCAGAATCTGAGCCGGAGGATTCAGATGCCTGATTGTAACGTGCTGCTTGTACATATAAAGACTGTATATATGTATCTCTGAGTGAGCAGAGGCATTTCTTGCGAAGAGCATTCACAAGTCATCACAGCTGGTCACTCTGGGAACAGGATGCTGGAAAAGAGGGGCCTCCTGTGTTCGGAATTAGTGTAAAAACTGGGCCAGTGGATCTCAAAAGACCGCTATCTTTGTTCATTATCTGAATGAGGAGAGTTTTGGGGAGTTGCCCACCACCTGCAAGGTCAAAGAAATGAAGTCATTTGACCTGCACAGTTTTCCTGGAAATGGGAAGGTGTGAAACTGAATTTCAGAGGAGATTCTGTGGACTGTGGTTTGCTCACTCGCACTTTCCATCTGGATTGTGCCTTTTTCAGGACGGAGAGTGAACGATTCTCTCTAAGGATTGCCTTCACAAGGGCTCTGGTGCCTGTTTATGGACTCTGGGCTTATTTGCAACCATTCAGATGTGATTGGCCAGGACTAAGCCATTCCACTTGAAGTCTGGAATGTCATGTGGATATATAGCTCTTCTTCGTGCTTTGCTTTCCTATGCTCTGAATGCTGCTGTTTGTGTGAACTCTGTGGAGAGGCCAGTTTGGCGAAATGATATTGGACCCAAGCAGTCAGTGAATTATGAGCAGAATACCACAATTCCTTAATATCCTACAGATCTGGAAGGGCTCTTTCTATGTTCCTACACGCTGAAAGGAAACACACAAAGATACAGTCTCACAGTAAAGTACAGACCTCTCAATTTCTCCAGGACACGCCTCCGTGTTTTTCTGTTTCAATGCAGCTGATGTCAGACTGGTGTACCAGAGTCTCTCCTAACTGGAATAAATAAAACATAAGTGTTATTGATGTCCTAAGTGATTGTTAAAAGTATTCAAAAATATTCATCTTTAGAAGCAGAGCAAACAAAGTATCTAGTGGCCCATTAAAGGCTAATGGGCTTTGGTTTTTGTGGGCAGCAGTCCGATGATGTAGACAAGAAAGCTCAAAATTCCAGGATTCCTATAAACTATAATCCCACCAATTTACTATGTTTCACAGTTTGCAGGATTGACAAGTTGACAAACAATAAAAAAATTCCTTCCAGTAGGACCTTAGAAACCAACTAAGTTTGTTACTGATATGAGCTTTTGTGTGCATGCACACTTCTTCAGATACACAGTGTGCATGCACATGAAAGCTCATACCAAGAACAAACTTAGTTGAACTCTAAGGTGCTACTGGAAGCATTTTTTAAATTTTGTTTTAACTTTGGCAGCCCAATATGGCTACCTAACTGTATCTAGAATTTGACACACCTTACTTGTAATACAAGTGGTACCTTGGTTTGCAAACAGTTTGGATTACAAACACGTCAAACCCGGAAGTGCGTGTCCCGGTTTGCAAACTTTTTTGGGATTACAACCCAAAAAACTTTGGAGGCCCCATTGGCGAAAATGCACCTTGTGTTACAACCTGTTTTGGTTTACAAACGGAGCTCCGGAACGGCTTATGGTGGTAAACCAAGCCACCACTGTGCAGGCAATCCTTGTCCTGCAATCCAGTCAGATGGGAGGCATTTAATGAATTATTATTATTATTATTATTATTGTTATTCATGTACCTACATGTAAACCCTGCAGCAATGGGCATTGTCTATCATGATCTTGGGTCCTTTACCCTTGAAGTCCACCAGACTGAGAAAGTGCATACACCCATATCTTTTGATGCTGATACATTGTATCGCAGTTTGTAACTCACTCCTCCAAAAATAAGAAGTAATCAAGATGCTTTCAATATATCAGTAAACCCTGGAAGCATTTCCACAGCACCCTCCGCCCATATTTTTGGACTGGTGTTCAACAGCATCAGTCGTGCAGTGGAAAGTGAACATTGGTACTGACCGTGATAGGTTCCTTCTCTGCACTGAGGATGGGGGTACTTTGTGGGGTGTCAACACCCCCCTCTCCCCAGGAAGGAAGTCAAACTTTCGAGATGGGCAGACAACCCTTTTCACCAGCTCAATTTGCGCTTAAGCAGGTAACTGTATAGCAAGAAATAAACAGAACAGGAATAAAAAGGAAGACAACTTCTTTGGATAAAGGAACTCAGTGGTCCCACAGTTACTCTGGAGAACTTCCTAAAGGTCCCTGTAAGGTAGTCCAGGCAAAGAAGAGAAGAAAACCCAGGTAAGGGTGGAAATGAAAGAGAAGGGAGAAGGAGGGGAAGGAGACAAAGGAGGATTCTGGACATTTGGGTGGGGGAGTCCCAACCCCCAGGACAACCCTTGTTTCTCTGAATCTGATGGTCTCCCCCTCCTCAGAGAGTGAAAAGGCCGCAGGAAGAGAAGAGAGGAAAGCGGAGACAGGAGACAAAGGAGGAGAAAGGAAAAAGAAAGGAAGATCCCTTCCGAAATGGTGTTCCTGCCTTTTCTCTTCTGCCCTCCCTGGAGCTCTCATGCAGCTGACCTGGCCAGGGGGTTGCTCTGCGCACCAGGTCTGCCCTCTTGAAATTTGGACCTCCTGCCGGCACAAAGGTGGGCCAGGACCACCCACACGGGACCCCCCTCCTGCAATAAACTCGAAGCCTGAGCGAGGGAGGAAGTTTCCGGTAACTTAAGGGAGGGGGTTCCTCCCAGGATCTACCTGCCTTTTCTCTCCAGTGGCTGGAAAGAAGCATCCTGGAAAGAACTGGGTGGGGAAATGGGACCCCCCCTTTTTTCAAGGATCCCTCCCTGTCCCTCTCTCCAAGGCAGATTTCTTGCCAGGAAGGGAAAAGCCAAGGCCGCCCCTCCGGAGATTCCCCCGCCAGCGCCCAAGATGGAGACATCTCTTCCAAAAGGCGACGGGTCTCTCCTCACTCTCCCCCCCGCCCACAGGATTCCCCCCTCCCCCGCCACGAATGCTTCCATTGATCCTCCAGCCTCCAAGCTTCCTATGCCCTCCTCCCTCCGTCCCTGAGACGCCCCTGCGCCCAGAAACCCCCCTTGGCTCCGCTCACCCCTCGCCCCCAATTGCGCGTGGCGCGGGTGCTTCCAAGGAGAAGGCGCCACGGAAACCCGGCAGGGGCTTCCTCTGTAGAAAGGACCCCTGCACCCCCGCCCTTGTGCATGTCCCATAGTGTTATTGTGTTTCTGGGTGTGTGTGTGTGTGATCTTTTGTGGGGGAGGGGCTCCAAAGGAGATCGAGCCATGCAAGTCCTGCAGGTCTTGGGTCCCCACTTCGCAGCGGGATTGCATGGATCCAGACCCTCCTGGTGGGCCCCAGTAAAGGCGCTTTTGGGGACGGTGGGGAGATATGGAGGGGTCTTTGTCCTTTCCTCCCCCCTCCCCATTTCACCCCCCCATCCCTGCATCTTTACCCCTTTGTCCTCTCTTCTGCCCCTCCGCCTCCCTTGCTCGCTCTTCCGATGTCTTTTCCTGCAACAGAAAGAGCAGGGCGGGAGGAGTTAGTCCAGCGACGCCCCCCCCCCTTTCTCAAGCCCCTCCCGCTGCTCCTTTTTCCCGCCTGCCAGGAAAAGTCCGGCCCATAGAGCTATGGGGCAGAGCAGCCTCTGCCGGAGCTCAGATGGGATCCGGCACTGAGGATTTCCCCAGGGGATGTATGGGAGGCCTCTCTATCTCTCTCCTCTCTATGATGGGGAGGGGGGCTGTTCTTCCCTGCTCAGTTCCTCTGGGATCCTGCATCTCAGCCCGCAAGGCCCTTTTTCTGTGGTTAGACCAAGCCTGCAAGGCGGTTCTTTGGCCACTGCTTCCCTGCCTCTGCTTTACAGAAAGAGCAGCAAACTCTGCACATGACCAGAGAATACTGTATGAACTCCCACCACGCCTTTACAGTACCAGTTTTAGTTTGCCTAGTCCCACATTAGAGTTTCCAGCATTGCAGGGGGTTGGACTAGATGACCCTTGGGGGTCCCTTGCAACTCTGCATTTGTATGATTAACCACCAGTCAATAATGCAGGGCTCTTTTGCCTCCCGTAGATCACAATCCCGCAGCTCTGAAAGGAAGAGCCTCATGCTGTACCCACTGGGCTCTCCCACCTTCCGCCCCTATGGGATCTGGGTCCTAGCCGAGCGTTGCCGCGTCCTGAATCTGGTGAGATCCCATGGCGGGATCCAGATCCTTTCCAGTGCCTTGCCCACTTTCTCTGTTGTTGTTATTTAGTCGTTTAGTCATGTCCGACTCTTTGTGATCCCATGGACCAGAGCACACCAGGCACTTCTGTCTTCCACTGCCTCCCACAGTTTGGTCACACTCATGCTGGTAGCTTCGAAGACACTGTCCAACCATCTCGTCCTCTGTTGTCCCCTTCTTTTTGTGCCCTCCATCTTTCCCAACATCAGGGTCTTTTCCAGGGAGTCTTCTCTTCTCATGAGGTGGCCAAAGTATTGGAGCCTCAGCTTCAGGATCTGTCCTTCCAGTGAGCACTCAGGGCTGATTTCCTTAAGAATGGATACATTTGATCTTCTTGCAGTCCATGGGACCCTCATGAGTCTCCTCCAGCACCAGAATTCAAAAGCATCAATTCCTCGGCGATCAGCCTTCTTTGTGGTCCAGCTCTCACTTCCATACATCACTACTGGGAAACCACTTTCTCTACGGGCAGAAATTCCCGAGCAGCGAGGAAACGTAAGGTTTAAGGGGAGAGAGAGCCTGGCTGCCTAGAGCAGCCCGGAAAAGGCCCCTCTCTCCATCACCCCGTCTCGTCTCCTATCCTCTTTCCGCTTGTTTTGGGAGGCCTCTGGGGTGGCGAGTCCTTTGGGTGAATGGGAGGCTCTGGGGCGACTGGGGGTGCAGAGAAGGGTGTTGGGGGGCTGAGAGATGAATGGGAGGATCCCCTGGGTGGGTGGGTGGAAAGGAAACCATGGGACCCAAGGCCTTTGAGGTCCCTGCAATGCCCCCCCATGAACCCAGGGTGGGGGGAGAGCGGGCTCTTTGGGGGGCTCAGAAATGGGTGTCCCTTGAGAAGGGGGGAGGACTCCAAGTGGGGAAAGAGGGTGGGCACCTATATTTGGCAGATGCTTTCTTTGCGACCCCTGCATTGCGGAGGGGTTGGACTAGATGACCCTGGGGGTCCCTTCGAGCTCCACCGTTTTATGGTTCTGGTGGGTAGAGGACAGACTGAATTAGTATCACCAGAAAACATTTTAAAACGGAGCTCCTTGTGTGACCTGAACTGTGGGTTCTCACATATGTTAATGTCCAAAATTCAGCATTCGATTGACGTTGGAGAGAGACTAAGTTGAGAAATAAGACCAAGGGTAGATATTGATATAGGATGGTATTAGATAAAATGTAAAGAAATATACAATAATACAAGTACATTAATTTGTATAAAAGGAATATACAACGGGATAGACAGGATGTCCAAAGTGTTAGTATATATATGATTTTGGAATAGTTTTTTGTCCTTGTGACCCCCCCCCCCTTTAAGGATATAAACTTTGTATACATGCTAAAAATTACAGTATAATAAGCCTTGTGATGTAATATGATGTTTACCGATGTAACAAAAGAACTTTAAAAAATAAATAAAACTGGACTCACCCGCTAACTGCACTCTATTAAACAGTGTGCACATCTCACTGTATACAAACTACAAAAATCTATACAATTTACCACAGTTTATCTTGTAGTGAGTGAATATTTTCTCGGGCAGAAGTTGAACAAACAACAAGGAGAGTTTTATTAATAAAAATAAGTTGTTGAAAGAAAGTGGGTCAGGAAATGTGTTCTCCTGGGTAGAAGTCAACTTATTTACTTAAACTATAAAATGTCTCAGGCTTAAACACAGGATTACAGTCACAGCTTCTCTTAAACTCAATTCACTTAAAAAAAGTTGTTATACTTCAATTTCTGATACTTAGTTGGGACAAGGTGGTTCAGTTAAATACAGCACATATTACTTCCCCGATCAATACCCTGGTTCCTGAGCGAGGGGCACTTTTCCCCAGCTCCCCCTCTCTACACAACCCCACTGCTGAGGTAATTCCAAAATGGCGTAACAGACCAAGGGGATCCCCTCCCCCCTTGTGACTGGCTTGGGGGGGTCTTCTCTCCCTAGAAGAACTGCCCCCTCCTGACTGGAAGGAGACCCAGGGGGTACCTGAATCCCCCCAGGATCTGCTTCTCCTGCCTCAGGAGTCAGCCCTCCCAGGACACCAGTTTGTAGATCTTCCCCAGACCCCCAACCGGGTCTCCCTCTCCAGGCTGGGGTCTTTCCTCTCTCAGGGAGGGTGTTCAACTGAAACCAGAACCAGTTCTCCCTCAGGCAAATCCTATCCTCCTCCCCAATTCCCACCTCAAAACAATCCCTCTTCATCTTCTCTCATATCAAACCCTATGTAACTCTCTCCCTCAGAAAGGACTCCTTTTATTTTCCCTTCAAAAGTGCTGTTGTCCAATCAGAGAGAGGTTCCATCCCTCTGGTGGAATTTCAGGGGGACTGAATGACCAGACTCTGGTCCGGCTCTGCCGTCCGTCCGTCACACTTCTGCCTGAGAACAACCAGTACAGGTCATCTGTAGGAAATTTCTGACCCTGATCACAACCACCAGACCTACTAAAGGTCAGTACTTTGTAAGGAAAACTTCAGGAACCTGGAATCTCCATGTATCTACATCACCTTGGGTTTCACGATATGGCAGTTCTAAGAGCAGAGGTGGGGAAAGCAGGAGTTTGCCTGTGAGAGGAAGAGTTTTGGGCTCCTTGTGAAAGGAAATTCCAGGAACCACTTCAGACAAGGCCTTTCCCAGGATGGAAAGAGAGTGAGGGAAAGCCCATTCGAAATAGTTTATTCCAGGCTTTAAGATACGGGGTAAGAATTTCCTTCCAAACCACCCCTCAATGGCCCATGGCCAGGTGAAGGAATAACACCTCAAAGAAAAACACAGCCAAGAGATAGGATAATTCAACGTCCGGAAGGCACCCAGTTTATAGAGAGAAATGCTATTGCAATAACTCCAGCGACTCAAAACCAGAGGTTCATTTTAGTACAACTTTGAGAGGGATTTTTTGAGGAAGGTACAGGCATTAGCTCATAGAAGTTATACATGTACTGGAAGGTCACAGGTCAGGGAGCTAAAACGGTTCTTCTGTCCATTATTTTGGGTATCCTGGTGTCTTGCTGTCTTAGGATTTACATTTCATTCATTTATTGTTCATCAACCTGACAACCAGACCTTTAGAAAGTCCTTAGCTTACCATTCCAATGGCTCCCAACGCCTGGGAAGAAGACTCAAGGGAAGAAGAGTCGGTTACATAAATCTTCTATTTCTAAACGTTTTAAACAGTTGTTCGAAAGATAATTGGGTGGAAGTCGGGGTTGCGAAGTCCACGTAGCCTAGAAATTATTAGAGCACTGAGACATAGCTTCCATCAGAGAAAGTAAGATGAAGGTATAAGAAAGGTACGTATGTTTCATTCACTGTTAGGTTATATGAATTCTATCATATGCTAAATGGGTTAACTAATTTTACAACAGAAACACCAGTTCAGTCTCGACTTGAGAGGTTGCATAACGTGGGGGCAGATACAGAAGGCAGATCCAGAACCCCAAAGAGAAACAAGGATGCAGCAGCTGATCTAGAACACTCTTTCCTCCAAGCCCTATTAATGGATCCTTCTCTAGGAGGACTTGGAGGAGCCACAGACCCTTGGGAAGGAGAGAGGAGCAAAGGATGCCCCAGAGCCCCTCTGGAGAAGTTACTGACAGCACCCAAAACAGAATCACCCACCAAAGGCCATGTTTCTCTCTCTCCACCGCCTTCTCTTCCCCCAGTTGCTTTTATTCATCTAGAGGAGCGGGGGAGGGAGTCTCTTTCACACCCCCTCTGGACACCCCAGGAACCCTGCTTTCTTCATTCCTCTATTCCTGCTGCCACTGGAAATAATGTTTTATCTGAACATTGTGCGCTTCAGAGAACCAAGGAAGAGGAAGGGTTGTAACACAATTAGTGTATCAATTATAAAAACTACAGAAGGGGTTTATGCACATAAGAAGTTGGCCTCACTCTTTCTGTTTCTTATTTGTTCATTTAGTATAATTACAACAATAGGTGTTATACGGTTGTTCGTATACTACTAATATAACGAACCCTGCTTCCAAAGCATCACAACTTTCACCCTGTAATTTCCACAATGCTCTATTAGCAATCCCGAAACACCAACATTTCCAACTCTCTCTACTAAAGACTGAACTTCAGCCGACTCAAAGAGCATCAACATTGACCACCAGCACTGCAGGTTCACGCTCTCCGCAATCTGCAAACAGTTCATGACATATGATATTGCATTTACTATTGTGAGACATCATTACTTGAATACATGTGTACAAATTTACATGCAGACACCAGAACTTCCCATATATTCTACGTATCTAACGGCTGATGTATAAAGATCTGCACTCCTACTGAAGCTCCTTCCAAACTCCATGCATTTAAATGGTTTCTTCCCATGCGAGTTCACTACTGTTTTGCACTCTGACCAAAGCTCTTTAAACACTCCATATATTTAAATGATTTCTCGCTGATGTATGTCTGCTGATGTTTTCTATGTGCTTCACTATCAGTAAAGCTCTTTGAACACACAATCCTCACATTTAAATGCTTTTCTCCCTGCTGTGAAAGTTCTCTGGTGTCTTTAAAATGTCCGCTTTTACCGAGGCTCTTTCCACACTCCTTACATTTAAATGGTTATTCTCTGGTGTGAGTTTGCTGATGTCTCTTAAGGTTTCCACTTTGACTGAAGCTTTTTCCACATTCCATACATTTAAATGGTTTCTCCTTTGTGTGAGTCTGTAGATGGCTTCTAAGGGTTCCACCATTACGGAAGCTCTTTCCACACTCCATACATTTAAAAGGTTTCTCCCCTGTGTGAGTTCTTTGGTGGCTTTTATAATTTCCACTTTGACTGAAGCTCTTTCCACAGTCCATACAGTTATATGGGTTCTCCCCTGTGTGAGTTCTTTGGTGCAGTCTAAGATTTTTGGTTGAAGTGAAGCTCTTTCCACACACTATACATTTATATGGTTTCTCCCCTGTGTGAGTTCGCTGATGTATTCTAAAGGTTAGACTATGACGAAAACTCTTTCCACACTCCATACATTTAAATGGTTTCTCCCCTGTGTGAGTTCTTTGGTGGCTTTTATAATTTCCACTTTGACTGAAGCTCTTTCCACAGTCTATACAGTTATATGGGTTCTCCCCTGTGTGAGTTCTTTGGTGCAGTCTAAGGTATCCACTTCGATTGAAGCTCTTTCCACACTCCATACATTTAAATGATTTCTCCCCTGTGTGAGTTTTCTGATGTGTGCTAAGGTTTCCACTTTGACTGAAGCTCTGTCCACATTCCATACATTTAAATGGTTTCTCCCCTGTGTGAGTTTGCTGATGTATTCGAAGGGGCCCACTTTGATGGAAGCTCTTTCCACACTCCATACAGTGGAATGGTTTCTCCCCTGTGTGAGTTTTCTCATGCGTTCTAAGGTTTGCACTTTGACTGAAGTTCTTTCCACATTCCATACATTTAAATGGTTTCATCCCTGTGTGAGTTCGCTGATGTATTGTAAGGGCGTCCCTACGACCATAGCTCTTTCCACATTCCATACATTTAAATGGTTTCTCCCCTGTGTGAGTTTTCTGATGTATTCTATAATTTCCAATTTGACTGAAGCTCTTTCCACACTCAACACATTTAAATGGTTTCTCCCCTGTGTGAGTTCTTTGGTGCAGTCTAAGATATTCACTTTGATTGAAGCTTTTTCCACACTCCATACATTTAAATGGTTTCTCCCCTGTATGAGTTCGCTGATGTGTTCTTAGGCTTCCATTATGAACAAAGCTTTTTCCACACTCCATACATTTGAATGGTTTTTCTCCTGTGTGAATTCGCTGATGTGTTCTAAGGTGTCCACTTTGACTGAAGCTCTTTCCACACTCAACACATTTAAATGGTTTCTCCCTTGTGTGAATTCTTTGATGGATTCTAAGTGCTCCACGCTGACTGAAGCTCTTTCCACACTCCATACATTTAATTGGTTTCCCTCCCTTACGAGTTTGTTGAATTTTCCTAAGAGTTTTGCTCCAGTTCAAGCTCTTTTTGCACTGCATAGCTTTAGATGGTTTCTCTTCTGTTGAGTTCATTATGGTAAACTCAGTGTGCACGCTGACAGACTTTGCCTTCATTATTCTCAATGAAATTGAAGGTGTCTCCTCAGAATTTGGATCACCTTCTCCTTTGGGAGAAAAGAAAATCATTTTAGGGTTTCACGGAAAAGGAACTTAACACAAAGTGAGTCTGATTAACACCACCGTCTTTTTTTTTAAAGCATCTCCTAGATTCTCCCCTCTCTTCTCTATGTCTCCCTGAGGAAGTATGGCCAGGGAATGGACCACCTTATCTCATGCCCTTCTTGTGATATAGAACTATCCTCGTGGAAATTATCTGTCCAGGACTCTCTCACTTTCCTTTCTCCTTTGGGTGGTTGGCTAAACAAATATGTGTGACACTGAAAAAGCTGAATTCTAACGGGAAGAATGTCAGAAGAAAATATCCTTTGGAATAATATACGAATTGCATGTAAGCTGTCAATTGGATTACAAAAGTGGATTATGCCTTTCCTAAATGTGGCCAAGAGAATGATACTATAAATTAAAGGGGGAAAATATGTTCCAACTTAATTAATCAATTAATTAATTAATTATAATATGTTATTCAAACCCCAGCCATCTGGGCAGCTCCCAACGGAATATTAAAACATGATTAAACATCAAACAGCGACTTCCGGTTGGTCCGCAGAGCTGAGAAGAGATGGGACTCAGCCCTTAGGGGAGAGTTCAGCTCTTTGCGGGACAAAGGGGGAGTCTGCAAGGGCGCTGCAGCCCCCCCAAAACACTCAAAAGGATTATTTTGAGGCCAGCAGCGCTATAAGGAGGTCTCTCCACCGCCGAAAATGCTCCCCTTGGGCAGCGGAAAGTGCTGCGAAAACGGAGTAAGAGTCTAATCTCTTACAGCGAATAAAAATAATAAATATACTCTTTTAGTTTTGAAGATTTGGTTTACTGAAAGGGAGGGGGAAATCCCTAAAAAATAAACTTATTTGAAGCCCTTTGGGAGTTGAAGGAGACCGCTGGAGAAGGAGCTTCTGGCTTTTACTTTTGATTTTAATTGAAACTTCGCAATTTGAAGAAACATATGTTTATGGAGCTATTCTTGTGAGTTAAAATACCAGACCAGAAGAGACAAATATAAAAAGACTGCTAAGTCTGGTACTGTAAGAAAATTGAGGAGATATTTACAGGAAGAGACTTGGGGAAATCCCCCCCCCCTTGGTTGCTGAGCATGGTGGATTTATTTTCTCTCTCTCTTTTAACTTCACCTTTTTCATTGTTAAGACATCATAATCGTAGGGATTACCTTCCTCTTTTACTTTTTTCTGGAATATAATGCGGTGGAAGTTGGATTAAGCTACCAAGAGGCGGAATAATTTGGTGTCGTTGGGACATAGTTTTGATTTCTTCTTGCTCTTGGGACGGGGATACAGTGGAAAGTGCGAAAGATCTGTGGAGTAGCCAACCAAGTGGCGGAAGACGTTTTCTCTTGCTTTCTCTTTTTCTTTTTGTACAAATAATTACTGGATTACTGCAGCATTTACCCTTTGTCCCCCTCTCGGCTATATACATTTGATATAGAACTGGTTGGAGGTGAAAGGGCCACCTAGTGGTGAAAGAGGAAATAACAGTTTAAGAATGACATCAACACAGAAAAAAGGAGGGGAGGGGGCAACACCAGGAGGGACCCGGAGAGGGTCAAAGCAAGAAATGGAAGGGAAGGAGATGTTGCAAGACTGTTTTTGTAACAGAAGACAGATATTAAAGAAATTAAACAAATGAGAAAAATATGGAAAGTAGATGGGAGCAGATGGACAAAAAATTAGATTTAACTGTGAATGAGATGAAAGCCCAGATAAAAGATGCAAGCAAGAGAACACAAAATTTAGAGGAAGGATTGAAACGTATGCAACGAGAAGTAAGGGATTTAAAAAAGAAGGATGAGAAAAATTAAAGTGCAGTGTCAGAGCTGAATAAGGAACAGGAGGAATTGTGGGGTGCAATGTGATGCAAAGAGAGACAAATTTGAGAATCAGATCTCTCCCAGAAACAGCAGGAGAGAATATTTTAGAAAAATTGATTATTGAAATTGCAAAATGAGTAGGAATTGAAAAAGATGAATTTGCCAATACAGTATTGAATGCATTTAGGATAAAAGTTAAATTAAAAAAATGGAAAGTTTCCAGGAAGTTGTTTGATTATATTTAAAGATAAGAAGATGAGAAATTTAATTTTGCTAAAAAAATAGAGAAAAGAAGCTCTATATTGATGGCGCAATGGTAATCATATTTAAGGACATTTCACTTTGTTTGCTGAAAAGACGCGACAGATATAAACCTCTGACACAAGTGCTGAGAAAAAACAATATAGATTTTAAATGGGAGCATCCGGAAGGAGTCTCATTCTACTACAAGGAAAAGAAATTTAAACTGAAAAATAGATGAAGTAAAAAATTTCCTCCGAAGGTACAGGGAACTGGATAAAGAGGAAGAAGGGGCAGTAGCTGCAGCAGCAGCCAGAACAGATACCATAGACCAAGAAGAAGAAGAAGAACATAAATTAAGAGAAGAAGAGGAAGGACAAGTTTAAAAGACTCTATTTCACGAATAAATAGTAACAAAAACAAAATGGCATTAAAACATAGAATGTTAATGGTTTGAATAACAAAACTAAAAGAAATAAATTTGAAAATATTCTATTAAAAAAACTTAGGTATTTGTTCACAAGAGACTCATGTTGCAAAAAAATAGAAGAATTTTGGTAAAGAAGAAATTAGGAAGTGAATTTATTTCATCAGACAGGAGTAAAAAGAGAGGGGTGGTGTTGTATATATAAAAAAAGTGAAGTGAGACAAATCTTTAAGGACAAAGAAGGGAGGAAAACTGATAATTGTCAGGATTTATGCACCAAATGGCAGTAAGACTGAATTTTATAGAAAGTTGGAAGAGAAATTATTTGACTTTGTGGATCAAAAAATAATTATGGGGGATCTGAAGGGGGTAGTTTCATTGGAAATTGATAGAATGAGAAAGAGAATAGAATCAAAAGAAGGGAAACTACCCAAAACTTTCTGAGAAAAGAAAAAAAATGGAAATTTTAAATGAGATAATGGAAAATGGAAAAAAAACTAGCTAAAAACCCAAATGATATAATGATTAATCAAAATATTAAGATATTACAAAGTCAATTTTCAACAATTGTGAATCAGGAAGTAGAATGGAAAATTAAAAAGATGAAACAAAAGAACTTTGAAAACGCAAATAAACCAGGAAAATGGCTAGCATGGCAGATAAATAAAAGAAAATCTCAAAAGACATATATGAAATTAAAATTGGAGAGAAAGAAATAGAGAATCTGAAAGAAATAAGAAAATGATTTGTAAATTTCTATAGACAATTGTATAAAAAAGCTGGAAAAGAGAACATAGTCAAAATAGCAGAATTTTTAAAGAAGAATGGAGTGCAACAAAACCCAACAGAAAAGAAGGACAGACTGAATGAATTAATAGAAGTGGAAGAAATTTAGAGAGCAATAAAGGACTTCAAATCAGGAAAAGCACCAGGACTGGATGGAGTTACTGCAAGACAGAAGTACCGTTTTTAGGGGACAGGAGGCAGGTGGGTGTGGATGACTCCCTGGTCCTGAATGCGGTAACTGTGCCCCTGAAGGACCAGGTGCGCAGCCTGGGAGTCATTTTGGACACACAGCTGTCCATGGAGGCGCAGGTCATTTCTGTGTCCAGGGCAGCTGTTTATCAGCTCCATCTGGTACGCAGGCTGAGAACCTATCTCTCGCTTGGACTACTGCAATGCGCTCTATGTGGGGCTACCTTTGAAGGTAACCCAGAAACTACAACTAATCCAGAATGCGGCAGCTAGACTGGTGACTGGGTGCGGCTGCCAAGACCATATAACTCTGGTCTTGAAAGACCTACATTGGCTCCCAGTACGTTTCCAAGCACAGTTCAAAGTGTTGGTGCTGACCTTTAAAGTGCTAAATGGCCTCGGTCCAGTATATCTGAAGCAGCATCTCCACCCTCATCGTTCTAGCCGGACACTGAGGTCCAGCACCAAGGGCCTTCGGGCGGCTGCCTCGCTGCGAGAAGCCAAGTTACAGGGAACCAGGCAGAGGGCCTTCTTGGTAGTGGCACTCGTTCTATGGAACACCCTCCCACCAGTTGTCAAAGAAAACAATAAGTACCAGACCTTTAGAAGACATCTGACGGCAGCCCTGTTTAGGGAAGCTTTTAATGTTTGATGCATTACCGTATTTTAATATTTTGTTGGAAGCCGCCCAGAGTGGCTGGGGAAGCCCAGCCAGATGGGCGGGGTATACGTAATAAATTCTTGTTATTGTTATTAAATATTATAAAAAATTCAGCTACAACCTACTGGCACCATTGGAGGAAGAGATGAACAATATTTCGAAAAAAGGAGAAATACCAGAGACTTGGAAAGAAGCATATATTACACTGATACCCAAACCAGACTCAGACTTATTACAGGTTAAAATCTACAGGCCGATTTCTTTGTTGAACAGTGATTATGAACTATTTGCTAATATTAAGGCTTTTTTCCTGGCCGCCAGATGAAGGACAGATGAAGGACAATATAAGGAATATTGTGAATATTATTCAGTACTTGACAGCCAGGAATGAAAAGCAGGCAGCCATAATATTTGTGGATGCTGAAAAGGCCTTTGATAAAATATCTTGGGAATTTAAGATTAAAAACTTAGAAATGATGCAAATGGGTCAATTGTTTATGAGAAGTATAAAAGCAATATATTCAAGTCAAAAGGCAAAACCTATTGTAGATAATGTATTAACAGAAAATATTGAAATTACAAAAGGGACAAGACAAGGGTGTCCAGTATCACCATTGTTATTCATAACGGTTCTGGACGTTCTCCTGAATAATATAGGCTTAGCAGAAGGAATTAAAGGATTATCAGTCAGAAGGAAAGAATATAAAGCCTTTGTGGATGACTTGGTAATAACAATTGAAGAACCAATAACAAGTGCTAAGGAAATACTTATTTGCAACCATTCAGATGTAATTGGCCAGTACTAAGCCATTCTACTTGAAGTCTGGAATGTCATGTGGATTTATAGCTCTTCTTCGTGCTTTGGTTTCCTATGCTCTGAATGCTGCTGTTTGTGTGAACTCTGCGGAGAGGCCAGTTTGGCGAAATGATATTGGACCCAAAATACTACAATTCCTTAATAACCTACTGACCTGGAAGGGCTCGTTCTATCTTCCCACACACTGAAATGAGACACAAAAAGATACAGTCTCACAGAAAAGTACAGACCTCTCAATTTCTCCAGGACACGTCTCCGTGATTTTCTGTTTCAATGGAGATGAGCTCAGACTGGTGTATCAGAGTCTCTCCTAACTGGAATAAATAAAACAGAAGTGTTATTGATGTCCTATGTGACTGTTAAAAGTATTCAAAAATATTCATCTTTAGAAGTAAAGCCAAAAGTATCTGTCAGCCAATTAAAAGATATGCCAATAAAGATATGATGGCACCTGTTTTTGTGGGCAGCAGTCCGATGATGTAGACAAATAAACTCATTTCACCATTAACCTGTGAGTCTCTTTGTAGATTTTGCAGGTTTACTTCAGAAACTCTAGCAAGGATGTACCACAATTATTAGAACAAGAAAAGTTACAGGTGGACAAAATCACAGGATTCTTATAAACTATAACCCCACCCACTTACTCTCTTGCACAGTTTGTAAGATTGGCAAATTGACACACCTTACTTGTAATACTGGCAATCCCCGTCCTGCAACCCAGTCAGATGGGCGGCATATAAATGAACTATTATTGTTATTCAGATACCTACACGTAAATCCTCCAGCAATGGGCATTGCCTATCATGATATTGGGTCCTTTACCCTTGAAGCCCACCAATATATCAATGATATATGAATCCCGAAAGCATTTTCATAGCACCCTCCACCCATATTTTTGGATTGCTGTACAGTGGTACCTCGGGTTACAGACGCTTCAGGTTACAGACTCCTCTAACCCAGAAATAGTACATCTGGTTAAGAACTTTGCTTCAGGATGAGAACAGAAATCGAAACTTTCGAGATGGGCAAGACGACCCTCTCGCTAGCTCAGTTTGTGCTTAAGAAGGTAACTGTATAGCAAGAACAACAGAACAGGAATAAAAAGGAAGACAACTTCTTAGGATAAAGGAACTCAGTGGTCCCACAGTTACTCTGGAGAACTTCCTAAAGGTCCCTGTAAGGTAGTCCAGGTAAAGAAGAGAAGAAAACCCAGGTAAGGGAGGAAATGAAAGAGAAGGGAGAAGGAGGGGAAGGAGACAAATGAGGATTCTGGACATTTGGGTGGGGGAGTCCCAACCCCCAGGACAACCCTTGTTTCTCTGAATCTGATGGTCTCCCCCTCCTCAGAGAGTGAAAAGGCCGCAGGAAGAGAAGAGAGGAAAGAGGAGACAGGAGACAAAGGAGGAGAAAGGGAAGAAGAAAGGAAGATCCCTTCCGAAACGGCGTTCATGCCTTTTCTCTTCTGCCCTCCCTGGAGCTCTCATGCAGCTGACCTGGCCAGGGGGCTGCTTTCCCACCAGGTCTGCCCTCTTGAAATTTGGACCTCCTGCCAGCACAGAGGTGGGCCAGGACCACCCACACGGGACCCCCCTCCTGCAATAAACTCGAAGCCTGAGCGAGGGAGGAAGTTTCCGGTAACTTAAGGGAGGAGGTTCCTCCCAGGATCTTCCTGCCTTTTCTCTCCAGTGGCTGGAAAGAAGCATCCTGGAAAGAACTGGGTGGGGAAATGGGACCCCCCCTTTCTTCAAGGATCCCTCCCTGTCCCTCTCTCCAAGGCAGATTTCTTGCCGGGAAGGAAAAAGCCAAGGCAGCCCCACTGGAGATCCCCCCCCAGCGCCCAAGATGGCGACATCTCTTCCAAAAGGCCACGTGCATCTCTCTGTTCGACAGTGCTCCCCCCCCCCGCGCCAGGGACGCTTCCATTGATCACTCAGCCCCCCAACTTCCTCTGCCCTCCTCCCTCCGTCCCTGAGTGTCCCCTGCGCCCAGATGCCTCCCCCCGGCACCATTCAACCCTCGCCCTGCGCGCCCAAGATCTTCCGAGCGCGCCCACCTCTCCCTCCGGAGGGGCCTCGCAAGACGAGCCACGGACCGGGGGGGGGGGGAGAGAGGGAAGGAAGGAAGGAAGGAAGGAAGGGGGGGTGTCTCTATCCAGGCCTCTCTCTCGCCCTTTCATCCTTCCATGGACTCCGTCTATCCCCCCAGGAACTAATGTTCGTGGGGGGGGGGGGTGCTTCAAAGCAGAAGGCGCCACGAAACCCTGCAAGGACGTCCTCTCCAGAAAGGCCCACTGCACCCCCCCCGTGCATATCCCATAGCCAAGTGTAATGGGGGGGTGATCTCTTGTGTTGGAGGGGCTTCATCGTCCCATGTAAGATCTGGGTTGTTTGGGGGGGAATAGGGAGGGGGTCTTTGTCCTTTCCTCCCCCTCCCCATTTCATCCCCCCATCCCTGCATCTTTACCCCTTTGTCCTCTCTTCTGCCCCTCCGCCTCCCTTGCTCGCTCTTCCGATGTCTTTTCCTGCAACAGAAAGAGCAGGGCGGGAGGAGTTGGTCCAGCGACGCCCACCCCCCTTTCTCAAGCCCCTCCCGAGGCTCCTTTTTCCCGCCTGCCAGGAAAAGTCCGGCCCATAGAGCTACGGGGCAGAGCAGCCCCTGCCGGTGCTCGGATGGGATCCGGCACTGAGGATTTCCCCAGGACTTGCATGGGAATTGCTTGTGGCAGGGGGAGTCAGGCGGGGGTGCCTCTCTATCTCCTCTCTATGATAGAGGGGGGCTGTTCTTCCCTGTCTTCCTATACTGGAGGCTCTGGGATCCTGCATCTCAGCCCGCAAGGCCCCTTCTCTGCGCTTACACCAAGCTTGCAAGGCGGTTCTTTGGCCACTGCTTCCCTGCCTCTGCTTTACAGAAAGAGCAGCAAACTCTGCCCATGCCCAGAGAATACTGTATGAAATCCCACCACACTTTATCACTTCTAGTTTGCATTTGAAGCAACTGAAACTGGAGGATTTTCAAAACTGCGGTCATGTCTGGGTATTGCATCTTGAATACCATTTTGGAAGACTGAAGGTGCAGCTTTGTTTGCTTTGCAAGGATTAAAAACTTCAAGAATGAGTACTTTACCCAGTTACCTTGGAGGAGGTTCCACTGAATTCATTGGGATAGGTCAGTTTGCAAAGCACAAGAGTCCTAATCTCAGGGTTGTGGGTTCAAGTCTCACATTGGGCAAAAAGATTCCTGCATTGCTGGGGGTTGGACTAGATGACCCTTGGGGGTTCCTTCCAACTCTGCAGTTCTATGATTAACCACCAGTCAAGAATGCGGCAGACTCACCCCACTAACTGCCCCCCTTTAAATAGAGTGTGCACACCTAACAGTACACCAACCTCAAAGATCTCACCAATTTACCACAGTTTATCTTGTAGTGAGTGAATAGAGATTCAGACAGAAGTTGAACAAACAATCATGAAAGTTTTATTAACAAAAAAGAAGTTTGTGAAAGAAAGTGGGTCAGAAAATGCGTTTTCCTGGGTAGAAGTCAACTTACTTACTTAAACTATAACCTGTCTCAGGATTAAACACAGTGTTACTTAACCTCTCTTTACTCAAATAGCAGTTGTTATACTTCAATTTCTGTTACTTAGTTATGTCAGGTGGTTCAGTTAAATACTGACAATACTGTACAACACATCTTCCTTCCCCCATCAATGCCCTGGATCATGAGCGAGGGGCACTTTCCCCCAGCTCCCCCTCTCTACACAACCCCACTGCTGAGGTAATTCCAAAATGGCGTAACAGACCCAGGGGACTCCCTCCCCCCTTGTGACTGGCTTGGGGGTCTTCTCTCCCTAGAAGAACTGCCCCCTCCTGACTGGAGGGAGACCCAGGGGAGCCTGAATCCCCCCAGGATCTGCTTCTCCTGCCTCAAGAGTCAGCCCTCCCAGGACACCAGTTTGTAGACCTTCCCCAGACCCCCAACCGGGTCTCCCTCTCCAGGCTGGGAGGGTCTTTCCTCTCTCAGGGAGGGGGTTCAACTCAAACCAGAACCAGTTCTCCCTCAGGCAAATCCTATCCTCCTCCCCAACTCCCATCTCAAAACTATCCCTCTTCATCTTCTCTCATATCAAACACTATCTAACTCTCTCCCTCAGTAACGGCTCCTTTTATTTTCCCTCCAAAAGTGCCGTTGGCCAATCAGAGAGAGGTTCCATCCCTCTGGTGGAATTTCTGGGGGACTGAATGACCAGACTCTGGTCACCCATCACACTTCTGCCTGAGAACAACCAGTACAGGTCAGCAGTAGGAAATTTCTGTCCCTGATCACAACCACCAGACCTACTAAAGGCCAATATTTTCAGAGGAAAACCTCAGGATTTGGGAATCCCCACATATCTGCATTGCCTTAGGTTTCACGTTATGGCAGTTCTAAGAGGAGATGGCAAAATCAGGAATTTGAGAGGAAGAGAGTTTGTGGCTACTTTGTGGAAGTTCATTCCAGAAACTAGGAGCCACTTTGGAGAAGGCCTTTCCCGGGAAGGAACAGGGTGAGGGAAATCTGACAACCCCTTTAAAAAGAGTTCATTTCACACGGTCTTAACGCTGTGTCGGTAGGTGACTGTGGAGGCAAATTCTGGATCCATACATCCTTCCACAGTGGGGATCCGAGGCATAGCTAGGGGTCAGGGGGCAATGAGCGCCACACCGCAGGGCGTGGCACTACACCTGAGCCATGCGTCTCTCCTGGGAGTGATGCGATGACTTGGGTGCATGCAGGCTCCGCGCTGCCCACAAAAAGCAATGTGGGTCTGCTGGGTGTTGGAGCAGAACGGGCCTCAGGCACTGATATTCTGGTGTGCCTGGCGCAAGCCCCACTGCCCTGGGTGTCCAGGCGGCTAGCTACGCCCCTGTTGGGGACATACCGTAGGTTTCCAGGTGGGAGTCGATTGTTGTGAGGGTTTGCCAAACGTGCTTTCCTCTTAGAACACTCCCCCCTTTTGTCATGGTTTTGATCACCTTTATAGTCCATGACACCTTTGCTAAAGGCTGTTCTCCCATTGGAGCACTCACAGGTCAGAGTTTCCCGATTGTCGGTGTTTATACTACATTCTCCCAAAGGTTAATGTCCAGGGGAGGGAATAACACCTCAAAGAAAAACACAGCCAAGAGATAGAAAAACTCAACATCTGGAAGGGACCCAGTTTATTTTGAGATAAGCTATTGCAATAGCGTCAGCGACTCCAAATCAGGAGTTCATTTTAAAACAGTTTTGAAAGAAATGTACAGGCATTAGTTCATAGAAGTTATACATGAAAGGGAAGGTCACAGGTCAGGGAGCTAAAACTCTTTTTCTGTCCGTTATCTTGGGTGTCCAGGTGCCCTGGAATCTTAGGATTTATATTTCACTCACTTTTTGTCCATCTACCAATCCTTAGCATTCCATTCCCATAGCTTCCTACGCCTGGAAAACTCAAGGTGAGAACAGGAGGTCACATAAACGTGCTATTTCTTAAACGACTTAAACAGTTGTTAGAATGATAAGGGGATGGGAATCGGGAGTTCAGAAGTCCACATAGCATAGAAATTATTACATTACATAGAGTCCATCACAGAGAGTAGTTGCAGATACAATGGTACCTCGGGTTACATACGCTTCAGGTTACAAACTCCACTAACCCAGAAATATTACCTCGGGTTAAGAACTTTGCTTCAGGATGAGAACAGAAATCGTGTGGCGGTGGCGCAGCAGCAGGAGACCCCATTAGCTAAAGTGGTGCTTCAAGTTAAGAACAGTTTCAGGTTAAGAACGGACCTCTGGAACAAATTAAGTACGTAACCAGAGGTACCACTGTATTACCAAAATACATACATTTCATTCAGTGCTAAATTATCTGAAATCTATTGTTTATTTGTTAAATGGATTAACTAACAGCCTCCGGCCCAACATGATCCAAGGGGAAAGGGAGATTCGTGTCCACCACCATCACCCTGCCTGCTTCAAGCTGCTACTTGAGTGGCTCTGACCGTGACAGTCTCAGATCTCCTGAGGCACAGATGTGCAGCCCAGCCACAGAGAGGAGGGCCTGGGGCTCAAAGCTTTATTTAATCCTTTATTCCTGCTGCCACAGGAGATAATGTTTTAACTGCACATTGAGTCCTTCAAATAAGCAAGAATGAGGAGAAGTTGTAGCACAATTATCAATAACAAAAACTATACAGGGGTTTCAACATTACTTTATGTACATAAGATTACTTCACTCTTTCTGTGTCTTATTTGTTCATTTAGTGTTGTTACAACAATAGGTGTTATACAGTTGTTCGTATACTACTAATTTAACCATCCCTGCTTCCAAAGCATCACAACTTTCACCCTCTAATTTCCACAATGCTCTATTAGCAACCCAAAAACACCAACATTTCCAACTCTCTCAACTGAAGACCAAACTTCAGCCAACTAAAAGAGCATCAACGTTCCCACCAGCATTGCAGATTCATGTTCTCCACAAACGGCAAGCAGTTCATGACCTATTATATTGCATTTACTATTGTGAGACATTACCTTCATTACTTTAATACATGGGTACAACTTTACATGCAGACACCAGAACTTCACATATACTCTATGCATTTAACGGCTGATGTATATAAGGATCTCCACTCCAACTGAAGCTCCTTCCACACTCCATGCATTTAAATGGTTTCTTCACATGTGAGTTCACTATTCTTCAGAGATGTTTTCAGTCTGACTGAAGTCCTTTTCATACTCCATAAATTTAAATGGTTTCTCCCTGTGTGAATCCACTGCTGTTTTCTAAGTGCTCCACTCTTAGGAAGCTCTTTGCAAACACAACCCACACATTTAAGTTCCTCCCCCCATGAGTGTGTTCGTTGATGTATCTTAAAATGTCCAAATCAACTGCCGCTCTTCCAGCACTCTATAAATGAGTTCATTGATGTATTTTAAAATGTCCCCTGACTGAAGCTCTTTTCACACTCCATTCATTTAAATGGCTTCTCCCCTGTGTGAGTTCTTTTGTGTACTCTAAGGCTTCCACTTTCACTGAAGCTCTTTCCACACTCCATACATTTATATGGTTTCTCCCCTGTATGAGTTCGCTGATGCTTTCTAAGGCTTCCACTTTGACTGAAGCTCTTTCCACACTCCATACATTTAAATGGTTTCTCCCCTGTATGAGTTCGCTGATGGCTTCTGAGGTACCCACTATCAATGAAGCTCTTTCCACACTCCATACATTTAAATGGTTTCTCCCCTGTATGAGTTCGCTGATGTATTTTTAAATGTGCACTTTGACTATAGCTCTTTCCACACTCCATACATTGAAATGGTTTCTCCCCTGTATGAGTTCGTTGGTGTAGTTTAAAATGTCCACTATTACGGAAGCTCTTTCCACACTTCTTGCATTTAAAGGGTTTCTCTCCTGTATGAGTTCGTCGATGTATTTTATAGTGTCCACTTTGACTGAAGCTTTTTCCACAATCCATACACTGAAATGGTTTCTCCCCTGTATGAGTTCGCTGATGGCTTTTGAGGTTCCCATTATCACTGAAGCTCTTTCCACACTCCATACATTTAAAGGGTTTCTCCCCTGTATGAGTTCGTTGATGTAGTCTAAGCTTACCGGATTCACTGAAGCTTTTTCCACACTCCATACATTTAAATGGTTTCTCCCCTGTGTGAGTTCGTTGATGTACTCTAAGGGCTACACTATGAGAAAAGCTCTTTCCACACTCCATACATTTAAATGGTTTCTCCCCTGTGTGAGTTCGATGATGCATTTTAAGGGTTTCACAATGACTGAAGCTCTTTCCACACTCCATACATTTAAATGGTTTCTCCCCTGTGTGAATTCGTTGATGCATTTTAAGGCTTCCACTTTGACTGAAGCTCTTTCCACACTGCATACATTTAAATGGTTTTTCCCCTGTGTGATGTCTTTGGTGTAGTCTAAGGTTTTTGGTTGAAGTGAAGCTTTTTCCACACACTATACATATATGTGGTTTCTCCCCTGTGTGAGTGCGTTGATGTATTGTAAGATTTCCCTTTATAATGAAGCTCTTTCCACAGTGCATACATTTAAATGGTTTCTCCCCTGTGTGAGTTCGCTGATGTATTCTAAGGGTTACACTATGACCAAAGCTCTTTCCACACTCCATACATTTAAACGATTTCTCCCCTGTGTGAGTTCGATGATGTATTTTATAGTGTCCACTTTGACTGAAGCTCTTTCCACACTCCAAACATTTAAATGGTTTCTCTCCTGTGTGAGTTTGCAGATGTATTTTATAGTGTCCACTTTGACTGAAGCTCTTTCCACACTGCAGACATTTAAATGGTTTCTCCCTGTGTGAGTTCGTTGATGTATTGTAAGGCTTCTATTTATACTGAAGCACTTTCCACACTCCATACATTTAAATGGTTTCTCCCCTGTATGAGTTCGTTGATGTATTGTAAGGCTTCCCTTTATACTGAAGCTCTTTCCACACTGCATACATTTAAATGACTTCTCTCCTGTGCGAGTTTGTTGATGTTTCTTAGGAGTTTCAATCCAGTTCAAGCTCTTTCCACTCTCCATAGTTTCAAATGTTTTGTCTACTGGGTGAGTTCATTGATGTTAACTAAGTGCATACACTGGCTGAAGCATATTACACACATTTTAATGTTCTCTTCATTATTCCCAGTGAAATTGCAGATGGCCTCTCAGAATTCTGAATGACTTCTCTGTTGCTATTTGTGAGTGGAGGAAAAAAAATCCTGTTAGGGTTTCAAAGAAGAAAAAGGAACTTATTAAAATTAAACATCACAGCCTAGGACCCTCGTACCTACGGGATCACCTCTCCAGGTATGCCCCACGGAGAGCCTCAAGGTCCATAAATAGCAACACCCTAGTGGTCCTGGGCCCTAAGGAAGTTAGATTGGCTTCAACCAGAGCCAGGGCCTTTTCAACACTGGCTCCGGCCTGGTGGAACGCTCTGCCTCATGAGACCAGGGCCCTGCAGGATCTGATTTCTTTCCGCAGGGCCTGTAAGACAGAGTTGTTCCGCCTGGCCTTTGGCTTGGAGCCAATTTGATTCCCTCCCCCTCTTTCCCCCCCCATTTTCCATTCTCCTCCTGTGATGAGGCTGCATTTTAATATTTTAATGTTTCAATATTTTAATTGTTGTATTTTAATCTTGTTTTTAAGTTGTATTCATTCAACTTGTTTTTATTATTGCTTGTTAGCCGCCCTGAGCCCGGCCTTGGCTGGGGAGGGCGGGGTATAAATAAAAATTATTATTATTATTATTATCATTATATTCTCCCCTCTGCTCTGTCCAGGACTCTCTCACTTTCCTTTCTCCTTTGGGGTGGGTGGCCAAAGGAATATGTGTGACACTGAAAAAGCTGAATTCTAACAGTGAAGACTTTCAGAGGAAAATATCTTTTGGAATTATATACCGATTGCATGTAAGATATCAACTGGATTACAAAAGTTGATTATGCGCTTCCTAAATGTGCCCAAGAGACTGATATTGATGAATTGGAGGAATAAAGACAAGTTCCTCTTTAATTAATATTAGTTGTTGTTTTTTCTACGCTGCCCATCTAGCCCCTCTGGGTGGCTTCCAACAGAATATTAAAAACACAATAAAACATCAAACATTAAAAACTTCCCTAAATAGGGCTGCCTTCAGATGGATTGATGATATGACAACACTTACTACGGATGAATGGATTACTTATATACGTAGACTTTGTTTGGATAAACATACTGACATTTGGAATGAGTTCATAGAGAACATAGTAGGTTTCTAATAACCATATATGCAGTATGAGAATACGGTAATATTATGGTATTTTTTGCACTTTTTCTCTCTCTTTTATTCCCCCCCTTTATTTTCTATAACTGAAATTATATTATTCAGATGTCTACATGTAAACCCTCCAGTAATGGGCATTGTCTATCTAGAGATCTGCACTGGCTCCCAGTACGTTTCCGAGCACAATTCAAAGTGTTGGTGCTGACCTTTAAAGCCCTAAACGGCCTTGGTCCTGTATACCTGAAGGAACGTCTCCACCCCCATCGTTCAGCCTGGACACTGAGATCCAGCACCGAGGGCCTTCTGGCGGTTCCCTCATTGTGAGAAGTGAGGTTACAGGGAACCAGACAGAGGGCCTTCTCGTAGTGGCGCCCGCCCTGTGGAACGCCCTCCCTTCAGATGTGAAGGAAATAAGCAGCTACCTTCTCTTTAAAAGACATCTGAAGGCAGCCCTGTTTAGGGAAGTTTTTAATATTTAATGCTGTATTGTTTTTAACACTTGATTGGAAGCCGCCCAGAGTGGCTGGGGAAACTCAGTCAGATGGGCGGGGTATAAATATTAAATTATTATCATCATCATCATCATCATCATTGTGGGGCCTTTACCCTTGAAGCCCACCAGACTGTGAAAGTGCATACATCTATTCTCACTTGATGCCGATGGACAGTATCACAGGTTGTAACTCACTCTACCAAAAACCAGAAGTAATGAAGATGATTTCAATATATAATTGATATATAAATCCCAAAAGCATTTTCACAGCATCCTCCATGTACCACAATTATTAGCACAGGTTAAAGGCTAATGGACATATTATGGCTCATGTTTTTGTGGGCTGTGTACACACCCCTGAAGGTGTTGAATGATTGGTTAAGGACCCTGTGCGAAAAGCTGGTTTCAAGCTGGGAGAAGAAATGGAAGCCCCCCAGGTGAGGTCCCTCCCCTTTCTGTGTGAGACAAGGGTTAAGATCTACCTTTGAGACAGTGTTAGAAACTGATATATGAAAGCTAGCAGCTAAAAGGAACATTCCACAACAACGGAATGTCTAGGCTGCAAAAAACAAATCCATGCTTCTTCTGCCTGCTCCCCTAATATTCTTAAGATTGTCTCTTCTCCAGAATTCAGAGAGTGGCTGGAAGTAGGGAGGCAGAAAAGGTCCTCCTTTCCTTCCACTCTGCAGTTTTAATCTGAAATCTTAGCTGCAGTACTGGGCCCAGAGCTCAGAAACTGCTCGTGCTAATGAAATTCCCTGTCGCAAAATTTGCCCAGAACAACGGGAGTTTCAAACGCTGCTTTGAGACAGGTAGACATTGTATTCTTTCTTTCTTTTTGTTGTCATTTAAATTAATTTTGTTTTTTTTAAATCATATGGTATTATGAAAAAGTTTGAATGAAATTTTATGAAACAACAAAAAACACACACCCTGAAAACCTGGGGGGTGGGGGAATTTAACCACTCTTTTTAGGGGGGTCCAGGGAGGCAGTTCCCCCATCAAGTAAATAAATAAAAATGCTTAACTAACTGACCAATTGTGTCACAGACAATTCGGTTCTGCCCTGCCCCCCAAAATGTGCCCCCCCATAAATCCTGGCTACGCCCATGCCCTCTGGACCCCCCCATAAGCCAGCGCCCAGGATGGAGACATCTCCCACACCAAAGGCCACTTCTGTCTCTTACCTTTCTCTCTGCCAGTGCTCGGCTGTTCTTATCTTCCCAAAGGATGTTTCTATTCATTCCCCAGCCCCCCCAAACATCCACTGTCCCCCTACTTCCCGGAGTCTCCCCTGCGCCCTTGGACCGGCTCCCCCCTCGCGCCCAAGGTCTCCCCAGCCATAGCTGTCAACGTTTCCTTTTTTAAAAGGGAAATTCCCTTATTCCGAATAGGATTCCTCGCAAGAAAAGGGAAAAGTTGACAGCTGTGCTCCCCTGCGCGCCATCCTCTCCACCTGGAGGGGCTTCGCAAGTAGAACACAGAGGGGGGAGAAGCAGAAGAAGAAAGTGGGGGTGGGTCTCTATCCAGGCCCCTCTCGCTTCCTTAAACCCTTGCGTGTACTATGGTTCTCAACCTGTGGGTCCCCAGATGTTGTTGGACTACAACTCCCATCATCCCTGAGCTCTGGCCTTGCTAGCTAGGGGTGATGGGAGTTGTAGTTCAACAACATCTGGGGACCCACAGGTTGCAAAAGGCTGGCTCCGTCTCTACCGCCAAATGGGCCCACACGACACGGATGCGCCTCTCGCTACACGCGCGGAGCCAGGCACGTCCCAGGGATCCCTGCCTGGGAGAAACAGGAATCCGCAGCGTCGGCGTCACGTCTGAGGCCTCGGTTCAGCCCTGCTTGGGGACGGGGGCTCCCGCAAGGACCCCTAATGGTGGGCACCGCATTTCAATTCCAGCACAGGCGCCAGAAAGAGGGGGGAAGAGTGCAGGGCAGCTGAGCATCTCTTGCCCCCCTCCAGGAAAACGCATGTTGGGGGGGGTGCGCGAAAAGAGATCGTGCAATGCAAACCCTGCAAATGTTGGGTTGGCAGCTGTATTGCATAGATCCAGGCCCCTGTCGCTGGGGTTTTTTTGGAGGGGGGTCTCTTTGCCGCCGTCCCCCCCCTTTGCTGTATCTTTACCTCTTTGTCTTCTCTGGCCACCCGATCCTTTGTTCGCTCTTCCGATTACCTTCCTTGCAATATGTACGCGGAAGGAGGGTGTGTTGTCCACTGATACCCCTCCTCCCCCTTTGAAGAGCTCCCTCGGGAACCGGACGTGACGGCGCTGCCTTTTGCCTCTTCCTCTTTGGCCTCCGTTGGGAAATTGCAACACGCCCCCCCCCCCCATAGCTGTCAACTTTTTCCTTTTCTTAAGGGAAATTCCCTTATTCCAATAGGATTCCTCGCAGGAAAAGGGAAAAGTTGACAGCTATGTCCCCCCTCCACGCTCCATTTACCGTGGGGGCAATTGCTGCAGGCTGATCGAGATTAAAATTGGGTGCTGGGGGGGGAGTACCCCCTCCCCCCAGTAAAGCAGCTCCCCCCCTGCACTTCGGGTCTGCACATGGCTGGAGTCGGACGGGGCGGGTCTCCTCCCCACAGCGGAGAATTGAAAATGGGGGTGGGGGGTTTGCCCTCTTTTAGAGTCGGAGATCGAACCTGGGGCTTCCCTATACATGCAAAGCATCTCCTCTGTCATTGAGCTGCCCCCCCCCGCCAAGGAACTGACTTTGACCCCCTCCAGCAAAACGGGCAAAACAACACCGGCCTACTTTGCAGGGCGACACTCCCCTTGGAAAATGGGTGTCACAGTGGCGGGATCTCTCCCCCCCCCCCCAATTAACAGAGATAAATGTAAACCTGTGTCACCTTCAGATCCAGGAGTAGTTTTTCCAGAGGTGGGGGCTGTGGGTGCGTCTCTTTCCGTGCCGCTACCGGGGATCGAACCAGCGACCTTCTCACAAAAGAAATGGGGATTTTTGTTTGCAGGGAGGGGGAGGGCGGATCTCCTGCCACCCCCCCTTCCTCTCCCAGGGTCAATGAGCTCTGCTTCCTAGAGAGGCAGGAAGTTTGTGGTGGCAGGGGTGGGGTGGGGTTGCAGAGGATGAATGGGAGGGGAGGGGTCTCCATGCACATCCCCAGGCAAGGAGGAGGCCTGGAGAGGAGAAAGAGGTGTTGCGTATTTGGGGGTGTTTCGGGGTTGGTGGGGGAGAGGAGGGGAAAGATTCGCTTTCCTTGCACCTGAATCTGCAAGCAGCTGGCGGGGGGAGGAGAGAGGGAAAGGATTCCCTTTGCAAAGTCTCCCTGCTCCCATTTTCCCTCTTGGGATCTGTAGTCCGCCTCCCCAGTGGATCTCGTTTCTTCGGGAAGCACTGCTGTGCAGCCCAGTCTCATGCATGTTTACTCAGAAGTAAGTCCTGCTCCGTCCGTCCTATCTAATAGCGCTCTCGTTTATATCTGCAATCGCCCTCCACTCGCCCCCTCCCTCCGCTCCTTTGCTAAAGCCCCCTTGGGGTGGGGAGATAGCAGCGGGGAGGAAGGCTTTGGCGCAGTAGAAGCAGCCCCCTATATGGGGGGGGGGGCTTGGAGAGCTGCTTTTCTAGCCCTAGAGCTGGAGAGCAGAGTCGCCTTTGGGTTGCGGGAGATGGAGGAGATTTTGAATAGGAGGTGGGGCTGAGGAGCAGACAAAATGCTAAAGGAAGTCGGCCTTAGAGTTTGGAAGGGGATCCTCAAATGTCATCTAGTCCAACCCCGGGCAATGAAGGAATCTCAGCTAAAGCATCCAGGACTGATGGCCCTCCAGCCTCTGCTTAGAAACATCCAAGGAAAGAAGGAGAGTGCACTAGCTCCAGAGGGAGACGGTTCCACTGTTGAATAGCTCTTATTGTCAGGAAGTTCTTCTTCCTAGTGTTTAGGAGTCCTACACTCCAGAGCAGGACAGAAACAAGCATGCACCCTCCTCCTCCACGTGACAGCCTTTAAGATATTTGACAATGGCTATCCCATCTCCTCTCAGTCTCCTCTTTTCTGGACTAAACATACCCAAGTCCTTCAACTGTTCCTCATAAGGCTTGGTTTCCAGACCCTCGATTATCTTGTGAGATTCCTTAGCAAGAAAGAGGCTGCTACTGGAAAAAGTCAAAGGGAACCAAAATGTGGGTTTTTGGGGAGGGGGGAAGCCCCCCATCTCCCCTTTCAGAACTCGTAGATAAGGGGGGCTGGTGGACTGTGGTTTCCTTGGAACGAAGGAAAGAGTCTTCCTGAGCTTGCTCATGTTGAGGGGGGAGGCAAATGGGGAGGAGTCCTTGCTTCAAAACAGGAGGGAAGGGGCATATTTTGGATTTCCTGGAGCCTGAAAAAACACCTTGTCAGTCTCCCTCCCGCTAGGCAAGGGAAATGGGTGCATGGATGGCGGTATTTGAAATTGATTGGGATCTTAAGGGCACTTTTAAAAGCCTCATGGCAAAAGACCGGAGGAATTAAATAAATGCCCAATCCCCAGTTTTGGACTTGGGGGGAAGAAATATATTACCTCCCAGCTGATTTTGATGCTGTCTCCAAAAAGAGGCTTCTCTAGACATCCTCTGGGAAGATTGTTGGGGCAGATGAAAGCCGGCATGGGTGGGCATGGGGGAGGGATCTGACCCCTCTTTCAGGACTGGCGCAGCACAGGGTTTCTGAAGGTCTTTCTCCTCTGTTGCTGCCAGCCTCACTCCTGCCCAGTCTCCTCGCTTGCCTTGAAAACATTCAGGTTGGCAGGAGGGCCTTGTAATGCTATAGGCTGAGCAAGATGTACACACATATGTACATTCCTTAGAGGAAGGCCTGGGGCGCCATAGTTCGTCAGCATGCCTCCATCCCCAAAACTACAATCCCCTAAGAACTGAAGCAACTTTTAATATCATGATGTTCATGACATCCTTCCTGTTCCCTGTCTTTCCCCGCAGGCCCAGGAATGGTCCTCTTGAGAGCTGCTCCCTGCTTTGAAGTGCATCGTGGCAACACCTGAGAGAGTCCCAGGAGTGTCCCAGTTTACGCCTCCGTCCCCTCTGTCTTCTACAGGCAGCGCAATGGCCTCAGAGGCACCGTTTGGACCGTCTCTTCTTAGGGGTGGGATGGAAAGAGGAGCCAGGCAGCTCACTCAGGTAGGGAAAAGAGTATTGGGTGTGGGGAAGGAGAGAGGAGAAGAGGAAGAGAGGGGGACAAACCAGCCTCCCTCTGTGTTGAGTGGGGATGATGGGGATCTAAGAGAAGCTCTGTTTTCTTCCTCTTCTTCTTCTTCCAGGCCCTCTTGACCTTTGAGGAGGTGGCTGTGTTTTTCACGGAGGAGGAGTGGGCTCTGCTGGATCCAGGCCAAAGAGCTCTGCACATGGAAGTCATGGAGGAGAATTATGAGATGGTGGCCTCTCTGGGTAATGATGCATTTTTATTTATTAATATTTATTTATTTTTATTAAGTACTTTTATTTTGCTTTAAACAAATACATATAAATATAGACAACCAAAATTACAAAAGAAAATTCCTTAATAATAATGAAAAAAACTAAAAACTACAGAAAATATCAAAGTACATGGGTAATGATGCATTTTTATCCCTCTTGGCTTCTAGATGTGGAAGGTGTCAACCAGCTCTTTGTGCCATTTATTCATGCAGAGTAGGAATAATTTAAGAAGAATAGCCTGTTTGGGTCCCCATTTTTGCAGATGTACCCTACGATATTTGCAACTTTGTTCTCTGAAACAGCACCCGTATATTCACAGGCACACCCCTTGTGACAGTGGGGACCACAAGGCCCTCTCCTGCTCATGTTGTGTGTTTTTATAGGATCTGGGTATGGTAATCCCTCCTCTTTGCCTTTGCGGTCGTAGATACGGATTGATTTGAAACGGCCAGGTGATTTGTGGCCAAAAGTAGCTAATATTATCGCTTTCCTTGGCAGAATCAGACCTCAGTTCCTGTTGGGAAGAAAGACAAGATCCATTTCTCCTGGTCCCCAAAGAAGGGGAGATATCAGAAGGTAGATGTTTAGCTGCATTTTGGGGTCCTTTTTTTCCTCTGGAAAGAGAGAGAACAGAAGCCTGTTGCCTTTATGTCCTGCTTCTGTGCTTCCTGTCAGCATCTAGTTGGCTCCTATAGGACTCTGGGACTAAATAGACCGGGGGGGGGCAGCCCATGGGACTCCACCCCCTGCCCAGTTCCCGCTGTCCCCAGGCCATGACCCATGACCACCTCTGCTTCACATCCTCCTTGAGTCCTTTTTTCCTTCCTGGGTCGTGTCCTTGAAATCTGAAGGTGTTTCTTGCTTGCCTGGGTGGAAGAAAGAGAAGGGTGTGTGTCCAGAGGTTGCATTTACATTTGTTGTTACACCCAGTTCTGCCTCTGGTCCCACAGAGTGCGAGCACCCGGCCCTAAGGCTGTAAAAAGCTGCCTGCACAGGGTCCAACTGGGTTTTCTTCTAAAGAGCAGAGACGCCATCCAGTCTGAGGTTTAAATTTAAAATAGCCTCCGCGTTGCCTCTGAGGTTAATGTACAGTACAGTGAGATCCTCTTCCCAAGTGCCAGGTGGATTCTGTTGGGACCATGCGCCCTTCTTCTATCCCTCATATGGAGTGTTAAGATCTTGTCTTTCCCTTATTTTGGGAAGGGAGCCATGGCAGTAGTAGGGCTTGTCATGTCTGGGTATTTTGCACTCAGAATTCACTGGCCGCTTTGAAAACATTTCCCAAACCAGACTTTATCGCTTGGGTGGAAGGAGACGATCCAGTTGGATGGTCCTCTGAGAAAGGGGAGATATAATCAGACACAGAAGTGTGAGGTGACAGCTTGTGTGAGGTGGAGCAGGAAGGGCCTCGTGGTGTTGTCTTGAGAAATTAACTTCAGATTCAGCTGTGTGAGGAGATAAGTGGGGAACGTGCTTGAAAATGGTAGAAGAGGCAGAAAACTGGGCTCGATCCTCAATGAGAGTCTCTGCTTCTACCTTGCAATTTGAATAACATTTTCTTTTTCTTCCACCCCCAAAACAGGTAATGTGCAGAGGAGAGAGAATTATGAGGAGCCATCAGGAAATGTGGAGCATAAAGTAGAGAAAGAGACATTTGTAAATCAACTGTCACGCCGAAATCATATAGGCAGAAACATGTCAAATAATGGGAAAAGGAAGTATTCCACTACTCAGGACATTGGTGTCCATGTAGCCCTGAACTCACAGGAGGAATGCACAGGAAGGAGCAGTGTGGAGTGTGAAAAGAGCTTCACTCAGAGTGGAAGTGTTAGTTTACATCAAAGAACCCAAACGGGGGAGAAAATGTTTAAGTGCACGGAGTGTGGAAAGAGCTTAAGCAGTGCTGGTAACCTTATTAAGCATAAAAAAACCCACACAGGGGAGAAACCGTTCAAATGCATGGAGTGTGGAAAGAGCTTCAGCCAGAGCGGAAACCTTATTGCCCACCAAAGAATCCACACTGGGGAAAAACCATTTAAATGTATGTTGTGTGGAAAGAACTTCAGTCTCAATCACCATCTTACTTTACATCAAAGAACCCACACTGGGGAGAAACCGCATGAATGCATGGAGTGTGGAAAGAGCTTCTGTACAAGCAGTTTGCTTATCGCACATCAAAGAACCCATACTGGGGAGAAACCATTTAAATGTATGATCTGTGGAAAGAGTTTCAGTCTCAATCACCATCTTACAATACACCAAAGGGTGCACACTGGGGAGAATCTGCATAAATGCATGGAGTGTGGAAAGAGCTTCAGTTATAAGAGTGCACTTACTTTACATCAAAGAACCCACACTGGAGAGAAACCATTTAAGTGTATGGAGTGTGGAAACAGCTTCAGACAAAGAAGAAGCCTTACTGCACATCAAGGAACCCACACTGGAGAGAAACCCTATGAATGCATGGAGTGTGGAAAGAGCTTCAGTTGTAGGAGTGCAATTACTGTGCATCAAAGAGCCCACACCGGGGAGAAACCATTTAAATGTATGGCGTGTGGAAAGAGCTTCAGTCGGAATGGAAGTCTTACTACACATCAAAGAACCCACACCGGGGAGAAGCCATTTGAATGCATGGAGTGTGGAAAGAGCTTCAACCGGAGGACTGCACTAACGGTACATCAAAGAGAGCACACTGGGGAGAAACCATATGAATGCATGGAATGTCGAAAGAGCTGCAGTTGTAGGAGTGAACTTACTTTACACCGAAGAACCCACACGAGGGAGAAACCGTATGAATGCATGGAGTGTGGAAAGAGTTTCAGTTGTGCGAGTGCACTTACATTTCATCACAGAACCCACACTGGGGAGAGACCGTTTAACTGCATGGAGTGTGGAAAGAGCTTCAGATATAGTGGAAGTCTTACTGTACATCAAAGAGCCCACACAAGGGGAAACCATTAAAATGTAGAGAGTGTGGAAAGAGCTTCAGTGGGAGTGAAGACCTGACTGCATCTGAGAACTCACACAGGGGAGAACGCCTCTAAGTGATTGGAATATAAAGAACAGCAGTAAATGCAGCAAACTTGCTTAACACAAGAATTTACAGAGGGAGAAACAAATCGAGATTCACTGAGTGTAAACAGCACTTCACTAGAAACTGAAGTATTTACCACACATGGAAGAACCATAACAGGGAAGAAACTTGAGTGTAGAAACAAGCATCTTGTGGCACCTGAAAATGTATGATGATAGGTTTTGTTGCCTCTAAGAAAAATAAGAAATTCCTAGCACTGCCATGCTAATTGCCCAAGATGGTCTCCCCATTCTGCCTAACGCCTTGGCCATCTGGCATATTATTATTAATGCAGTAAGCGGAGAAGGAAAGGAGGCAAAGTTTAGCCACTTGGTCAGAGGTGTGGTGAAAGGCATTGGACTGCTGCTATCGCCCTTTCTTTGAGTGAAACTCTCATGTGTCTCAGATTTCACCCATCAAGTATTCAGAGTCCCCAAGTGGCTTAGAGTGCCTAGTTGGGAAATGTGATATAACTGACTCTGACTTTTTATTTATTTATTGCATCAGTCTCTCCACATAGGGAAAGAATCACAGGTCAGTCCTTCCAAAGGGATGGTGGTGCCAGACCTTAAAACCTGAGCTGCTTTGTTTTGTAATCTGTTCAACCTGTTTTCTTGCTTTCTCCCATCTTTTATTCTAAATAAAGTTTCACGATCCGAACAGCTCTTCAGTTTGCCCTGTTGCTGAAGCTCTTTGGGATACCATCTGCTCAGATGCACATCAGATATCAACGTAAATGATGCTTAGATTAAAGCAGCTGTATGTGTGGCCTCCGTATTAGAACAGCGTGGCCCAAATCTTAGAGCCCTCCCACCTAATTCCCAAAGCTGGGAAAGTTCTAACTTGGCTTTGGGAAGGAGGTAGGAGGACTCTAGGACCCTAACACAGCCTTCACACCTCCTTTTTGGAGCCCAGCACCTCACTCTCCCCACTTGGGAAGGTGGTGTGAGGGCTGGTGGGGTGTCAGATGTTGCTGAGGACTACAAAAAAAACCCCAAAAGAATTGAGTACTGCTTGCATTCCTTATGTGGCAGAGGAAGGGGGGCAGGGAAGTGACCCAGGAGAGGGGACCTCTGATTTATGGGGTGTCATGACATCCACCAGTGGAAGACAGGAGTGCCTGGCGTGTTCTGGTCCATGGGGTCATGAAGAATCGGACACGACTAAACGACTAAACATCAACACCACAAGGTTGGAGTCAGGGCAGGTGGAGGAAAAAGGGATGGTCTAGGCAAGGGATGGGTGAGTAGCTTCCCCAAAAGTCCTTAACATACTTTCTATGCAAAAAGTGGCACCCATACTTTTTTGAGGTGCTCACAAACAGAGAATCTTTAGGCACAAAATGCGCCTGGTGCCCTGCTAATTTAAAACCCTGGTCAGAGTGCTCACCTTACTTTACATCAGATAACCCACGCTCCTTCCAGTAGCACCTTAGAGACCAACTAAGTTTGCATGCACACGAAAGCTCATACCAATAACAAACTTGGTCTCTAAGGTGCTACTGGAAGGAATTTTTTTTATTTTGTTTCAACTATGGCAGACCAACACGGCTACTTACCTGTAACTAGAACTATGGGGAGAAACAGTTTAAATGCATGGAGTGTGGAAAGAGCTTCAGGTGGAGAGGTAACCTTACTATGCTTCAAGAAATGACAACCGGGGTAAACCATTTGAATGTATGTAAGTCACCTATAAGTTCCAGTGCAGGTAATGTACAAATGCAGTAATGAATAATAAGCAATAATTGATAAAGGCTAATTGGCCAATTAAGCAAAAACACAAGTCATAAAAAAGCAGGAACGAATGTTATTAGCTTATAAAGAATGAGCCCCCAAACACCACAAACTGAATCTGTACAGAATTAAAAATTCTGTTTTTTCTTTTTCTTTTTTGGAGTAATTTTTATTAGAATTTGAAAAGGGCATGAGAAGGAATAAAGGGGGAAAGGGAAGAGAAACAGGGAGGAAAGGGAAAGGAAAGAAAGAGAATAAAGAACTTGCGATTCTTCATCTGTCAGCTGTATATAAACATCATTCAACTCATCCACTCCAATGTAACGCCCAACTAAACTACTTTCGATAAACCAACATTATAAAGATTCTTATTTTTGTTTTTGGACAGGGGGACATTTTTTTAATGCACTTTAACGCACTCTGTGAGCACAGCCTGTCCCACAAGCTGCTTCAGCTGAGATTCCTGCATTGCTGGGGGTTGGACTAGATGACCCTCAAGGTCCCTTCCAACTCTTAAGATTCTATGATGCCCCACAAGGTGGTTAAGTTAGTTTCTTGTTTCCTACATTGGCGGCTGATGCTCTGTCCCTTTTCCCCAGAGTGTGTCAGCTGCTAGAAAAGGTAGTCATCCCGGGTTTGTGAGATTTGAGTAAGGTCTGTGATGAATATAGCCAAGGTTACATCTGACACAGGACCACCTCCATGTTTTCCAACCCCAAAGCGTCGGGGGGATTTTGGTCAAGGAGTTGTTGGGCCACGGATTTGTGTCGTATCGTCACTGCCAGAGACTTGTATGGTGTTGTGGATTGCGGTTACATGGGCAACCATTTTGTTCCCTCTGTGTGCTGAGGGGATTCAAGGAGGTTCCCTCAAACCGTGGTCGTCATGGAGGTTATTGAGTCAGTTTTCTTCAGAAACAAAAAAAAAAGGGGGGGGGATGAGGAGCCTGGAGAGGAATCCTGGAGAGTTTCCAGAGATGTTTCTGTGGAGAAAAGGTGGGACACACTTTTCCTCAGAACAGGCAGGGATCAATATATGATCAACCTGGGCAGAGACAAGGGAGCCTCCCTCCATCTGAGGAGTTCCCCACTCTTTTTCCTGAAGGTGGCAAAACGTCTGGGTCAAAAACAAAAAAACGGTTTCTGTGAAGAAAGCCCCCTCTCCATGTCTCCTGAAAGCCTCGCAGACACAAGATACCCTCGCCTAGGGGGCTGCAGTCAGATGAACAGCTAAATACGAATCCCCTCAGGAGTTTCAGTTATGTGAGGATTCGAAGGCTTCCGGCCCCCTCCAATAATAATTTATAATTTATACCCCGCCCATCTGGCTTGGTCTCCCCAGGCACCCTGGGCGGCTTCCAACAAAGTATTAAAATACAGTGGTCTGTTACACATTAAAAGCTTGCCTAAACAGGGCTGCCTTCAGATGTCTTCTAAAAGTCTGGTAGTTGTTCTTCTCTTTGACATCTGGTGGGGGGGCGTTCCACAGGGCGGGCGCCACCACCAAGAAGGCCCTCTGCCTGGTTCCCTGTAACTTGGCTTCTCGCAGGGAGGGAACCGCCAGAAGATCCTTGGTGCTGGACCTCAGTGTCCGGGCAGAACAATGGGGGTGGAGACGCTCCTTCAGATATACTGGACCATGGCCGTTTAGGGCTTTAAAGGTCAGCACCAACACTTTGAACTGTGTTCGGAAACATACTGGGAGCCAATGTAGATCTTTCAAGACTGGTATTATGTGGTCTCGGCGGCCGCTCCCAGTCACCAGGGAAGGCCCTTGTGATGGACATTTGTGGGAACGCTTACAAGGGCATTTGGCTTCCTTAATAGCTACGGTCGAAATTAAACTTGAGGTTTGAGGGACTCCTCACTCCTCCCCCTTTTTTTGTTTCTGAGGGAATCTGACAAAATAACCTCCAGGAGGTTCCCTCAAACTTCGGTCGACATGGAGGTTATTTTGTCAGTTTCTCTCACAAACAAACAAACAAACAAACAAACAAACACGAATTGGGTGACGAATCTGGTGGGGAATCCTGGAGAGCAGGATTGGACCAGATGAGGCCCCTTCCAACTATGATTCTGTGTGTGCATAATATATAACACAGATGCAATTCCTGCGTTGCAGGGGGTTGGACTAGATGACCCTTGGGATATCTTCCGTCTCCACACAATTTTGTACTGTGTATGAACCTCAAGGACCAAGTAGCTCAACGATGGCCCCCCATCAAGGCTGCTTCAGTCTTTGGGCTCTAGAAGAAGGGGATCTCCCCTCGTCTTTCCGTAATCCATAGGATCGCCAGCCAGAAGGCATCTAGGCCTGCATCTTGGGTCCACCAAGTGGGCAGCTGTTATTAACAAACCTTTCCAAACTTTTTGACAATTTCCTTTGCTTTCCTGTAACTGCTTCCCCTCCCATATAGCAAAAGTTTTAGGAAGAAGGCTTCATTATGGCTTCCCTGAACCGCAAAACTGCCCCAGTAGCAGAACCAGTCGGCTTTGCAAACGCAGCAGATGTGACATTTAGGGTTTGGAAAGTACGGATCTGGAAAGTGCCATCATAATAATAATAATAATAATAATAATAATAATAATAATTTATTTATATCCAGCCCATCTGGCTGGGTTTCTCCAGCCACTCTGGGATGCTCACAACAGAATATTAAAAACACGGTAAAACATCAAACATTAAAAACTTCCCACTAGACAGGCCCTCCAAGTGTCCTTGTTTTCCAGGGACAGTCCCTGATTTAGAGAAGCCTTCCCGGTTTCTGATTTGATCCCAGAAGGGCCAGCTTTTCCTTAGGACGTCCGTGTTTCCATCGGAGGAATGTTGGAGGGGATGGAGTTATTTGACCCCTGAGCCATCTGAAGGCAATCCTGTATAGGGAAGGTTTTTCTAAAAAATGTTTTATTGTGTTTTTATATATCTTGGAAGCCGCCCAGAGTGACTGGGGCAACCCACTCAGAGGAGCGGGGTGTAAATAGTAAAATGACCAGGATGATTAGGACGTGCCTCCTTTCATCGGAGAAACGTCGTCGGAGGGGAACAAAATACGAGAGGGCCCCCATAAACCAGAAGAAAGCCAACTAGACTGCAGCATTTACCAACCTTGGGTCTGTTTTTTTCCAGACTACAATTCCCATCATCCCTGACCACCGGTCTTGCTAGCTAGGGATGATGAGAGTTGTAGTCCAAAAACAGCTTGTGATGACCCCAGGTTGGGAAACACCGAACTAGAGCTTAGCATGCAGGACTTTGGCCGATTAGGAAGGTTATGGGGATCTCGGGCATGAGATCTGGGATCTTGCCAAGATCTGCTCCCCCCACCCCCAATCCTTGGGGCGCAGGATTTGCGGATTCATCCCCTCTTGTGTCTTGACACGAGGGATCTTTCAAGAAACTGGATTCCTTTCCCAGCTGGCTTCAGGGGGCTCAACCTCTGGGGGCTTCACGTCACGGAGCTGCTCTTTTATGGAAAAAGAGCCCCAAGTGCATTTCTGCAGCCGCGGTGGACCCCTTAGCGTGGAGGGGTGGGGGGTGGCAGCAGGCAGAGGGAGAGGGGTGGGTGGGTGGGCTTCTGTATGCAAGACCCTGGAGAGAAGGGGAGCCCCTCTGCCGCGTCCCCAGCTGCAAAGTCCTCTTGCGGCTGCTCTCCGGGCTTTTGCAAAGGGATCCCGGGGGTGGGTGGGGGGCGATGGGGAGGGAGGCCCTCTCTGTGTGGGTCCGCGGCGAGGAAGGGGTTAAAGCGAGCGAGGCTGGGTTCCTGGAGAGGCGTGCAAGGAGGAGGAGGTGGAGAGGCGTGCAAGGAGGAGGAGGGGAGGGGGCACGGGAGGGAGGGAGGGGGCGGGTGGCTGCGCGGCGCACAGAGCATCCAACGAGCCTGGGGTTTTTCTCCCCTCCTCCCACCACCACCGGGACCCCCGACCACCCACTCAGGTTGGCTCTTCCTCCAAGCTGGGGGTGGGAGTGGGGAGCAGGTGAGTGGCAAATTCATTTGGGGGCGGGCTGCAAAGGTGGGGGTAGGGAGAAGAGGGGAAAGGCTCAGCAGCGGGTGGAGACAAAAGGAGGGAGGGGTACCAGGGGCTTGGCTGGGGAGAAAGGGTGGGGGAGATCTTCTCTCCCCCCCCGTCCCACTCCAGTTATTCCCTTCCTCCAAAAAGAGGTGGGCTGCTCTGGCCAGCCCTCTCCCACCTCCTCTCCCGGCTGCCAGGGTCAGAACAAAAGATTTGCACTGGAACCAGTATCAAACCAGTTTGCATTAGGAGGAGAGAAATAGGTGTTGGGTTTTGGTTGGGGGAGCACGGCGGCTGGGGCTCAAGGGCAGGGAGGGGCAAGGGCAGAACTAAGGGGGCTCCCTCTCGCTGTGGGGTTGGCAAGCAGAAAGCTGGTTTTAGCCACCTTTGTTGCTGATTGGTCTTGATTTTTCACAGTTTGTTTTTTCTCTCTCCAAAGAGAGGCCTCCCGTCCCAAGTTTTAAACATCTCAACTGCCCCATGGGGTAGGTTGGAGTGTGGAATGGTGCCAGATTCATGAGCGAGTGGGTTCTGGGATTTGTAGTTCGGTGAGGGGGTAAACTATAGTCCCCATGATTCTTTGGGGAGGGGGCAAGTGGTACCAGGAAGGCTTTGAAAGAGGATTACTGTAGACAGATTCAAAGTGGAGAGGGCTACCGATCTCCCTTCACAATTGGAAGCAGGAGAGCGTTCTGTTCAGACGCTGCTTGCAGGTTTCTATCAGGCATTTGGTTGGCCACCATGAGAAAAGAACGCTGGACTTTACAGGCCATTGGCCTGACCCAGCAGGCTCTTCTTATCCTCTTAACCTTTGTCTCCCACCTCCACACCCAACACGCTAAGCACTGCACCAACCTGCTCTTCTGCTTCTAGTTCCTTAAATTCATAAATCCTGAATGGGGTAACTGTGCCCCTGAAGGACCAGGTGCGCAGCCTGGGAGTCATTTTGGACTCACAGTTGTCTATGGAGGCGCAGGTCAATTCTGTGTCCAGGGCAGCTGTTTACAACCTCCATCTAGTACGCAGGCTGAGACCCTACCTGCCCGCGGACTGTCTCGCCAGAGTGGTGCATGCTCTAGTTATCTCTCATTTGGATTACTGCAATGCGCTCTATGTGGGGCTACCTTTGAAGGTGACCCAGAAACTACAACTAATCCAGAATGCGGCAGCTAGACTGGTGACTGGTAGCGGCCGCCGAGACCATATAACATCGGTCTTGAAAGACCTACACTGGCTCCCAGTACGTTTCCGAGCGCAATTCAAAGTGTTGGTGCTGACCTTTAAAGCCCTAAACGGCCTTGGTCCTGAATACCTGAAGGAGTGTCTCCACCCCCATTGTTCTACCTGGATACTGAGTTCCAGCGCCAAGGGCCTTCTGGCGGTTCCCTCACTGCGAGAAACCAAGTTACAGGGAACTAGGCAGAGGGCCTTCTTGGTGGTGGCACCTGCCCTGTGGAACGCCCTCCCACCAGATGTCAAAGAGAACAACAACTACCAGACTCTTAGAAGACACCTGAAGGCAGCCCTGTTTAGGGAAGCTTTTAATGTTTGATGCATTACTGTGTTTTGATATTTTGTTGGGGGCTGCCCAGAGTGCAGAATCATAGAATAGTAGAGTTGGAAGGTACCCTGAGGGTCATTAAGCCCAACCCCCTGCCATGCAGGAATCTCAGCTAAAGCATCCATGACAGATGGCCACCCAACCTCTGCTTAAAAACCTCCAGTGAAGGAGAGTCCACAGCTTTCCCAGGGAGACTGTCCCACCAGAGCACGAGAAAATAAGCTTGCTCCATCCTCCATGCATCAGCCCTTGAGATATTTGAAGATGGCTATCATATCTCCTCTCAGTCTCCCCTTATCCTGACTAAACTTGCCCAGCTCCCTCAATCGTTCCTCATAAGGCCTGGTTTCCAGACCCTTGATCATCATGGTCGCCCTCCTCTGCACACGTTCCTGCTTGTCAACATCCTTTTTAAATTATGCTGCCCGGAACTGTACATAGTACTCCAGGTGTCGTCTGACGAAGACAGAATAGAGTGGTACTATGACTTCCCTTGATCTGGACACTAGACTTCTGTTGATATCCTTGAATAGCATTAAATCCCCCCCCCAGCTGCATCACACTGTTGACTCATGTTAAGATTGCGGTCCACTAAGACCCCTAGATCCTTTTGACATGTATTGCTAGTAAGCCAGGTGTCCCCAATCTCATATTTGTGCAGCTGTTATTCTTGCCCAAGTGTAAGAACCTTGAATCCCGATTGCGCCTTCTTCAGTGATAGCTACCGCTCCCAATGTGATGACATCTGCAAATTTGATGAACTTCCCCTCAAATTCCTTTGCCCAAGTCATTTATAAAGATGTTGAGCAACAACGGGCCCAGGACAGAACCCTGCGGCGCCCCAGTTGTCACTTTCCCCCAGGATGACAAGGAACCACCAGTGAGTATTCTTTGGGTTCAGTTAGTCAACCAGCTACAAATCCACCTAACAGTTACCTCCTCCAGCCTACGTTTTACCAACTTCTCTGCAAGAATATCGGGGGGGACGGGACTTTGTCTTGGCTGCTTATAAGTCTCTGCCGTCTTTTACAGGTTCCAGCCGGGGTCACCCTTTGATCCTAGCAAAGCATCTTTCCCTTAGGTGTGTGCAAGAGGGGGGGCTTGCAGACTTTGCCGGACATCAACACCCTCCCCTCCAACGCCAGTCAAATTCCGGCAGCCTTTGGTTTGGGAACAAAATTCTCCACAGAGCAAGGCAATCCTTGGATTCCTTTGGGGAACTTTGGGAGATGGAAAAGCCAGACTCAGCGGCTCCCTGGGGAGGAAAGGACCCCCACGTCACCCAGACTGGGAGCACTGGGGAGGTCTGGGAAAGGAACGTGCAGCAGATCCTGGGCGAGGGCAATGCCAGCTCTGACGTCCAGCGCCAACACTTCCGGGCGTTTTGCTACCAGGAGGCCGAGGGCCCCCGCGAGGTCTGCAGCCGCCTCCACCACCTCTACCGCCAGTGGCTGAAGCCAGAAAAGCACTCGAAGGCCCAGATGCTGGACCTGGTGGTCCTGGAGCAGTTCCTGACTATCCTTCCCCCGGAGATGGAGAGCTGGGTCAGGGAGTGCGGAGCAGAGACCAGCTCCCAGGCGGTGGCCCTGGCAGAAGGCTTCCTCCTGAGCCAGGTGGAAGAGAAGAGGCAGGAAGAAAAGGAGCAGGTGAGAGCACTTTCTATAAATCATGGGAGTTGGGAAGGAGCCAGAGTCCAACCCCCTGGAATTCCTCCCCCTGCCCACCCCATTAATTTGTTATAATAAAAGAAAGCAAAGTTTAATAACAGAGGCCAAATAAAACAAAGCAAAAGCAGAAGGGGTATCTAAAACTAACGAGACAGGAGCAAAATTCAATCAATTAGTAGCACAAATGGATTTACCTTATCCTGCATGTTACTGCTCCAGTATTTTATATTAAAAGACTCAATTTCTCAATAAAGACATTATATTGTTTTCTGTCCTTTCTGGTTTTTGCCACATACGTTAGCTTAACCATGCACACTGTGTTCCTGATTTTCATTATCCATTCTGTCATGGACGGTCTTCTCATTCCCCTACCCCACCCAGATTTGACCAAAGTAATAATTCTGGATGCAGTTAAGAGGTGTTGCATTCATTCCCTGTTCTCTTTTGGTTGGTTGTTTATGTCTGAATAGCAAAAATTGGGCGATCCATGGGTAAAAGTATAGCAAGCTATTACTTGAGTTTCCTTCGCCGTATCTTCCTAGAATTTTCTGATTTTGGGACATGCCCAGAGTATATGCCATACCCCAGCTTTTGTGGCTTTACACCTCCACAAGCAACATTGGTTATTCTGTATATCCAGGTAAGATGTGGTGGTGTTAGGTATAATAAAAATACATACATACACACATACATGCATGCATACATAAAACCGACTGGGTTTCCCCAGCCACTCTGGGCAGCTCCCAACAGAATATTTAAAACACAATAAAACATCAAACATTAAAAACTTCCCTAAACAAGGTTGCCTCCAGATGTCTTGTAAAAGTCAGATAGTTGTTTATTTCCTTGACATCTGATGGGAGGGCGTTCCACAGGGCCACTACCGAGAAGGCCCTCTGCCTGATATCCTGTAATTTTGCTTCTCGCAGCGAGGGAACCGCCAGAAGGCCCTCAGAGCTGGACCTCAGTGTCCGGGCTTAACGACACTGTTACAGTGGAACAGAAGCTTGTAAAATATTTCTTTTAGAATCACATTACCTATTTGCTGAGGAACTCTATGCCAAAACCAATTCCAACAGTCGGATGGAAGTTCCCATCTAAATCCCTCTTCCTAATCCCTTTTCTCCATTTCCCACTTGAGGATCCCCAAATTTTGTTTCAGGTTAAAGGTACGAGAAAAGGGGCTCCTTCTTCCCCCAAAGTAGAGAAGGTCCCGCCAGCCAGCAGGAGGAGGCAGCTGTTCCGAGGAGCCATTCCGGGGGGCGTTGGAGGGGGTGCGTCTACCTTGCTGGGTAAGGAGGAATTGGGAGCACAATTTGGCTTGATCTTGGTCTCTCGAGGGGGTTGCCTAGAATCGGGACATTGCTTTTTAGGACATAAGAAGAGTTACTGCCTCGTAGCCAGACCTAATTTGCAGGGTCGTTGTGAGGATAAAATGGGAAGGTGGGTATGTAAGAATAGCCTTGCCCACATAATGAACCATCCTTTTCCCACGGTGTCCCTCCCATGCCCCAATGGGAAACTTGCAGACTTTTAAGTTTCCCTTCCATCAGTGGTGAAAGGGTGGGGAGGTGGGAATTTTGCCCTCATCTCCAGCCCTTTTTAAAACTGGGGTGAGGGGTGGGAATCCAAGTTTTTTTTGTATAATTGTATTATTATTATTATTATTGTTAATTGAATTTATATACTGCCCTATACCCGGGAGTCTCAGAGCGGTTCACAGAATAAAATCAAGATATAAAACCACAAAGTACCCAATAAAAATCAAAACAACCACCCAATAGCCCCACCCACCACAAAAACACAAACATTCTAAAAGGGCATAGGATGTAAATTGGATCAACCAAAGGCCTGGTTAAAAAGGAACGTTTTTGCCTGGCGCCTAAAGGCGTATAATGAAGGTGCCAGGCGAACTTCCCTGGGGAGAGCATTCCATAGATGGGGAGCCACTGAGGAGAAGGCCCGTTCTTATGTTGCCACCCTCCAGACCTCTCAAGGAGGGGGCACATGAAGGAGGGGGCACACTTTAACTTTTCACTGTCGGAGAAAGAAGTGTGGCTTATATTTGGGCCAATGTGGTAATTAAGCCCCAGGCAGTTCAGGACTGAGAAACAACTGAGGTGGCGGGTGCCGCATCTCGCCTCCTTCCCACTTCCTTCCTTCCTCTTCACAGGTAGCCAAGCTCCTCTGGCGGATGGTCTCAGCCCTTCCTTAATGTGTGACGGAGCGGAAATGGTTGCTGCGCAGTTGCCCGGACAGGTAGGAGCGGAAGAACTGGGGAACTGAGGAAGGAGGGTCAACTTGGGTGCCTCCATCATCTGCACACGTCTGTGGGCCTGAAAGGATGTGTCTCTTAACCCCTATCAAAGGATGTTCCAAAGCTGGGAAGGATCTGAGCATCCCTGAGGGAGCTCTGGATCTTGCAGGGAGAGCCTCCATCCCTTTCATAGAATCATAGAATCATAGAGTTGGAAGAGACCACAAGGGCCATCGAGTCCAACCCCCTGCCAAGCAGGAAACACCATCAGAGCACTCCTGACATATGGTTGTCAAGCCTCTGCTTAAAGACCTCCAAAGAAGGAGACTCCACCACACTCCTTGGCAGCAAATTCCACTGTCGAACAGCTCTTACTGTCAGGAAGTTCTTCCTAATGTTTAGGTGGAATCTTCTTTCTTGTAGTTTGGATCCATTGCTCCGTGTCCGCTTCTCTGGAGCAGCAGAAAACAACCTTTCTCCCTCCTCTATGTGACATCCTTTTATATATTTGAACATGGCTATCATATCACCCCTTAACCTCCTCTTCTCCAGGCTAAACATGCCCAGCTTTCTTAGCCGTTCCTCATAAGGCATCGTTTCCAAGGTTTATCATAGATTGTGGAGTTGTGAAGTTGGAAGGGAACCAAAGGGTCATCTAGTCCAGTCCCTGGTAACATCATCATCATCATCTTCATCATATATTATTATTTATAGCCCGTCCATCTGGCTGGGTTTCCCCAGCCAGTGTGGTGTAGTGGTTAAGAGCAGTGGACTCTTAATCTAGTGAACCGGGTTCGATTCCCCGCTCCTCCACATGCAGCTGCTGGGTGACCTTGGGCTAGTCACGCTTCTCTGAAGTCTCTCAGCCCCACTCACCTCACAGAGGGTTTGTTGTGGGGGAGGAAGGGAAAGGAGAATGTTAGCCGCTTTGAGATTCCTTCGGGTGGTAATAAAGCGGGATATCAAATCCAAACTCTTCTTCTTCTTCTTCTTCTCCCAACAGAATATTAAAATTACGATAAAATATCAAACATTAAAAACTTCCCTAAACAGGGCTGCCTTCAAATGTCTTCTGAAAGTCAGATAGCTGTTTATTTCCTTGACATCTGATGGGAGGGCGTTCCACAGGGTGGGCGCCACAACCGAGAAGACCCTCTGCCTGGTTCCCTGTAACCTTGCTTCTCGCAGGGAGGGAATCACCAGAAGGCCCTTGGATCTGGACCTCAGTGTCTGGGCTGAACTATGGGGGTGGAAACACTCCTTTGGGTATACTGGGCCGAGGCCGTTTAGGTCAGCACCAACACTTTGAATTGCACTTGGCAACATACTGGGAACCTTTAGGACTGGTGCTATATGGTCTTGGCGGCCACTCCCAGTCACCAGTCTAGGTGCCGCATTCTGGATTAGTTGTAGTTTCCGGGTCACCTTCAAAGGTAGCCCCACGTAGAGCGCATTGCAGTAGCCCAAGCGGTAGATAACTAGAGCATTCACCACTCTGGCGAGACAGTCTGCAGGCAGGTAGGGTCTCAGCCTGCGTACGTAGGGCTCACAGCTCTCTCTTTTTAATTGTTCCATTAGCTGTGATGAGCATTTTCTTTTCCTCTTCTTTCCAGGGCCCGGTGACGTTTGAGGAGGTGGCCGTGTACTTCACAGAGGAGGAGTGGGCTCTGCTGCATCCAGACCAAAGATCCCTGCAATGGGAGGTCATGGTGGAGAATTATGGGAACTTGGTCTCTCTGGGTAAGGCTCACCTTTCCCCCTGTTAACAGATGCTATGCAATGATGGGTCACAGAGGTCAGGCTATCCTGGTCAAGAAACAGCTGTAGCTGTCTTATCCGCTGAAGCTGGCGCAAGGCACTCTTAGCCACTGGGCCTCGGGTGATGAGTGGGGGTACAGTGCCATCCCAAAGCTGGCAATGGACCAGTTATCCAGACTTAAGAACGTAAGAAAAGCTGTATCAGGCTGGAAGCCCATTGAATCCAGCGTCCTGTTCTCACAGTGGCCAACCAGATGCTTATTATGGGAAACCTGCAAGCAGGACACGAACACAAGGGCAACTCTTCCCTCCTGTGGTTTCCAGTAACTGGTACTCAACAGCATTGCTGCCTCTGATGGGAGCCAGAACATATCCGTCATGGCTAGTAGCCGTTGATAGCTGGAGCTCTCCTCCATGGCATTGTCCAATCCTCTTTCTAAGCCATCTAGGTTGGAGGCCATTACTGCCTCCTGTATGGGGTTAGGCCCATAGTTATGAACCAACCTGGACCCTGTGATCATCATCCTCTGGAGGCACTTCTTCGTGTACCATCTCCATGTGAGGTCTGGAGGGTGGCAAAATGAGAACGGGGCCTTTTCTGCAGTGGCTCCCTGTTGCGGAATGCTCTCCTCAGGGAGGCTTGCCTGGCACCTTCATTACATGTCTTTAGGCGCCAGGCGAAAAGCATTTCTCTCCAATCAGGTGTTTGGCAGATTAACATGCTATGACTTTTAAAATGTGTTTGTAGAAGGGGAGCTCTTCGTTTTGTTTTTGTTTCCTTATGTACTCTGTGTTCTCATTTTGTATTTTTCTGTTGTGAACCACTCAGGTATCTTCCGATATAGAGCGGTATGCAGATTTAATTTGCCCACAGTGTTCTAAGAGTGGAATAAAAGCTTTTCTCCGCCCACTTTCTCCATATCTGCTTCTTCCGTATCGCCTCTTACTCACCTTCTCTCTAAACTAAAAAGTCCCACGTGCTGTAACATTCCCTTAAAGGGAAGTCGCTCCATCCCCACGCCCTTTTCCAGCTCTACAACATCCTTTTCGAGGTGTGGCAACCAGAACTGTACACAATACTCCAAATGTAGTCGCATCACAGTTTTATATAAAAAAGTTATGATATAACTGGGATATACAGTGGTACCTTGGTTCTCAAATTTAATCAATTCTGGGAGTCCGTTCGACTCCTGGAATGGTTTGAAAACCAAGGTGTGGCTTCTGATTGGCTGGAGGAGCTTCCTGCACTTAATCAGAAGCCATGGAAGCTGTGTCGGACGTTCGGCTTCCAAAGAACATTCGCAAACACTCACTTCTGGGTTTGCGACGTTCGGGAGCTGATTTGTTTGACAACTAAACTGTTTGACTACCAATATACCACTGTAGAAGTGAGTTGGGCTTTTGCTTGGTGGTGTGAGGTTCATTTCCCTCTTTCTCCCTTCAGGTGAAGCGATGGAGAGTGGGATCGTTACCAAACAGCAGAGAAGTGACTTGGAGCCGCGAGAACCGGTTTGCAAGGCGGAGGGTGTCTTGCTTGAAGGAGCCAACTTCCACGAAGCTCCGATGCAAGAAAAACATTGGGATGGGAACGAAAGGCAGGCGCTCCCTCCCTTGTGCGTGGAAAGCATGGCGAGCAAGCCCAGCGTCCGAAGGCATCAGAGGATCAACAAGCGGGAGACCCTCCTGGAATGCTCCGAGTGCGGAAAGGTCTTCAACCGGCGCTACAGCCTCACCAGGCACCAGAGAGTCCACACGGGAGAGAAGTGGTGGATCTGCTCGGTTTGCGGGAAGAGCTTCAGCCAGAGGTACCACCTCACTCGGCACCAGCGAGTCCACACAGGGGAGGAGTGGTGGATCTGCACGGTGTGCGGGAAGAGCTTCCGGTGCAGCAACAGCCGCCTGAGGCACCAAAGGATCCACACAGGCGAAAAGCCGTTCGAGTGCTCCGAGTGCGGGAGGCGCTTCAGCGAGAGCTCCACGCTGTACAAGCACCAGAGGGTCCACACCGGGGAGAAGCCGTACAAATGCCTGGACTGTGGGAAGAGCTTCCGCCAGAAGATCAACCTCACCCGCCACCGGACGGTCCACACGGGGGAGAGGCCGTACCCATGCGCCGAGTGCGGGAAGAGCTTCAGTCAGAGGGTGAGCCTGACTCTGCACCGCACGATCCACACCGGGGAGAAGCCCTACAAGTGCTCGGAGTGCGGGAAGGGCTTCAGCCAGCGGATCAACCTCACCTCGCACCAGAGGACCCACACGGGGGAAAAACCGTACCAGTGCTCCGAGTGCGGGAAAAGCTTCAGCCGAAGCAACAGCCTCGCTTATCACTTGAAGCACCACATAAATGTTCAGTGCGTCGAACTTGTGCCAGAAGAGAAACCATAGATCAGTGGTAATTTTTTTAAAACGGGAGAAACTCTAGGGAAATTTTAGAAACGCTCAGAACATGAGATGGTGCATTGGTCCTACCATTTAAATGACTTGTGTCTTTGGTGGTCATAGACTCATAGAGTTAGTCCAACCCCTTGCTGTGCAGGAATCACAGCAAAAGGACCCCTGACAGGTAGTGTCCCAGACTCCTTTTAAACACCTCCAGTGAAGGAGAGTCTACCACCTTCCAAGAAGAAATATAGGAATACAGTGGTACCTCGGGTTACATACGCTTCAGGTTACAGACTCCGCTAACCCAGAAATAGTACCTCGGATTAAGAACTTTGCTTCAGGATGAGAACAGAAATCATGCAGCGGCAGGGCGGCAGCAGTGGGAGGCCCCATTAGCTAAGGTGGTGCTTCAGGTTAAGAACAGTTTCAGGTTAAGAACAGACCTCCGGAACGAATTAAGTACTTAACCCGAGGTACCACTGTAATTAGATTAGCTTTCTTAGCCTGTCAGGCCCAACAACAGGGCCAGTGGACCCAACCAGCATGCAAACTGTCCTCTAGATAATGTGTGGGGAGAAATCAGCTGCCCTCAGAGGCTCCATGTTGTCTGGTATTTCATCTTAACATAAAAACATAAGGAGAGTCTTCTGGATTAGGCCAATGGACCATCTAGTCCAGCTTCCTATTCTCACAGGGGCCAATCGGGGGCCCATAGAAAACCCGCAAGCACAAGAGCAACATTCCCCTCCTGTGGTTTCCAGAAACTGGTATTCAGAAGCTGTGCAGGCAGGGCGGAGCCATCCGTAGCCCACTCCTCCTTCAGGAATTTGTCTAATCCTCTTTTAAAACCATCCAAGTTGGTGGCCGTTCCTGCCTCCGGTGGCAGGGAGTTCCGTGGTTTAATTGTGCGCTGCATGAGGAAGTTCTTTTACCCTCTTACCAGGTTGCGTCTCGGTCTCAGGGTGGGTCACTACAGCGGCACGAGCACCACACAAAATTAAGAAATGGATCCTTCTTCGGTGAAAGGTGGGTCCAAGGTGTGAAAAAGGTGGAGGCTGCTGTTCTTTGATCCCATCCTGTTTGCCTCCTGGTTTCAGTGTGAGTATCCATCACTGCAAGGATGGATCCCCTTTCTTACCTGCTTTGCCACATGGGGGCATTTATTTTGCCATCGTTTTTCATTTACGTTGCTTCGTCACCGCACCAAGGAAGTGAATACCTTCGGGGGCAGAGGTGCAGGGAGTCCTGGGCTGCATGCTGCTTCTCACAGCGGCCAAGTCGAGGTTTGCCCAGGAGTCTTTGGTGGGGGACATTTTCACAAAACCGAGCTACACAATGTCAGCTGGATCATCCCCTTCTCTGTATCTACTTGCTGGACTCTTCAAAGAACTATTTCAATAGCAGAAGCCATGCTGGCACTTCTACAGCAAGACTTGTTCTTCTAATACGTTTGGTTGTTCTATCTTTATTAATGCTTTCCATCAATTTACCCAGAGCAGCTGTTAAGCCTGCAATTTCCTGGATCCCTACATTGCTTCCTGTTGAGGCGCCTCCTGTAGTCTCCTGTGGAAATCTCATGGATTTTCATGCCACAAATGCACTCCTTCCCCAGCCCACCCCCAATAAGAAAACACGGCCTTGAAGGAGCTCTGCATCTATAGGATCCTCATAGCATGGATCCTTGTAAAGTAAAATTGGCATCCTTTTTTTCTGGGGGGGGGGGGAGTGGATCAGCTGGCTTGAGGGAACACCAAAATTTGCAGCTAAGGACGCAATTAAATTTCCAAACAGTAGCAATTTACTGCACATTTATTCAGAAGCCAGTTAAAACTCTTTAGGTTCAGTGATACCAGCTTTTCAAAGTCAGTCATTTATACCTCCAGTGCCCCACCACCACTCCCTTGCCCATAACCCCACCCTCCTCTTTGGGAAACGCACAACACACCATTTGGGGCCATGGATAGTAGTGGGGTTGGGAGGACCTGAAACATCTAAATTTTGGTCCTGCGATTCAGTGCTGAATGTTGGAGCAGAAGGGATAGGGAATGGAGTGACCTGGGAAAGGGCAGGACTTCGTGGCTGGCTGGAGCCCTGGGTGGAAGCACTCTGTTGCAGCCCTCGCTTTTACCCTGGGGGTTTCTCAGTGCGCCTTCTCAATGAGGACTTTGTGGCTAGGAGGAACCCTGGAAGTCCTGGGAAGGCAGCCATGAAAACCTCAGATAACTGGCAAAGCTCAAAGGCTTTTGGGTTCATGTGCCATCAGACCCGGTGGATCTTCCACTTCAAAACCTTGCACTTCCATCGTTTGCTCCACGTGCATCTTTTGGGTTAATTTCTTGGAGATGGAGCAAAACGCTCAGAATCGGTCCCTGTGCATGTTCCATCGCGTAAGGATGTCAAAGCTTTTGTGTTGAGCGTGATGAGAATATTTAGAAAACCGAGGACACTTGATCGTCATTATTTTTTACATGGGGTGGGCAGGCTATTCAAAAACACCTGACCTCTTCTACGGGGAAGGAAAGCGCTCTCTTGTCATTTTTGGCATGCTGTGGACCCTGCTGGAAACTTGCCGTCTTGTCTTCCTGTGATTCTTTTCTCATTTACTGGATTTCTACTCTTAATTAAAACTGCTTGCCTTCTCCTAACTGAGAAACCCGTGTAAGTGTTAGAGCTTGCCTATATCTATCGATCTAATAATCCGATAGTTTCCTAACCTGAGTGGGTGTTATTTTATGGTGGTTTTTTTGTAGGTTGGGTTAATAAAGCCTTCAAATACATCACCCCTATTTCCTCAGTAGGGTTTTATTTCCTCTCCCTTCATGGTCTCCCAAATGAATCTCCTGATTCCGCAGAGGAACGCCAGCAGACCAAGGATTTAAGTGGGAAAGTGGGCCTTTATTTATACAAGCACAGCCTCCTTAAGGATCAGTCACAGAGGCTGGCCTAAGACATTTTGGCACCTGAGGAGAACCACAAAATGGTGTCCACCTGCCAAGGAAGACGGGGTGAGTGAAGATCTATGTTGGAAACAAGGGGGGAACAAAGAGCTACATTGGGAACGAGGGGGAGGGAGAACAGCAGCCCCTCCTGTTCACCAAGAGGCAGCATGGGCAGGATGCCATGGAAGGGGCAGATCTGGCTTTGAAGGGGCAATGCCTCAGCTGTTGTTGCCACTGTGGCAGAAGCAGCAGGCGATGCATCCATTGGAGGCCAGATCTGCTGCCCCTGTGGATCCTGCCACTTGAAGTAGTTGCAGCCCCTTGCCTCATAGGTGGGCCGGCCCTGGGAGAGGGAATCGGAATGTTGGTGGCGAGTGATGATTGGCTGGGAGTTTGAAAGCGAAGGTTGAATGTGAATGAGGAGGCAGTTGAGGGCCAGAGCTTGGCGGTTGGTGTCTGGAGTTGGGAGGACCCTGTTGGAAAACGCCCGGGAAGGCCGCCAACTTCCCAAGACACTGGGGCATCTCTCCGATGGTCACTCTCTGGCTGTAAATCTCCCTCAGTCCAGAGAGACCGGCAGTAAGCGACCCCTCCCTCCTGAGAGGAGCACACTTGTCTTCTGGCATCTCATAGCAGAAGAAAGAGTAAATTAGTAGCTCTAAACTACTTTATTTTACAGTCTATATACAAAGAATCCATCAGCATGTCTGTGCTCTCTCAGCAGCAGTACAGAACAGCATCGCACACAGAAGTGAAACTAAACTTCCAACAGTGCTGAGACTTCCTGTCTCACGCTCAGACACTCACATGATATAAACAAACATAGTGCTACATACTGGAGCAGCACAGGTGGATAAAAATCCTAACAGCCTTGTGTCATGCGAAAGCTTTGGACTCTCTCTCCACCTGGACTCAGGTGTATGTAAAAGCTAAAGGTAAAGGGACCCCTGACCATTAGGTCCAGTCGTGGCCAACTCTGGGGTTGCTGCGTTCATCTTGCTTTATTGGCCGAGGGAGCCGGCGTACAGCTTCCGGGTCATGTGGCCAGCATGACTAAGCCACTTCTGGTGCACCAGAGCAGCGCACGGAAACGCTGTTTACCTTCCCACCGGAGAGGTACCTATTTATCTACTTGCACTTTGACGTGCTTTTGAACTGCTAGGTTGGCAGGAGCAGGGACCGAGCAACGGGAGCTCACCCTATCGCGGGGATTCGAACCGCCGACCTTTTGATCAGCAAGTCCTAGGCTCTGTGGTTTAACCCACAGCATATATATGTGTAAATCATAGAATTGTAGGGTTGGAAGGAGACCCCAAACATCATCTAGCCCAAGTCCCTGCAATGCAGGAACCTCAGCTCAAGCATCCATGACAGATGGCCATTCAACCTCTCCTTAAAAACCTCAAAGGAAGGGGAATCCACACCCTTCCCACAAGGGAGACCATTCCACTGATCTTAACTGTTAAAAAAAGGGAACTGTTGTCGGGCTCTTCTAATACTATTGTCAGAAAAGTTCAGGCCAAACTCTCTATCACACACACAAACACATGGCTGATGTCAAGACACAGAGTTGCATTTGCTATCCCTCACAAACATGTTTTTCTCCAGCTCTGTCACTTCCCCTCAAATCACACAACGGCTCCAGGATGTTGCAGAGAGGAGCTTTCTTCCTGTTGTAATTACAGAAATCATGGTGATTTTCTATAGCCGAAGCCCAAGAGAGATTTCTGGACGTTGCCCAGGCTTCAGAATCAAGGCCGACATGAGGTTACTCATTGCATCGTTCCTGGGGGAAGAATATCTCTGTCGGAGGCAGAGTGAGTCAAGATTTAGAGCAGGTGCAAGTGGGGGAGATGTCTGTGTGATCCTTAAAAGCTCTGTGACCACTAGCTCCATGGGTGATGACACTGCAGCTTTGGTCTTGCATGAGATTCCCTTGCACAAGCTCACAGGAGAGGTGCAGGAGCTACAGCCAGAATGGTATCCCTGCTGTTGCTACTTCTGCTGCTGCTATTGATGCCTCATGGGGTCTTTGGAAACCACAAGGCAAAATGCCATCTGAATCTGATCAGGGAAGAAAATGGAGCGCAGAATTTCTTCCGGCCTGGAGACTTCCTCGTTAGTGGGGTCATCTCTCCAAAACAATTTTTCGATCAACTTCCATATGTCTTTTCTCAGCCCCCATTAACTAGGTTTGATGAGTAAGTAACTGTATTCTGGTGTCTCTTATGCTTCTTTACACACACACACACACACACACACACACACACACACGAGAGAGAGAGAGAGAGAGAGAGAGAATGAATTCCACTCCCTACTTACTAGGGAAATTGCCCCTATTTCATGACTGGGACCATCATGATGTTGCTGGACTTCATCTCCCTGACTCCTGGTCACTGGCTATGCTGCCTGGGGACTGAAGGGAATTGGAGTCCTGCAACATATGGAGGGCCACAGGTTTATCACACACCTGTCCTGTTTCCCTTTGTCATCCCTGCTGTGTTGCTTGCTCAAAGGAGTCTGATCAGGGATGAAAAGGATGCATTGAGGGAAGTATATGCCAGGACTGGATATGGTGGTGGTGGTGGGGATAGACTTGTAGTCTGAGCTCTCCATTTCAGCAACTGGGCATCTATGCAAGAAGACAACAAGACCCCCAAAGCGACTGCAACCTTGGCAACAAGGCCCCTACATTTCACAAACCTTCAAAAAAGAATGTCTCCATTCAGTTTTGATTTTTGAAAGTTGTGTGTTTTTCTGCTGCTTCAATGAAGAGAGTACACCTCACCATTTTTATTCTGAAGTGGGGAATTGATTTTCAACTTGAAACAAGGATATGTCTCTTCTCACCCCTCACTACAAACCTACAAGCTGCCCTTTGGTGATCATATCATAGTTATTTTCATTAAATGGTGAAGAGCAGTTTCACATTGTTTTTATTAATCTGTTTATTGCAGTGTGTCAGATAGACGCTACTGGCACATCTTATCCTTCCTGTTCACCATGCAGGAGATCAATGGGGCTCTTACCCAACATCACCTTGGGCTACAACCTCTATGAGAACTTTTTTGATGCAAGGATGACTTCTGATGTCATGCTAGACCTGCTTTCGGGTGGGGAAAGCAACATCCCAAACTATACCTGTGGAAAAGCGAATAATAACCTGCTGGGTGTTCTTGAAGGGGCCAATTCTGTAATCTCAAAACAGATTTCGACCATGTCAGGCATCTACAAAATCCCACAGGTATGAAGGAGGGCATAAAACCCAATTTTTCTTCAGAGGAGTCAAGATTTTTACCTTGAGACCAAAACAAATCACTAATCTCTCCCTTCCCTCACTAGATCAGTTATGGCTTCAATGCTCAGACTCTGGATGATAAATCCCAGTTCCCTTTTGTCTACCGGATGCTCCCCAAAGAAGATACTCAGTCCCAGGGGATTATCAAGCTGCTCCTGCATTTTGGATGGACGTGGGTTGGCCTCTTTGCTCCGGACAATGAGAATGGAGAAAGGTTTGTGGGTGCCCTGACATCTCAGATGATCCTCCGTGGAATCTGTGTCGCCTTCACACATAGGCTATCAGAAAGCAATCCATATCGATCACTTGTGCCAAAGGTGCCATTCATCATATGGAGACAAGTCAATGTATTTCTTTACTATGAGAACACTTACACGGGATGGATACCAGTCATGGCCCTACAACAAAGATACCATAAAGAAGCTGAGGCAAGAGTTTGGATCACAACAGATTTTCATGACATCAACTATAATTTACTTATGGGTCCAGAGCTTTTCCATCCCATCCATGGTTCCTTCTCCTTTGTAATGAAGACCAAAAAAAGAACCATACATGACTACTATACACCATCTTCATACCTCCTGTATTGGTTTTGGAGAAAAGCATTTTATTGCTTATATTCGAAGCATACCTTGTCTGTGAAAGGTCGGACAAAATGCACTGAGAAGGAGAAGCTGGAGACTCTGCCCCAGGAGGAGCTGGAGAGATCCCTGTCCCAAGACAGCTACAGCACTTACTTCCATGTCCAGGCCGTGGCGCACGCTTTACATGCTGCATGTTCATCAAGGTCAAAACGGATGCCGAGGATGAGTGGGACAGACAGTTTGGGGTGTCAAAGTCTACAGCCATGGCAGGTATTTCCTTTCACCTTTTCCTAACTTCAATCCATCTTCCCGACTGTGGAATAAAATCTAGTACCAGGACAAATGATTTGTCCTTTTAAATTGATGAGGTTCTTGTGCAGATCAATATTTCTGCCCACCATGGGTATGTCAGAAGAAGACCCTCTCATTTTCCTATGGTTACTCCTTAGTGCTCTGAGAGGAGTCATCTTAGCTGAAGTTGGTGTGTCTTCATCTCCTCCTCTGTCTCTGCTGGCCTTCGGTGAGCAGCTGCAACACGGATGGAGCAGGAACACAAGCCTTCTGGTCACACAGGTCTTCCCCAGGATGCTGAGATGTACACTCATTGAGCTTTTTCTATTTTAATCTTTATATACTGCCCTTTATAGTGTGTGTGTGTGTGTGTGTGTGTGTGTGTGTGTGTGTGTGTGTGAGTGAGTGTGTGTATGTGTAAACACTGGTTGTTTTATAATATATCAACAGAACAGAATTATTAAAAATGCTGAAATTTTCAAAACAATACCAACCAACTGTGTATTGGATAAAACAGAAGACAAAAAGAATAGCCACAGCAGGGACCTTTTCCACGTGCTGGAAATGCTTATTGAAAGCAAAGATGTTAATAATAATAATAATAATAATAATAATAATAATTGGAACTTTCTAACTTTGTGTCTAGGGACGTGGGTGGCTCTGTGGGTAAAACCTCAGCGCCTAGGACTTGCCGATCACACGGTCGGCGGTTCGAATCCCCACGGCGGGGTGCGCTCCCGTCGTTCGGTCCCAGCGCCTGCCAACCTAGCAGTTTGAAAGCACCTCCGGGTGCAAGTAGATAAATAGGGACCGCTTACCAGTGGGAAGGTAAACAGTGTTCCGTGTGCTGTGCTGGCTCGCCAGATGCAGCTTGTCACGCTGGCCACGTGACCCGGAAGTGTCTGCGGACAGCGCTGGCTCCCAGCCTATAGAGTGAGATGAGCGCACAACCCTAGAGTCTGGCAAGACTGCCCCAAACGGGCAGGGGTACCTTTACCTTTACCTAACTTTGTGTCTATGTGCAGAAATTAGCACCAGGGGTGCAACGAAGCAGTGACTGTCGCAATTGGCACTGTTTTTGTTCTTCTACAATGTTTCATTCCACTAAGATGAGAGCCAGTGTGGTGTAGTGGTTAAGAGAGGTAGACTCGTAATCTGGAGAACCGGGTTCGTGTCTCCACTCCTCCACATGCAGCTGCTGGGTGACCTTGGGCTAGTCACACTTCTCTGAAGTCTCTCAGCCTCACTCACCACACAGAGTGTTTGTTGTGGGGGAGGAAGGGAAAGGAGATTGTTGGCCGCTTTGAGACTTCCTAGGGTAGTGATAAAGCAGGATATCAAACCCAAACTCCTCCTCCTCCTCCTCCTCCTCTTCTTCTTCAATGTACACTGGGATGGAATGACTGGCTCTCAAACTGATCTAGGTCAGTGATTCCCACTGGGGGTCCCTGTAACCCACCCAGGGAGTCTGTGGCACCATTCACATAACAAAAACACTCTGCCTGCCTGTGACTCCCAGCAACTTTCTTCCAGCTTCACCCCTTCTTAAGACCAACCCAGTTTTCTAATACCTCCATGGGTGGAATGCATTTGGATGAGAATGGGGAGCTGCCAGGCAACTATGACCTTGTGAACTGGGTGGTGTTTCCCAACGAGTCTCGTGCCAGAGTGAAAGTTGGGAGTATAGAGAGAGAGACATCCATTAACGCAAAGTTCACTATCAACTCGGATGCTATTTTGTGGCCCCAGAGGTTTAAGAAGGTAGGGAAACCTTTTTCTATATGGCATCTGTTGGTATGTATTAATTTGTGGAATAATTCACCCAGGACTTGGACTGCAGTCCTTTGCCCAGTGCAGGGGTGGGAGCTGGCATACAAGGGTGTCCCCCTCATACCGTGAGCCCCATATCCATGAAGTGGACATGGAATATCCACATTCCATTTTGAAATCTGGAAATTTGGGTTTCACAGTGACACCATATATAGGAATAGAAATGAGGAACAATGAATGTTAAAACAAGCAAGGAAACACACCAAACAGGTTTTTGAGGAACGTGCCAAAAGTCCTGGCAGGGCTAGTGGTCCACGAGATGCTGTTGGGCCCATTCCAGACTCTATCAACCAAATCCACAGAGAGAAATTGTCCCCTTGATGCACCTTCCTCTCTTTGTGCTTAGACTGTGCCTTGCTCCAGATGCACCGAAAGCTGTCACCCTGGATATTTCAAGGTGATCCAAGAAGGGGAGCCGGTTTGCTGCTATGTTTGTTCTCCGTGTGCGGAAGGGACTATCTCCACCCAGGAAGGTGGGTGACTCCAAGGGAGAGGCCATTTCTTGGGGGAATAGAAAGAGGGTGAAGATTCACTCAGATACATTTTCTGTTGAGATCTGAGAGCAATTTCTTAACGAGGATCTAGGGCTGAATCTAGACATACCCAAAAAGTTTCAGGAAAATGTGTTGTAAACATCATAATGGGAAATCTACAGTGTCATCTGGTGTCACAGTGTTATAACACATTTTAAATGCTTTTAAAAAACAACAACCCACTGTAGCTGAGTCACCTTCAGAGTCTGTAATCATCTCCCACAAAACAAAACACCTTAGCTGCCAAAGGTGAAGATACAGAAATGTGTCTTCACCAGGCAAAGAGAGTGGGAGAATGAAGACAGCAGAGGCACCTCTGGAGGGAGGTCATTGCCTCTCAGCTTTACCTACATCCCAAGGGGATGAAAAGTGAGAAAAATCTTGTGTGTCAACTCTATGTCCTTGGAGGAAAGGAGGGGTGCAACAGTGGAAATTAAATATACAGTGGTACCTCCGGTTGGCACAGGATCCGTTCTGGAGCTCCAGTTGGATCCCGAGGAATTTGCAACCGGAGGTGCCTGTTCTGCACATGCGCACAGTGCAGGGAGGGCTTCTGCACATTCATGTGTGGCGAAACCTGGAAAAATACTTCCGGGTTTGCCGCGTGCGTAACTCGAAGGATACACAACCAGAGGAATGCATATCCAGAGATACCATTCTATACACAAATAAAACTAAATCTTTCACATTGTTATTTCCTAACCTCCAGAATATCAGTACCCCCCCGAAGTATTAGAAGCTACGTGGTTATGGATGCAAGGAATACTAAAGCCACTCTTTTTCTCATTCTCAGATGCAACGCACTGCACCAAATGTCCAGAAGATCAGCATCCAAACAAGGACCAATTTCAATGTATTCCCAAGATTATCAACTTCCTAGACTACAAAGAGTATTGGGGGATCCTCTTGGCTTCCCTTGCTCTCTTCTTATCCTTAACCACAGGCTTTGTGCTGGCAACCTTTATTAAATACAATGAAACTCCAATAGTCAAAGCCAACAATCGGGACCTCACCTACATCCTCCTCATCTCCCTCCTTCTCTCATTTTTGTCCTCCTTCCTCTTCATTGGACGGCCAAGGAAAGTGACTTGTCTTCTCCGCCAGACAACCTTCAGCCTCATCTTCTCAGTTGCTGTCTCTTCTGTCTTGGCAAAAACCATCACTGTGGTGTTGGCCTTCTTGGCCACTAAACCAGGGAACGGGGTGAGGAGATGGCTGGGGAAGAGTTTGGCCCACTCCATTGTCATTTCCTGCTCCAGTGTCCAACTTGTCATCTGTTCCATCTGGCTAGGGATCTTTCCTCCATTCCCAAACTCTGACATGAGCTCCATCCCTGGAGAGATCATCTTGCAGTGCAATGAAGGGTCTGTTGCTATGTTTTATGCTGCCCTCGGCTACATGGGCTTCCTGGCTGCCATCTGCTTCACGGTGGCTTTCCTAGCCAGGAAGCTTCCTGGGGCCTTCAATGAAGCCAAGCTGATCACCTTCAGCATGCTGGTCTTCTGCAGTGTTTGGGTGTCCTTTGTTCCCACCTACCTGAGCACCAAGGGGAAATACATGGTAGCTGTGCAGGTCTTCTCTATCTTGGCCTCCAGTGCTGGGCTTCTGGGCTGCATCTTCATGCCCAAGTGCTACATTATTTTACTGAGGCCTGATCTGAACACGAAGGAGCATCTGACAGCAAAAGACTAAAGACAACATTGGATCTGTAATAGGACGGAACTCTAATAAATAGTTCAAAGCAGTCCGCTGCAGAATTGAACTCTCTTGTTCAGCTGTTGGAAGGCAACAGTGTATCTCCTTCCCCTGTCACCTTCTCAACCATATGTTTAATTAGTCTTAATTTGGGGCTAGATCCAGGGGGGTATGCCCCAAATTGGCCTGGATTGGGTGGGGGAGGAGCTGTGCGCTACCTCTTAGTAGTAAGTGAAATACTAACTAAAATACTTACTAATAAGTACTTCCTACAGCAGAATCTGGACCAGAACCATGGCTTCCTGTTGGGACAAAAACCATTTCTGGGTAGGATCCATTCTACAAATCAGTTATGGTGCAGAAATACGGGTATTTCTAAAATGAAAGAAATAAAGAAGAAAGAATGTGGAAATACCCCGGAATAAATATAGTTGTGCTAATTTTTTATTAGGGATCAGATCTCCCTCCACCACTGAAAAACGGCCTGTTTTGCCTTCAGAGTGGCAATATTAAGGAGAAAAGTTTGTGGTGTTTATAAGTTAGATTATTCAGAGGAGCAAACCCTTCCCTGACAGAATTCCTGGTTTCAATATTTATTTTAACTGTGTAATGCATTTTATTCTGTTTTCATTTTTTGTCTCTTGTAATGGCTTCAGCTACACAAATAAATAATATTCATATTCATATTTGGATGGGATCCAAGGCCTGTGGCTTTCTATTTCACTTCTTTTTATACAGCACAATAATTACTTGTGTGTGTGTGTGTGTTTTCTTGTGTGTGTGTGTGTTTCTTTGTGGCTGATTAGCTGTTCTCCCTGTGCAAAGGTCAGAGGGGGCAGGGTTTCTGTTGAGGCAGGTGATTAGCTGTGGGAGGAGCTTATCAGAGCTTGCAGGGCAGCAGTTGAAGAAGGAGCAAAAAGGGTTTTCTTGTGTGTGTGTGTTTCTTTGTGGCTGATTAGCTGTTCTCCCTGTGCAAAGGTCAGAGGGGGCAGGGTTTCTGTTGAGGCAGGTGATTAGCTGTGGGAGGAGCTTATCAGAGCTTGCAGGGCAGCGGCGCGCGCCTAGTGGCGCGCGCAGTTTGAGCCATCTTTTAGATTTAGGGGAGCTAGTCTCAAACGTTTGTTGGGGGAGACCTAGGTTTTTTTGGGGGGGAAGTTATTTGTCCTGTCTTCACGCTTTTTATGATGGAGGACCGCTGTAGCCACCCCCAACGACACGTTCTCAAGATGGAGGGGGAGGGAACAGCTGCAGTCGCCTGCGGTTCCTGCGCAATGTTTGCCATCTTGCCAAAGGTTGCAGGCAGCTTTACCTGCAGCAATTGCATGTTGATTGCCCTCTTAAAAGACAAAGTCCAGCAACTGGAGGAACGTGTAGCTACGCTCCAAAGAATTAGAGAGCTGGAGCTCTTCTTGGAAGCAACAGAGCACACCGTCTCCACCAAGGAGGAGACAGGGGACTCCCTGAGAAGGAGGCTAGTTCACCAACACAGGAGCCAGATATATGGAGAAACGTGACTCAAAGAAGTAGGAGGCCCAGGGTTCGCTCTGATTGTTTAGAAACACACAATCGCTTTGAGGTCCTCTCCCCTAGCATGGAAGACGAAGAGCAGACTCCATTTGAGGATCTCTCCCTCATTACAGTCGATCAGGTATATGAAGACGAGCAGCAAAGTCAGCCCTCAGGGAATGTGCAGGCGACCTTGGAACAGACAGCTCACGGAAGGACCCCGAACAAACCTAAGAGGAGGCGTGTAGTGGTGATAGGGGATTCCCTACTGAGGGGAACAGAAGCAGTGATCTGTGGGCCTGACAAGATGTCTCGGGAAGTGTGCTGTCTCCCTGGGGCTAAGATCCAAGATGTAACTGAACGACTGCAAGGAATCATAAAACCCACTGACAAATACCCCTTCCTCTTGGTTCATGTGGGAACCAATGACACTGCAAGCAATAGCCTCCAGAAGATCAAAAGAGACTACGAGGCTCTGGGCAGGAAATTGAAGCAATTAAATGCACAAATTGTCATCTCATCTGTCCTCCCAGTTGAACGACGTGGCCCAGGGAGAGAGGGAAAAATACTGGAAGTGAACAGCTGGCTTCGCAAATGGTGTAAACAGGAACGGTTTGGATTCTTAGATCACGGACTGCAGTTTCTTGAAGATGGACTTCTGGCAAGCGATGGGCTGCACCTCACAACAGTTGGGAGAAATGTTTTTGCCAAAAATCTCAGAAACCTCATCAGGAGGGCTTTAAACTGACTAATGTGGGGAGGGAGACAGTGCTCCTGAAGGTAGGAGTCTATCAATTGATGAAGATGATCATCCAAATGTCATAGACCAAATGGAGCAAACAGCACGCAGACCTAGTGGTAGGAGGAAAAAATCCTTAAATAAGAGACACGGGGGGAATGATTAATGGACTTCAATGTCTGTACACTAATGCGCAAAGCATGGGAAATAAACAAGATGAGCTTGAGCTCTTGGTACAGCAAACTAAATATGACATAATAGGCATCACTGAAACCTGGTGGGATAAGTCCCACAACTGGAATGTAATAATGGGGGGATACAATCTATTTCAGAGAAACAGACCAGACAAGAAAGGAGGAGGAGTGGCGTTATATGTCAGGGATGTGTATACCTGTGAAGAGATCCAAGATTTAGAACCTCAAAGCCAAAGTGAGAGCATTTGGGTCAAAATTAAGGGAGAGAAGAATAACAGTGACCTCATTGTGGGAGTTTACTATAGATCCCCAAGCCAAACGGAGGACATAGATGATGCCTTCCTGGAACAGATGGCCAAGCATGCAAAAAGAAGGGAGATAGTAGTAATGGGGGACTTCAATTACCCGGATATTTGTTGGATGTCAAACTCAGCCAAGAGCATAAGGTCAAACAGATTCCTCACTGGCCTTGCAGACAACTTCATTGTCCAGAAAGTGGGAGAAGCAACAAGAGGAACAGCCATTTTAGATCTGGTCCTAACCAATGTTGATGACCTGGTTAGTGGGGTAGAAGTGGAAGGATCATTAGGCGCGAGTGATCATGCTCTTCTGAAGTTTACTATACAGCGGAAAGGAGCAGCCAAGCATACTAGGACTCAATTTCTTGACTTTAAGAAAGCTGACTTCATAAAACTTAGGGAAGTGCTGGGTGAGATCCCATGGACAGTAATACTAAAAGGAAAGGGAGTTCATGATGGCTGGGAGTTTGTTAAGGGGAGATAGTAAAAGCACAACGTCAGGCAATACCAATGAGACGGAAACATGGAAGGTGCCTAAAGAAGCCTGGGTGGCTATCTAAAGAACTTTTAACTGAGTTAAGATTAAAAAGGATGTGTACAAAAAATGGAAAAGGGGGGAAACCACCAAAGAGGAATTCAAACAAATAGCCAGCACGTGTAGACACAAAGTCAGAAAAGCTAAAGCACAGAATGAACTCAGGCTTGCTAGAGAGGTTAAAAGCAACAAAAAAGGCTTTTATGGGTATGTTCGTAGCAAAAGGAAGAACAAAGAAACAGTGGGGTCACTCAGAGGAGAAGATGGTGAAATGCAAACAGGGGACACAGAAAGGGCTGAACTCCTCAATGCCTTCTTTGCCTCAGTCTTCTCCGATAAAGAAAACAATGCCCGACCTGAAGAATTTGGAGCAAATGATTCAGCAGAGGAAACACAGCCCAGAATAACTAAGGAGATAGTACAAGAATACTTGGCTAGTTTAGATGTATTCAAGTCTCCAGGGCCAGATGAACTGCATCCAAGAGTATTAAAAGAACTGGCAGATGTGATCTCAGAACCACTGGCAGTCATCTTTGAGAATTCCTGGAGAACAGGCGAAGTCCCGGCAGACTGGAGGAGGGCAAATGTTGTCCCTGTTTTCAAAAAGGGGAAAAGAGAGGACCCAAATAATTACCGCCCAGTCAGTCTGACATCAGTACCAGGGAAGATTCTGGAGCAGATCATTAAGCAAACAGTCTGTGAGCACCTAGAAAGGAATGCTGTGATCACCAATAGTCAGCATGGATTTCTGAAAAATAAGTCATGTCAGACTAACCTGATCTCGTTTTTGACAGAATTACAAGCCTGGTAGATGAAGGGAACGCAGTGGATGTAGCCTACCTTGATTTCAGCAAGGCATTTGACAAGGTGCCCCATGATATTCTTGTAAAGAAGCTGGTAAAATGTGGTCTTGACTATGCTACCACTCAGTGGATTTGTAACTGGCTGACTGACCGAACCCAAAGGGTGCTCATCAATGGTTCCTCTTCATCCTGGAGAAGAGTGACTAGTGGGGTGCCACAGGGTTCTGTCTTGGGCCCGGTCTTATTCAACATCTTTATCAACGACTTGGATGATGGACTCAAGGGCATCCTGATCAAATTTGCAGATGACACCAAACTGGGAGGGGTGGCTAACACCCCAGAGGACAGGATCACACTTCAAAACGACCTTGACAGATTAGAGAACTGGGCCAAAACAAACAAGATGAATTTTAACAGGGAGAAATGTAAAGTATTGCACTTGGGCAAAAAAATGAGAGGCACAAATACAAGATGGGTGACACCTGGCTTGAGAGCAGTACATGTGAAAAGGATCTAGGAGTCTTGGTTGACCACAAACTTGACATGAGCCAACAGTGTGACGCGGCAGCTAAAAAAGCCAATGCAATTCTGGGCTGCATCAATAGGAGTATAGCATCTAGATCAAGGGAAGTAATAGTGCCACTGTATTCTGCTCTGGTCAGACCTCACCTGGAGTACTGTGTCCAGTTCTGGGCACCACAGTTCAAGAAGGACACTGACAAACTGGAACGTGTCCAGAGGAGGGCAACCAAAATGGTCAAAGGCCTGGAAACGATGCCTTATGAGGAACGGCTAAGGGAGCTGGGCATGTTTAGCCTGGAGAAGAGGAGGTTAAGGGGTGATATGATAGCCATGTTCAAATATACAAAAGGATGTCACATAGAGGAGGGAGAAAGGTTGTTTTCTGCTGCTCCAGAGAAGCGGACACGGAGCAATGGATCCAAACTACAAGAAAGAAGATTCCACCTAAACATTAGGAAGAACTTCCTGACAGTAAGAGCTGTTCGACAGTGGAATTTGCTGCCAAGGAGTGTGGTGGAGTCTCCTTCTTTGGAGGTCTTTAAGCAGAGGCTTGACAACCATATGTCAGGAGTGCTCTGATGGTGTTTCCTGCTTGGCAGGGGGTTGGACTCGATGGCCCTTGTGGTCTCTTCCAGCTCTATGATTCTATGATTCTATGATTCTACTTATTTCAGACTTCCATACGTCATGCTATTCTGTTCTCTTTGGAGTGGTTCTAATTGTTTAATTATTGTAACAGTTTGTTGTTGTTGTTGTTGTTTTAATTATATATTGTAATCCATTATGGGGCTTTATGGCAGAGAGCAAGTGAAAAATCTTAAAGAAATAAATAAAAATATAGGGAGTGTGAAATTATTTGTCCTTCTTTTGGTTTGTATTCAAAGCATCGCCCATCATTTTCAGCAGGCGGTGCTGAGTTCTAGTCTTTCTCCAAGGAGTTCAGAACTTGAATTAATTCTAGCTTCTCTCTACTGAAATATGAAAAAGTCATCAGTCTGTCCTCACATGCTCCAAGCTCTTTATTATTCCAGGAATCTTTTCCTGTGCCTCTCACTTCCCTGAAATACTTTTGGGAAGTCACTTGAATGGCAGACAGCATCTTTAATATCTTTGTAGCAAAGGTTTATACATTATCGGGCTGTATTTCATAAGCTTATTGCCTTACTAAAGGACAATGATGATTTGCTACCATTTTTTCCTCTGTGGCCAGCGGATGTTGCATCATGGGCAGCAAGTAGGCCAAGTCTGCCATGGCAGTGGCAGCCAGGCTGAACAACATCAAGAGGACTCTGTCTTCCTCGAAGGCCTCATAGATTGTGCAGAGGCAGAAGGCCATGGCTGTGGCTGTGGCCATGGAGTGTAAAGAGGCAATGCTCAAGCCTAAAGTTTCAGCTCAGTATCTCAAAGTCTTATTCTTAGAGTCATAAGTCACCGAGGAAGAGGTGCAAAACATAATTTATTCATTGCAAAACAAAAGCAACCTTTTTAAAACTTCCCACTGATAAAATATCAAGTTAATACAAAAATGATCTACAAATCTTTCCCCCCAAACCTCCTAGAGTTCAGAAGCTATAATTACACCCGTTCCTAACAAATGAACCTACACTGCCTGAATCATGTAGAGTGCCAGTTTTTGGGAATCCCATGTAGGGAAAGGGCTGCTGCACTGACCCCTTTCTTGTGGGCT